GTGGACTCGACACCGTTCATGGGCGTCTGACCAGAAGTGCCATTGTAGAACTGGTTCTCTTGTTCTCGAGAAACTGGGGTGCCGGCTGATTGTGGATACTCTGGTGGGGGTAAGGAGGAGAAGGGAGGGAAGTTTTGTTGTGATTGATACGCACTTGCGCTGTTTTGATAGCCAGTCGAGGAAGCGGAGGGAGTATACTGGGATGGTGTAACGGCAGAGTTGAAAGGTGAGCTCGAGCCATACGAGCTTAGGTTTGAAGTCTGCGCGCGCAGATCGGGCCGGGTGAAGCTCCCATTACCCACATGTGGGGAGTTGTGGAGAGACGTGCGACGTCCACTATAGTTGCCCAAAGCGGCCGGACGTGGTGGGGGTGCAAAGTTCCCGGTGGCCTGGGGCTGCATATCGTAGGGCTTAGCCTCTGAGCCACTACGGTAGGTATCGTCGCTCCCTGTTCTTTGTAGCGAGTCTTGTCTGCTGAGAGTGGTGGTGGAGCCGGGAGAGTGGAAGTTTGGCGGCGACATGTGGTTGCCAGGGCCAGTGTTGGAGGCACCCGAGGGCGGAGAATGCATGCCGTGCGGGCCTTGGGTCTTGATGCCGTGTGGTTTTGAAGGCGGTGCATTCTTGCCACCCAGTGCAGCTGTTACTATGGGATTCAGGTTGTGCATGTTGAAGGTATCCTTGCGCAGCAGTTGCGAGCCTCGTGCCGTGTGTCTCTCCTTGTGGCGCGCGCATAGGTCTTGCCGAACAAAGGATCGGTGGCAATCGGGAAAGTCGCAGTGGTAGATTTGCTTGGGGTTGTCTATGCAATGTCAGCCTCGCTCTACCAGCTCTGTCGAGGCATGTTGCAGGTGCTGCACTCACGGTTCAACTGGTGGCGGTACAGATGCTCTGCGCGGGAGTAGCTCTTTCCACATCCCTCGTGCGGGCACTCGAACTTCTTGTCGAGACCCTTTCTGCTGCGCCTTCGCTTCCTCGAGGAGCCATGGCCGTCGCCCTCAGCATCGCCAGTGTCGCCGTCTTCGTCTCTGTCGCGTCGACGGCCACGGGCGTCGCCACTGTCTGGCGATGCGGGGGTTGGAGGCTCGTTCGCAGCGCCTGCAGTCGTGTCCATCTTGTCTCGGAACTGCGTCTGGATCTTGCCTAAATCCGACGCGTGCGCAGCATGCATAGACAGGACTTGCGCCGTCATTGCCAGTGGGAGACGGAATGCAAATGTCGTGTGTCGCGACCTTGTCTCGGTGCGCGTCTCTGGGGTCGAAGGTTGGGGTTGTGTAAATGGTGTTGATGTTAGTCTAGAGGCGCTCGGCGATGGGCGTGCATGCTGCTTTGGGAATCACACGGCAGGCGAGATGCTGGGGCGGGCAAAAAAAGGGACGGCGTGGGTTGCCCAGATGCAAATCGGCGGGATCCTGGGCGATGACTTGCAGGTCGACGTCGGAGAGTCTCTGAGCCTCTTAGAGTGGAGGCGCGTGTGTCGTGTGGTGTAGTGTCGTGGAGAGAACCCTGGCCTGGGGACGTGGGGAAGAACGACCGTCGTGGGAGCAAGCAAGACGGGCGCGGGCACCCTGGTGGGAATGCAATGGAGTGGACAAGGCCGGTGCCGACTTGTGACTTGGGACTTGTGACGAACGACAAACCACCAGCGATCGGGACTTGTAGTCGTGAGCCGAAAGACGCTTACGCTGCTGGCCTACGCCTGATGTCCGCAGTAGCCGCGATAAGAACCAAGATGCCGTGGCAGTGGATAATGTCGTCTGCACTGTGCTCCAGCCTTCCTGGCAGGCAGTGAGGGGTAGACAGCCAACTTTGGAATCTTCCGACGAAACCCAGGCTCAGCCGTCAGCAATTAACTTTGATCCACGGCGGCTGTGATATAATGCTCGCGCCCGCCTGCAGCCCAGCCTGAGCATCAGAGTGTGGAGAAGCGACAGCCCTCGGTGGCGTGGGATGGGCGACCGCGGGCGCGTGGGGGCTGCTCAAGCACATTTAGCTGATGTGCCCTTCTCCATGGCCGTCACCACTTCTCGTAAACCCGCCTTCTCTTTGGCTGGACTATCGAACCGCCGATATCAGCATGTGCCTGTTCATGCACCCTATGCACGGAGCTGCACGAGATGCTGCACCAAGCAGCTTTGGACACTTTTTCATTCCAGACCTTGTCCGAAAAGTCATCCTTCCGACTCCTGATACTGCTCTACCATCGCTCAGCCCAACCACTCCTTCACCATGGCCCAACAAACAACTAATTTCCACACCTCATCACACGCGCGCCACACACGGCCCTTGTCCCATTCGCCAGCATTTACCCAAGTGCTAGCGTAAACTCGGCCCGTCGGCCTCCAATTGATACTTGCATGCTGGGCGCCCTACCCCAGGATCTTCTTGCCGCGCAGCGCGACAAGAGACGCATCTACGGACGGGACCCGCCAATGAGGAGCGGGCCGGGAGTCACCCTATGCTTTTGCGGCAATCGGAGCTCGGCGAGCAGCTCGTCCAACGCCTGCCCACATTCGATGTTTGTCAATTTATACATTACTCTACTTGCGTATGATCAAGACAGCAAATGGTTGGTTGAGCCTCATCAGCCCTACCTGTCCTTAGGGACGTTGCAGGACAGGTCATGCTGTACAACACGACAACGTGGATGAGTGAGGCCTGCCTTCTGTGAAAGCCGCCCCCAACCACCGACTGGACCAAGGCTCTGTACAGATAAATTTTCCCTTCCTTGCCACTGAGGTGCCAGCCACCACGGAGAATATACAGCATAGCATCGCATTGCTTTTGTTCCTCCTCCACGTTTCAAGGCAACAGTATCTTTCCACTTTCGATCAGTACCAGCATTGACCCTGTCTGTACAAGTCTCATGGGCAGAGATAAGGCGCCCCGCGGGAACTATACAGACGCCGCTATCTCCGGTTCTAGAAAAGTTACCCTGAAGGTATATACTTGCAATATTCTGCAAGTATTACACCAGTATGATAGTGACAGCGAATACCTGAGATCCCTCTTTTTGCGCGAGAACACGATTCAGAAGAAACAAATTTCCTTGTACATGTCATGTCGTGTGAAATTACTATGTGTAGATTGATGTCAAGAATAACATCGGTCTTTTGCCTTGCCAAGTCATTATTCTCTCCGTCTCCCCCTACGCTAAAAATACAGTAGGCTGCCTCCTCGTTGATCAAGATCAGAGATAAGCTAATCCTCAGCCTTCGGTTCACCCTCTTCGGATGGCTTGGCAGCAGAGTCAGGCTTCTTCACCTGCTCCGAATCTGCAGTGTCAGGCTTGCTGTCATCCTTGTCGGCTTCAGCATCGTCCTGCGATGGTTCCTTTTCGGCATCTTGGGCGTCCTTACTGCTGACCTCGGCTGTCTCGGTAGATGCTGGCTCTGCCGCGACATCTGTATCTTGTTTTTCTTCTTTTCCGGGCGAAGTACCCGCTATTTCCTCCTCGCTTGCGCCTTGCTTTGCTGCTTCATCTGTGGCGTCTTTGGCTTCTGGTAGACTTATCTCTGGGACCGACTCCGCCTCATCTTCATCCTCGTCCTCGTCTTCGTCGTCGTCGTCGTCGTCTTCTTCGTTGTCTTCGATGGCTGTGATATCTCCATCGCTGTCGCCATCTTCGTGTTCCTCTTCTCCTTGTGGTGATTCGAAGATTTGAGTAACAGGCCGTGATTGTAAGCTTGGGCGTTCCTCTTCTTCCTCGTTCTCTTCCACAACTGTTTGCACGATAGTAGCTCCCACTGATGGCGAATGCCTGTGTCGTTTGGTTGTACCGGCTGTTGATAGCGTATGATCTGACATGCCCTCTGCTAGCGTGTTGACTGAAATCTGTGATGATGAATCGGAGGGCTCTCGCTTCATGATCAAAGGTGGCGCTGATGGCTTTGCCTCTGTTGATGGTTCAATGCCCTCTGCCTCTGGAGGGATGGTGTAGTTGTCTTCGGGAACCAGACCATATACATCGCAGACGGTCTTGTAGAAGATGTATAGCCCTGTCCGTCCCTCGACCTTCCAAAAGACCTCTCGGTGCGAGTACCATGCGTGCGCAAATATCCTATATACGCGTCTGAAGATGTTGGTCAACTGGCGCATTTGCGAATGCTGCGTCGACTGGTCGGTGCCTAGCGCGAGCCTCGAGGGAAAGTGTTTGGGCGAGGTGAGGGTATTGGCGGCCCAGTCGAGGGTGTGGCAGCAGTAGTCGATTGCGCAACACGATTTGGGAGGATCGTGTACGGCGCATAGGTACTGCCACTCGGAAGCGCGCATCTCTGGACAGGTCAAGGACGAACAAGGTGGGTCGTCTGCGAAGAGGGCGGTGATGATGGAGTTGACTTTCTGTATGAGGAAGCGGCAGAGCTCATATAGCCACAGAGTCCTGTCTACATTGGCTGGCGACTGTGCAATCTTGAGTGCCATGCTTCTGTCCACTGGCACGGTGCCGTTGGAGCCGACAGGATGCGTCAGGGAATTGTGGAGGGCTTTGAGGTGTTCGGTAAGCTGGAAGGCCGAGTCAATCTGCGCATCTTGTCAATCAGGCACCATCTTTGGTGTAGTCTACCCCAGCGCACCTCTGATAAGTCTACGAGCGGAGGTCCCTCGGCCATGTCCTCTGCCTTGGTCCCTGGCCGTATTCTCCGCTCCGCAGCATGGTCGAGGTTACTGAACTGCTTCTGCTGCTCTGGCGACGCTGATACCGGTGAAAGCTGGTCTTCTGGGATCGGCGGTGGGCTGGGAAGACGGGGCGAAGCAGGCGACGTCATTTCGGCGCGAGATTGAGCAGTGTAAAGGGCGATTGCTAAGGCTGTAGACGTCGGTGATCACTTAGGCGGGGTCTTGTGCGTTGTTGACATCGGACATCTGGAGCTTGCCCAGGCGGATGCAGGGCAGTCGCAGGGGTCCTTCCACCTAGGCGTTACGCGACCACGCTAACTTCATCGCGGGCTCAGTGGACCATTTTCTACATGACTCCGCCCACCCCACGACGTCATCTGCCACCCATGGACGGAAACGTATCAGACGACGAAGTACCCAGTCTCGTTCAGCCAGAGACCAACACCAAGCCCATCCCGCATCAGGATGAACATGTTCCCACCCTTGTGGCTAGCTCAGACGATGCACCCCAGAGCAAAGTGCCCATCACCATCGTCACAGGATATCTTGGCGCGGGAAAGACGACCTTGCTCAACTACATTTTGACTGAGCAGCATGGCAAGAAGATTGCCGTCATCCTGAATGAGTTTGGTGACTGTATGCTCCCTTGCACCTCAGGCAAGACACCAACCTAACGCGCCTTAGCAATTGATATTGAGAAGCAGCTCACTGTTTCCGATGCAAACTCCACATCTGCCCAACCAGCGCCTTTTGTACCCCTAGCGAACGGCTGTATATGCTGTTCCGTCAAGGACATTGGCGTAGCAGCCATCGAGAATCTAATGGAGCAGTCCGGCCTATTCGACTACATCCTCCTCGAAACGACTGGCCTAGCAGACCCTGGAAACATCGCACCCATGTTCTGGCTCGACGATGGCTTAGGGAGCAGCATCTTCCTAGACGGTATCGTCACACTTGTTGATGCAAAGAATGTCTTGAAGAGCTTAGATGAGGGACTAGGAGATGAAGAGAAGATTGAAGAGAGAAAGAAGGAAGCTCATGACGAACACGGCCCGCTATTGACAACAGCACACTTGCAGATTAGTCACGCAGATGTCATCATCGTCAACAAGACCGACTTAGTCTCCGAGCAAGAACTACAACAAGTAACTGAGCGCATCCGGTCTATTAACGGACTCGCTCGCATCAAGACAACAACTAAAAGCCAGGTTCCCCAGCTGGAAGGTTTAGTACTGGACCTTCACGCCTACGACGAAGTCACGGATGCAGACTTGAAGTTCGCAAGCAAGGGACACAGTCACCTCGATCCAACAATCACCACTTCTACTATCTCTTTTCCTGCCCTGGCACGCGACCAAGTCGACAAATTCGATTTGTTCCTCCGCAATATTTTATGGGAGGAGACACTGCCTACTGAAGCTGACCATAAGCCCTTTGAGATACACCGCTTGAAGGGTCGTGTTCTAGTCAAGGACGGGAAGATACTTCTTACGCAGGGTGTAAGGGCTATTTACGACACGAACGAATTAGACGCCAAACCGGATGATGGGAGTAAAGAGTCAAAATTAGTGCTGATTGGGAGAGCTGTGGATCAGGAGGCCTTTAGACGGAGTTTGATGGCTACGTTGGGTGACTTTCATTAAAGTTCTATGATCTAATCAAGCATGTCAGGTCGTCAAGTAGCAAGCCCGTCAACGTTGCCTATAGGGATGCACAATATTGTGAAAGCCATGTGACCAATGACATAGAATTTTTTGAACCGACACTGGTTGTCCATTTTTCCAGCTAAGCTAGCTTCAAACTCCATCGAATAACGAACGACTTGCCTCGCCTCAACTCAACAGCCTCCATCGTCTACACGATACCTTTCTCATTCCCGACAACAGCATTCTCATTCCCTGACGAGGCATCACCCGACAGCGCCGCAAGACCAATCTCATGATTGATCTCAGCCATTCTCTCTTGGTCCTTGAGCGCAGTGCCCTCACTACCAAATATGGTATCCATCTCCTCGAGAGTCAATCTCTTCGTCTCAGGAACGAAGAACCAGATAAATGCTGCACCAATTGTGGTAACTAATCCAAAGAGAATGTATGTTCCGTATGTGATATTCTCGAGTAATTCCGGGGTAATCTGTCCAATAATAAAATTGTTCATCCAGTTGGACGATCCACCAAGCGCAGTACCGTATGGTCGTGTGGACAGAGGCCAGATTTCTGCCACGATCGTTAGATTAGAGAGCATCAAAGTGTGAACGAATGGACTTACCAGCGATCAATATCCAAGCACAAGGTCCCCAAGAATATCCAAAGTGGATAACGAAAAGCCACACCATCACTACTGCTGCCCATCCAGCCGCACGATGGTTTGCAAAGTTGTCAATGTTCTTGGCGAGGATAACGGCGATAACAAAGTGCGAGAAAGCCATGCCAAGGGCACCGACGGCTAAAACGGGTTTACGGCCCAGTTTGTCAATGTACAAAACAGCTGGAATGGTGGCGATGAACATGACTATTCCAACGACTCCGGTAGCAAGGAGTGACGTGGTGGTACCAGTCAAACCGATCTGCTCGAAAATTTGCGGCGCATAGTAGAGAACCTGATCAATCGAGAGTCAGCGTGTATCCTAAAAACTGTCAAATTAAGTATTGAAATCATACGTACCGCATTGATACCGGTCCACTGTTGGAAGAACATGGTGACAGTAGCAACGATGACCCTCTTGAACATAGCCTTGGTCTTGAAAAGGGAGGCAATGGCAACAAACTGAAGTTTGAAAATATTCCATGCAGTCTGCTCTCGAAGATGGGGAAAGGCCTCAGCAACACTACGCTTCTCGAACATGGACTGAGCCTTGATTTCAAGGAACTCCAGCTCGATAAGCTCATGGTCGACAGGAAGGTTGCGAAGGGATGCAAGGTTGTTCCTAGCTTCCTCTTCGCGGTCATGGTGCATCAGCCAACGTGGGGAGAAAGGCATCCAGATCATGCCGATGATGAGAACAAAAGCCGGCACGAGCTGGAGGCAGATAGGTACCAGCCACGCCGCGTTGGACTGAGTCTCCAATGTAGTGCCCCCGATGTAATTGGTTCCGTAGTTGATCCAGAAGCTGATCATGATGCCGAATGTGATGGCAAGTTGTTGTAGTGCTACAAGAGCACCGCGAACCTCACTGAAGACAGTCAGCATGTTGCTCCATTAGATAAAAGCCGGGGTTTTCAATGGCACTTACGGAGGCGCACATTCGCTGTTGTACATGGGAACGATAACAGAGAGACCACCAACTCCGATACCGCTACAAATGGTTAGCAGAAATTTGGCTGGTTTTGGGTTAGGCATTACTAACGTGATGAAGCGGCCAGCTAGAATCTCCTCATGTCCACCGGAAATTGCAGTGATCTGCACCACAACGCCGATGATGAAGATTGCTGTAGCGATCAAGATACCATACTTTCGAGAAAATGCCTCAGCAACGAAACCGGACATGACGGCTCCAAACCAAGCACCGAGTTCCAGGATAGCGGTCAGCCATCCCTTTTGTGTTGCATTATCAACATAGCCGTCAGTTTCTGTTCACTGTCAGCGCAAGTTGAAGATAGGATTCGGGAGTACATACGTGCTCCAAAAGATGGCATAGCCAAGATTCCGCTGAACATGCCCTGATTGTAACCATACAACACTCCTCCAAGACAGGCGAACATGGCGATAAGAAACACCTTTCCATTCTTTACCAGAGCCCTAGGACCACTTGCACCCATTAGGGCTTGACGTCTCTGAAGCGCGGCATCGAAGCCTGTCGCACCGCCGCCTCCTCCAGCCATGATGATATCCGATGATCGGTATGAAACGCCTCGGAAGGTTGACAAAAGCTTCAAGTCGAAGTCGTATGAACTATGCCCCAGGCCACTAGAAAGCTTACATTTCTTCGCTGGAGACCCCAGGCTTATGTATGGGGTGCAGGAGCCCGCACCACCATCTGCACAATCATCCAGGACCCCAGTGACAAGACCGCAACAGTGTGGAGAAACAGGCCTCCACACTCTTTCCAGAGCATCGGTAATAAGTGCTCTTTAACCCCTTAAGCATACCAAGAGGAAACGGTCTCTGGGCAACGTGTAGAACACGGCTTGAGGAATGCCAAGCTAAGGCTTCAAGTACACTAATTGGACACGGAAGAGAACGTAAGCCTCCACTATCCTTGGCAATTATGTGCCGCTCCTGATGCATTCGCCGCTGATGTCGTCCTGTTGCTGTGGGCCGGGTGCCAAGGTCCATCCGAGGAGGATTTAGGCTAAATCGTTGGCAAGACGAGATGCGTGATCGGTCATGAGTGACTTCGTAGGAGCGGAACGCCGACATCATGATGCTCCGAGAGATGCTCCTACGGTTGAAACGGCAGCTCTAGTAGCTTAGTCGCGACATAAGAGGCACAAACCAACAGTCTTAAACATATGACTGCACATCATCCGTTGGCAAATATGGAATCTAAGAACAGACTGGGTGGCTGAAGGATGAGCGCTGACGCAAGCAGAGGCATGGCGCTCAAATGGTTGTAATCCACCAATACGGCTACTGGTTTCATCGAGAAGGAACACAGTATGCGGAAAGAAACCCCTCGATAGTCGCTGGCTTCGGTACATGAGATGATCTCCTGAGGATGCAGCTGACGCTTGCAGCGATTGTGTGCTGCCGGCAACCTTCTAGCCTGTGTAGCTCGATCGGAGAACCAGGAATTTGTATTAGGACATTACAGTAGGAATGAAGAAGATACTGTCGATTACTCGTAGTAGCTGTCACGCTACCCTAATCGCGACCGGTCGACGCGGATGGGATAGTAACTGAATGAAGGAAGCTAACGACGGCGGCCCGTGGGAAAGGAAAGCCCCACTCCATGGCGTGTCAGCGGAAACGCGTAGGACGCTTCGGCTGAGACACGACAATAACATCAACACCAACAATTCTCCAACGACACGTAACTGATTTAGCAAGCATGGCGGTCTCTATATTCCAGCGGAAGCGTGATCTAATCTATCTCGTCTTCTTCGTCGTGCACTTGCCAGTAATGTTAGGTAGGTCTATCAACATGGATGTTTGGTTTGGAAGCCTCTCAATAGCGTAGCAACTTCACATACACGAGGACTAGACGTCTTCGTATCTTGTGTTCTACAAAGCTTTTCGATGGCTTCCCGAGTCAACGCATCCGATCTCCACCTTCAGGAAAGAGACTGATCGGTACTGACTTATCACAGCATTCGACCTCACAGCCTACTACCCAATCCAAATCAAACCCCTCTGGATGTCCTCTCTACGCGACTGGTACATAGCTACATATGGCGACCGTTTCTTCTATAACGCTCCGGCCTGGTTCCCTGTTCTGACTTTTCTTGAACTTGTCTATCATCTCCCAGTAACTATATGGGCCATTCCCGCCTTGTTGCGAAACGATCCCCGCATCCCTCTTGCCCTGCTGGTCTTCGGTATGGAGACCAGTTTGACGACGTTGGTCTGTTTGGCAGAGATGCTGAGTTGGGATGAGTTGACGTCGGCACAGAGGGGTGTGCAAGGACTGGGCGGTATGTATGGGGGTTACCTAGCTGCCGGTAAGTTGCCTATAGAGGTTTTGAGCTCACCAAGACTGCCGAAAGGAATGCGAGATGATCTTTCATGAAGCTAACAGGGGCAGGTATCTTCATGACTCTAGACTGCTATGCCAGGCTGGATCAGACGATCGCGAAACTACACCGAGGATTGAAACCGGTGACAAAGAAGGAGCTGTGAAACCGTTTCATCTTAGAATGAATATCTGAGGATATTACTATGACGTGTGCTGATATGGAGACCGAATACATTCCTGTACAAGCAGCAATTCCAGAGAGCACAGATGAAGCGGAGGGACTGAGGCCAAACTTACACGAGAACAACTCTTGATAATCGGAGTTCATGCATCGAACACATCACTAAGCATGACTTGTGTTATGCACGACATCAATTTTGAACAATTTGCATTAGAATATCGTACCACAACGATGTCCGTCCGCCAGAGAAATCATGTAAAATACAAAAACAACGTTATACTTGTACGCCTCGTGCTCCACCAAGATTCTCAACAGCAGGTTCGAAATAATAATCCCTTAGCGTATGTCTACTGTGACGTCGATACCAGCTCGATAACGCCCTAGCCCGAATGCTAATCGTTTCTACTGTACAGCCTTACACGTATCCCAGAACGCCGAAAAACACTATAATGAAAAGAAACAGTATCAAGATAAGAGATGAGAGATGAGAGATGTTGATACGAACACCGAATACGAAGGAGCCGTGTGGCAACGTGAAGAACCAGAAGAGGGTTTAGCTTTGTACAACACGTCCGTTATCGTGGGCCACGCCGATTGGAGGAGATTGTAACCTGCACTTCGTCATGCTTAATCGCCGGTTTCTTGTTCGACTCGACGATGCTGCTGGCAGGTGACAATGTTGTACTAGACGTAGAAGGATTGGTTGAGGCACGCATGTAACATCCAATATATGCGCCTCAGATTGGATTGCATATACCTGTAAGCCATACACGAGTTTTCATGTCGTGCGTCAGACGTGGTACGAGGTCTGATTGAGCCCATTTTAGCAGCTTTGGTTGTGTTTGTGCCGAGTCCTGGCTGATTGTGTCGATAATCGCAGGTGGTTACTGTCATAGTAGTGCCGAAAGTTGCGGATTTGGAGAGGAGGAAATTTATCGAAAAGAATTACATAGGTTCAAAGTGAATCAGACCCAAAATAAGCTGCTTTTTTGTTGGTTAGTAGAAAACCTTGATGGTCTTTTTGTCGTCGTCGTCTTCTTCCTCAGCCAGCACCCACAGTTCATTGACTTTCTTGGCCGTCCCAGATCTTTCTTCAAATTCTTCACCTAGCTTCATAACGCAGCTGAAAGCGAGACTCCAGCCATTGACTCCAGCCGCATAGAACGCTTCCGCAACGGCAGCCTCGCGACTACCGCATTTGAAAAGCTTGTAGATCTGGCGGCCGTTGAAGTGGGCACCATGAACAAACGGGTCGCTAGCTTGACAAGTGCTGAAGACTAAGCAGTAGATGAGCGGAACGCTTTCGAGTACTTCAGACTTTGTCTCAGTGCATTCACGACATGTTCCAGCATATCCATCATGGGTAGTATGTCCGCCAGTGCACTCAAAGATATCATCATCTGTCGGTGTTGTCATCGCTGCTGACGCCCATACCTTGGGAGTTTCCAGGCTGACTGGCCGTGCGTTGAGCAGGGGAAGTAATTCGTCCGGCGCCCACCGGTTCGCCTCGAGCGTCCTAATACTTCTAAGATGTGCTTTGGTAGGTTTCTCATACCAAATCTCGGAATTGCCGTGTTTCAGAAGCCACTCAAATTCCTTGTAATCTGCGACGTGGGCTGAAGGCCTCGTCATCAAGACATTGCGGCGAAAGGGCGCGATCCGAATGACGCGGCTTGAAAAGTCAGAGATAGACTCGCTGGTATATTGCACCTGGATGAACTGGTTCGGCGTTTCGACTTCTGCGGTAGGATTGAAAGATGTCCCCATTAGGCCAACGGACGGCTCGGGTGGTGGGGGTGGTGGCTTGGAAGGGTCAGCATCGGATATCCCGAGAATACGTCTGACTTACTGGTGGTGGAAATGAAGCGGGAGGAGCCATTCCGATCATGCTAGTAAAGGCCGGCATTCCGGCAGGCGGCGGAGGAGGTGGTGGAGGCGGCGGCTTCTGCTGTCAGCTTACCATAGCAAAATGGGAAGACTATGCAACATACAGGTGGAGGTGGCTGTTGTGAATGTCAGAATCCTTCTCCATATTGCGTCAAAGACAACTTACTGGGGATGACAATGGGGGGCAATCATTCTCCAGACTCGAAAGACCGGGGTCGATACGAACTGGAAACTCCCTAACAACAGGAAAATCTCTATCATGTTCTGTAGATTCGGCAGGTTGGCATGTTTTGCCTCCTGTCTCCTTTGGACGATTGCCGATATCCATAGTAGAAGACACGTTCTCGACAAAGACAATATCATCACCTTCCATATTGGCGTCGTGTAGGGCAACAAAGAGTAGCGTTCTGACGATGTGGTCTATCGGGCGGCTTGGTACCTCAATCAGGAATGTTTTCCAATTCTAATTTCGTAAAAGTGGGAGGATTTTATGCAGTCTTTTGGCCTGAGGCTCAAAAGCCAGACTGAACAAGAACCCCAACGAATACTTTAGAAATGTGAAACGTGGCGAAGCTTCACTCGGCTGAGATAGGACTGGAACGAGGCAGCGGATAAGAAAGTTCTTAATTTCGTGTGGGCAACGTGTTTGCGAATGTGCTGTCGTGCTAGAAGCAGAGTATTTAGCGACTCTTAGCCCTGCACTGCTCTATGTAGGGTGCTTTAACTGTGTCACCGTTCCAGTCTTTGAAACTGCAACTAACGTTGTATCCTAGCACTAAGATGGACAAGAGGACTTACAGGGCATTCAATGGAACCATGGGACAGATGACGCCGCGTATGGTCACAAAGCCCGAGACTCTGTCCTCAGTGTCGACACTATCTTGACTAATCAACGCTTTGTGAGGCGATAATGATGGCGACTCGACTTGTTGTTTTACGTCGTACATCTATGATTGCGTCGAGTGACTAGCCACATACCATCTGGTGTGATGCTTCACAGTCATGGTGTGGTCGAGAGTACGCCTAGGTTACAAAAAGCACAGCGGCATTCCGGTGACTTGGCATAGCGTAGGACCGATCGGCAGGCATACGCATAGTGAGGCAACTGCTATCCCTAGCAATGCGGGTCCTGAGTTCAAGCTTGTAGAGGGTTCTCAGAACATCGACCACGACGAACAGGGGAAGGGTTGTGGGCGGGGTACTCCTTGCTCGATCCTTCGGAACATTGAAGCCTGTACAATTGCGGACTCTGCAGCAAAAAGTTGAAGTAAACCTTCGCTATTGGCCCTTCGCACTTAGAGCTGTAGAGCTTATTGGCCTCGTCAACAGCCGAAACTCTCCCTTACCCGCAGATATTGGCAAACCTGATCCGATAACGCTAAAGTTTGTTCTCCAGAAATCCTTGATGCGGGGCCGAAAACAAGTGTTGTTTAGTTTTGTTCCAAACTCCCAAGTATCAAGATCGAAGTCTGCGTCAGTCGCATTATTCAGGAAACCGCAATGATTTCCTTGATTATATACTGCCCCACGACGGTGAGACTGCCAGACCATGGTATATAGCAACGGCTTTTCCCGAAGGCTTCCGGGTTTTGTGCAGTCGACTCATATGCGATATGCAGGACGATTACGACACTGTCACACCGCAAGTGCGCCATCTCGTCCCGTCATTGGCAATCGTTTAGGCGGTAAGGATATCTGTCGAAATCTACAAGTAGAACGTAATGCTTGAGAAATTATATGTACTTGCCTGGGGTGAGAGCCGGGGATGATACATGCATTCATCTGAAGAGACATTGTACCCGCATCCCAAAATCGATTCGCAAAGCCATGTACCCGACCCCTGGTATGTTCACCGGACAGGCACCTGTTGATCTAAAATGTAGTTCCAAGACTTTATCAGGCCATAGTGAGGCTGGAGAAATCCGTGGACGGTGGGCTTCTCAGGTATGAGTGTGAGGCTATGATGATTCTTTCCCAAAACTGCAAGAGCGGGTAGTTGGGCACGGGGATTGGTCGCATCGTTGAAGCGAAAAGAAGGCTCTGGTTCAGCAACGTTCAAGTCGGCGGCTTCCATGCGAGGGTACTGTTATGTTGAGAGCATCTCGTCAACATGTTAGGAGGTCGTAGAAGTTCGATCGAAGTTTTGGCGAAGGTGGGAGGAAAGTGAATATGTTATACAAGAGGCATGTCGTATTTAAGAACGTACCGCCGACGGTAAAATGTTATGAGAGGGAAACGTGTCCAGACCAAAAGCCCGGCTGGTGCCTTCGCCATGGAGTGAGGCGAAACGATGTGGGAAGAGCACAAAGATCTACCGTGTTGGGATAGTAACAGCATGTGAAAGCAAGACTAACGATATGAGCATAAATGAAGCGTGATTTTATAGGATCCCTGGGTACGTCTGTGTTGATAGAGGAGAGTTATACCAAGGTAGAATACGTGTGAAGTCAATAGACATGGAGGACCTTTTGGAGGCCGTCTAGGTAACAATGGGGACAACACGTGATTCTCGGCGTTTAGCGTGGAACTCGCCCTGAGAGGATAGGCGTCATCGCAGCTTCCCAAGCTCGCAACTCCACGCCAAAGGCATCTCCACATCGCCATCCCGCTACATCCACCCTACCACCGCATCAGTTAACAACAAGCTTGCGCTGAAGCAAGCCGTCGCATCGCCACAGGCAACCCCATACACGGTCGAACTAGCGCATCAATCACCCAGCAACCACAATGGCGAACGGGTCAGTTCCGCGCAAAGCAGCTCTACAGCTAGCATCAAACTAATACAAGACAGCTGGGCACCTATCATCGGGCTCATAGTCACCGTCATCTTCTGCGGCGCAGCGTGGTTCCTAGCTCCCAAAGGCGAAAACCAAACGTACGTTCACAACATCCCTTCGCCCAAGTCCACACCCACACCTACAAAGCCCAGTTTGCGCACCAAGTCCTCTTTGGAGCTGCCCCTCGCCAACCCCGAGGATCGAAGTGCTGGGAGGACGTGAGAGATCTTGAGCTAACTTGATTGGATAGGGTCTGGCGATCTACGCTCGTTCTGTCTGCTGCTGCCATGTACATCATGTGGGCTATTACTTTCCTCGCGCAACTCCACCCTCTTATCTCGCCTATCCGAGGCGACTTACGGCCAGAATACAATGGAGGACGCTAGCGCATCACGTTTGCGGATCATAAAGGCGTGAGGGATATGCATATAACAACGGCGGTTTGGGGTAGCCTACACGGGACGACAGAAAGCGCCAGAACATATACCGAAGGGACGCATCATGCTGGAGCAACTGGGTACTGGAGAGCTACATCTAGTGTCGTTGGCTATGGGCGACCAAAGCAGTGCATTGATGAACATTTCAGCGCATGTGTATAGTTGGTTTGGCGTATTACGGCGCTTCTTGGCTTGTACAAATATCAAATGGGTATCATTGTTTGCAACCAGAACGCTCATGTTTATTTTACCGAATCGCGTTTCCGACCCAATCCCACACATTGCCAGCAATCGTCCAATCACTCAAGTATCCTTCCCATCCAGTCCCCAAGCCCGCAGCTCTCAGTATACCCCATCCCACCAGCGTTCTCAGCCCAGCCCCAATACCAACCAACATACCCGCTCTGATGTACCCACAATCCATAAGTATCTCCAGTGCAGCGATGTTGTTCACTATAACCGCCCAACTGACTGCCGTCGCCGAACTAGGCAAATCGTAATCCCAGATGATTAGCAGTATAGGAAACAACTTGGTGCAGCTACTGACAAGTAGAGCGGTTGACAAAGGCGTCGGAGAGGAGAAATACGGTATACACTTTTGCCAGAGTCTGCGCGCTGCACCAGGTAGACGCTCCGCGTCAAAGGCGCACAGTACACGTATCGGTAGATGGAAAGCCAGTGTGGACAGCGTGACCAGACAGAGGAAGAACAGGTATTGCAGGCCAAGCGGATGTGCTTGCAGTACCACCGCGTTCGTTATCCCGTCATGTGGTGGCACAAGTGGGCTAGTCGACGTCATGTTCGTAGAAGGGGAGGGCGGCGAAGGATGGTACGGAGATGTGGCAGGGAGAGCTAACTTCTCGATACGCGCCCATGTTAGATAGACGTCGAAGAGGAGAAGTAGTATTCCCAGTCGCAAGATTGAACGCTAGACCTTATATTAGCCCTACCTTTGCTCCAAAACGTGAATGAATACTTGCATCAAAACGACTATCGTCCCTCCCCAACCGATTGAACAGTAAATGCCGATACACTTCCGCCTTGATCAATACCAGGTCAATGAACAGAACCACGAAGTCATGTTCAACGTATTTGTCCGCAAACTTCTTGCACACGGGACACTGCGTTAGGCGAACACCTTTTCCCAGGGCTCGATCATCGGCTTTGGAGTAGGTTGTGTAGAGCGTGCGCACGGGGGTGCGACAGGATATGCATATTGGCATCGCAGAGAATGATGGTCCGTGCGGTTGTTACATGGCGCAAGGAGGTAGGACGGGTGTGTGTTTGTTGCTTGCGACGCGAGATGTGAGGTCGCGGAGTGTTGGAGAAGATGCGGAAGGTGACGATGCTTGTGGAAAGCGTTCGGCACGGTGTTTGGCTGTGGGGCTTTGCTAAAGTCCGACATCAGATTCGCTGCCAGATCAGCACTGCCAAAACGTCTTGTAGATCCAGTCAAATGTCCTTCCATTACAATATTTCATTCAAGAATACGCTAGCCTTGATTATGCTCCGTCTTCGTCTTATGTCCTACAAGATTGGTTGTAATACATTCAATGCTTTTGACGCCAATCCCATTCTCATGCCACCTATTCAACGCCTCGCGCTGCAAGAATGCTAACGAAGAGAAAACAACCCAAAATACGCAATCATCGCTTCTGTATATCTCCACAATGCTCTCACTCTGATTCCCTTCTCTTCAACTCACGGCTTCTTAGCGCGCAGCTTCCTCGAGCGTAGCACTGAGATCCCTCGCCCGCTGGATCCAAGCCTGATCATCCATGTCCCGCCCCAACACATCGCTGCTCAAGATGATGCGCATTACTTCCGCAAGACCAATGGCGTTCTCAGGACCACCAAATAACGCGCCAGTTCGTCTGCTTACTGCACCCCACTGCTCTACGAGATAGATGATCCACTTAACAAGCAGTTTGCGGTTACGACCAGCAAAAGGCTGTTCCTGTGCATACCATAGTGCTTCCAGAGTGGCGACCAGGTTCTCAAATGGCGCTTGAAGTTTGAGGAATACATCGATCGGCCACGTGAGGTTGGAGTTGAGTGCAAGGTTCTGCGCATTCGGCGCATTAGCATCGTGTACGTAGAACTCGAGGTCGTATTGGAGAAGAAGCTGCAGGACGATGTTCACTGGGAAAACGTTGTCGTTAAGGTTGGTACGATGACCGAGGTCCTCTACCTTCAGTGCGACGATCTCCCAAGGTGCTCCCTGACGATCAGCCAGAGCATTGCGATGTGTTTGGTCAATAAGGTTAGTCCACGTCGAGCGGATATCGGGTACGCTGCGGTAGTCGGCAGCGTGGTAGATCAGTAAGCATATGTCGTAGTATGCCGCTTGATCGGCATAGTCGTGGTAAAGCTAGAGGAGTATTAGTAAAGTCATCACTAGGGATGTGTCATAAGAAACTTACTTCATCAAGAGGGTGGATCTGGCCGTTGAGGTGATCAATGACATCTTCTCTTCGCTTCCCAGCAAGTCGCTCATCGCCCTTGATCCTTTGTAAAACATCGTCTTGAATATTCGCAATGTCCAAGTGATCAGTAATGTTTCTTAGAAGCTCCTGTCTTGACTGCCTGTTGCGTACCCCGTTCTCCGCGAACCCATTCATCCGTGTAGAGGCATTGGCCTTTGCGCGTGACAGATACTCTATCCTCTTCTCCAGTGTCAGGGGTAGGGTGCTCTTGGCGAGCTGGTATTGTGTCTCAGCAGCGCTGAGGTAGTCGTTGTAGTGAGCGTAGTAACGCCATAACAAATCCGCATGTGCCAAGTTTGTCTCAGAGCTTTGCCGCAAATAGTCGACTACAAAAGGAGAATTGATCTCCAGCAATCGCTCGGCCCAACCGTTCTGCATGTACCAATCGTACAAGTAGTTTTGAAAAACCTCGTCGTCTGAGCTGTTGATCTGCTCGTAAGCTTCGTGCTTGCGACGAGTGACCTGTGAGATGACACCATCGGGCACGGGGCCCTGCGTGTTGTACGCTTGATCTACAGCTTCGACAACCTTGCAGATCAACGTGTAGCAAGAGGCGCGTTTGTCGAAGTATTCTCGGCGCGCGTCATTCGAGTCGACATTGCTATCGCCCTTGTCTCGAATCCAAGACAAAGCTTTGTTACCCCGATCCCATTCCTGAGCGACTTTCAGAGCAAGTCTGATAGCACCTAAGTGGCACGTTAGTACTGTCAAAGAACGGATAGTCAATTGAGCTTACCAGCATAGAACTCGAGTTGAATGTACTGATTGACTGTTGCAGCCAGGTTCTCGTAGCTCAGACTCTTCGCCACCTGCTCGAACAGTCTCAGACTGTCATTGAGCAAGATGCGTCCACGTTCAGCGTTTGCGCCGGAATCAGCAGCCTTCTTCAGACTCTCTTGGGCCTTGAAGATGACAACATCGTCTGAGCTGCAGAAGCTGCCGCATTTCCTCCGCAGAGCTTCGGCAACTGATTCAACGTTGGAACCCTTGGTGATGTTGCGGTTTACAATAGCCTTGACAAGCTCCCTTGCAATCTCTTTACCTTCTTTGACGGAGAAAAGACCGTGGAAGGTGAGTTGGCGTACCCTTCCTTGTAGTTGAGGATCTGGCAGCAATACCAGAATATCTTCTAAGCGCTCTTCAAAAAGTACCAGGACAAAGGATATTCCCTCAACAATGTTGTTGATCATCTGCAACAAACTATTGAGCGCCCTGTTCTCGCCTTGGAGCTCTACTTCTTCTTGTCGCGATGTTGCACGTCCGAGTGCCTCTGGACCGGCCAAGCCTTCAATGAAAGATCTGTTCGATTCGAGGAACTCTTGGAGTTGAGCCAAAGAACGCTGGACTTCTTGCAACTTGGCGATTGGATGTGTCGATGTGAGGGCGGGTCCGGTCGGTGTAGCAGTCTCCGCGATAATAGGGGTATTCCAGATGGACCGGACAATGCGCGACACATACATGGCAATACCATCGTGTCTCGGTGATGCGCGGACATTCTCTACACTCAAGCCTTCTACTGTCGCGCTCTCTGTCAGATGTGCTTTCCCACCAAATTCAATAAAGACTCTACGCGCAAAATCAATGACCTCGGGATCAGTAACCTTCGCGATGCGTGAATCGGGTCCGACGTCTGAGCCTTGACCGCACGCAACAGCCAAAGCCGTAGCGGAAGTCTCGGCCAAACCGTACTGCTTCGCGAGCTTGCGGATGTCGCCTTCAGCGCCTTCCTGGCCTCCGTTCTTCACAATGGAAGCAAATATGTCGACAAGTCTTCTCCGTCGGACCGTCTCGATGCCGTGCGACGTGATGATTGCATATTCGCACAGGGGTTTGTCGAATTGGGTTGAAAGCTCATTGCCGAAGCCAAGAGGTTCGTTCCTCGCCGAAAAGGGTTCTGACACCAAACCAATGTCCTGTACTCTGCCTATGAGTTCTGTATACAAGCCAGTCTCGGTGTATCGTGGAGGTTCCGAGCTTTCTCGCTGACCCAGTAGCCCAGAGTGAGGGGCGGAAACAAACATATGATGGTTTTGGTCGTTTGGCGATCGTAGGACAAAAGAGAAGAATGCACCGGGCGCGTACCGCGTTGCAAGAGTGGTCTCTCTAAGATATCTCGACTCGAATCCAACCGCGGTGCCTCCCTGGTATGGCTGCACCTGAGTTGAAGTGCTCTGCTGCGAAGGCTGACCGTCGTTGGGAGGGAATCGAATGTGTCGTAGTTGCATACTGTTTGGTGCGCTGGTGCTGTTGGCACTCCATTGTCCACCAGATGTCGTGCTCAAATACAGCCTACATCCTGACGATGTTGTGGCCATCAAAGATAGATTGTCTGCTTCGGTACTCGAGATGGGGCTCAAGTGAACGATCTGCATCTTGTCCAGGACGCCTGTCGGCCGTACAATGTGCCCACACATTGTCTCGATTTGTGTTCGTGTCCTGGTGAGAGAGCTCTCGAGGACGTTTGGCGCGCGCATGTAGTAAACCTTGATGGTACCGTTGGTAGAAAGTGTGTACAGGACGTTGCGGGTGTCGTCGATTACCATCTGCTGGATGCCGGCTTGTCGCGTTGGTCCGTAAAAGGGCAGTGCTGGGAGGCCAATGGAGGTTGTGACGTGGTTTGTCTTGCTACACTTGCTGGAAAACCATTTGTCTTCCTGCTGGTAGTTCAGCTCGTATACGTCCTCGGTCTGGCCATCGCCAAAGAAGATGCGCCCGGTTGTTGTCGAGCCGGCGATTGCAGTCACGTTGATCTTCCTGACCGAAGTCGATAGTCCGGTCCGGTACATTGTGATGCCGTGAACGCCTTCGGGACCTCGCTGGCATTCGACAGCGATAAGGAAGATGTCTGAAACGGTCGCGACGACGAGTAGGTATTCGATGGTGCCAACAAAGACGCCAGGCCGCGGCTTGACGAGCTTGACACAAGTGATGTTGCTGGGTTGCTCTTCAAATCCGACGAGTTCAGGATTTGGATGTGTGTAGTCCCAGAGGTAGACCTGGTTGTCCACGACAACCCAGGCGTGGTTGATCTCAGCGAACAGGCCCATGCTCGTCGACATCTGCGTGTGGTCTACCTGCTCAAAGACGGCCTCTGGAAGTTTGTAGGAGCGCAGTTTCTGGAACGGCGCCCACGCCGGGCTGTTGGGCAGTTCATACTCGCCCGAGATGCCCTCTGTGCGGCTTTGTTAGCACTTCAGCAAGCTTGTACGACTGTTGCGTGACTACTCACGTCCGATGTATGCCTCTAGAGCGGGAAACCGGTTGTCTCGATCCAGCATGCTGTTGATAGTCCGCGATGCGCGATCGATCGGGCTCTCTGTTGGCGGTGCAGGCAGCGCTTGCTGTTGCTGCGGTGGTGGTTGCGACATGGAGCCTGTTCGAGCGAAGCCAGGCCGGTTGGGCGCAGGTGTGTTGACGAACGCCCCGGGCGTGGGGCGTTGCGGAGTCGCAGGCGCCATCTGGAAGGCCATGATGGATTGTGTATGGGGTTGACGTGTTGCGCTGGTCGTAGCCCGGGTGACAGCGAGCTTCAGATGGAGGTTGGGGGAACGCGCCGGGGAGATGGCGTGCACATGAGCTGCGCGCGGAGGCTTAGGTGGTGTCGAGGCAAGAAAGGCGCGCAGAGAAGGAGGTCAAAAAAAGTGCTCTGGCGCAATTGCGACGCTGAGGCTCAGGCACAAGGTGCAAAAGTGACGGCGGTCCACAACAAAAGAGATGCTTGGCGCGCAGGGATGCTAGCTATTCGCGTCAGAGCGCGTTAGGGCAGTCCAAACTTTTGTGCTTGGAGTGTTTGACTGTCGACATTTCACGCGCCCCAACTCAATCTCTCCGCCTCGGATCGATTTCGTATTCTAGCTCGTCGTATACGCTGTCTGTGGTTGCTCCTTCCAGCTGCAACATTCACCATGTCATTGTTTCGCACCACAATGCTCCCAAGGCAGCTCCTTGCGGCTCCCCGATCCATGTGTCTTCGCTACTCATCCACTTCTACGCCTGAAAACATTGTTCTCCCCCGCTTGCAGTCCGACCTCAAGACGGCCATGCGTGCGAAGAACAAGCCTGCTCTAAACACAATCCGTGCCCTGCAAGCCGAAATTATAAACGCCTCAAAGACCGCCAAGCCAATCACTACTGATGGTGCCCTCTATTCCCTCATCCAGAAGCAAATCAAGTCTTCTTCAGCCTCGATTGAAGAGTTCCGAACTGCGAAGAGGCATGATCTGGTAGAGAAGGAGCAGGCGCAGCTGGATGTCTTGAACGGATATGCCAAAGAAATTCCAACAGTAGAGGAGAGCGAGATTGATGCGTTGGTGAAGAGCGCAGTTGAAGGATTGGAGCAGGGCAAGAGGAATGTCGGTGCCGTCATGGGCAAAGTCATGGCAGGCGTCAAAGGACGACCGTTTGACTTGGAGTATATCACGAAGAAAATACAAGAAGCTGTTGGGGCCAAATAGACGACATGATGCGCTGGGTGGGGGCTGGACGATTGTAGAACAAGTGTACAAATTCTGTGTAGACTACCGACTCCTCTCCAGAAGAGGTAACGAAAGATACGACCAAATTACGACACCAGAAATGATGCCTTGAAAATTGCTTTTGCCTGGTTGAGCCGATCCATCAATTCGGTGGACATGTCGCTTTGCGGGGTATCGTTACCACTCGCTCGTGGCCTCGGAACGTGGCAGCTTTGACAGTCCAACATGGCAGAGTTGCATGGAAAATTCCATTCATGTCTGTTGGTTGTCCATGCGTTCAGACACACGGGCTGGAGCATTGTAGCACAGTTACATGGTGGCTAAGGCAGCACCTAAGCGGATAGCTGCGCCGCGATCCGTTTCCTGGCTCCGGGACTGACGTCATCGGTAACCAAGGCTTCGTTTGGCGGACATGCATCCCCTCGAATGCAGTCGGTGACAGACACTGACGGTAAGGATAGCCTGGTGTGTCCAAACGACGTTGGGTGACAAAACCAAGTATTTTGTCTCTGCCGGCGATACTCAAAAGATGTAGAGACCTCACATGACAGTGGGACATGCCCAACATGAGCCCGAACCCACATGGATTCACATGAAACTGAACCATGGGGAACTCGGCGGCAAATGAGAAACCAAGGCATATCAGGGGTGCGTCGCTCCAGTCATGGCATAAGTTAGCGCCCAGGCCAGATGCAGGGAGTGCAGCATGCGCGAGCGCCGATGACGAAGCCCGTCGCGAATCCTGCATATCAAGTTGGTTGCACCCACACACCACCAAATCTCCGGCGAGACTTACATCCAAGACACTTATATTCTCGTTGATCCGCTTGTTGCGCCACCCTCAGTCTGTCGCATTACTGTTGCTGGCGCGCCTAGTACATGCCTTGTTCCCTTGTGACATCTTCCGACACATAACCGGCAGCCCCGCACCATACCTCATACATCATCACACAACCACTGACAAGCCGCACTCGACCCTTCAGCCATGTCCGTCTACCGCTCCTCAACGGGCAACCTCGACCGCTTCGAAGAGCCGCCCCGTGGCGGCGGTGAGCGATGGGACCGCGAAAAGTTTGAGCGCATGAGAAGAGGCGGCGGCGGTGGTGGTGGAAGCGTCGCTAGCGGCAGTGGCCGTGGTCGCGATGAGTACGACCATTACCGCTTCCAAGAGCATGATCGCTTTCCCGGCGGCCATCGCGATATTGACTTCCATGAAGACCGCGCACGCAGAGGCCCTGCCGTCATGGAGAGAGAACGTTTCCACGAAGATGAGCGCTTCGACCGCCCCCGCCGCCGCGCCCCCTCCGAGTTGTTCCATGAGCCTACCCCGTCCGAAGTTGCCAACCAGGCGCTTGCTCCGTACCGCCGCAGGTCCGTCATCGACAAAGACATCAACATCGACATTGACATCAATGAGCGTCGGGGGCCGCTCCCACGTCCGCCTCGCCCGGCTCGGCCGCAGTTTATCCGACGACAGTCATCTCTCGACACTTTTGACCGTAAGCCCATGCCACGGTACGGCGATGTAGAGAGATACGAGAGGTACGAAGACCACGAGTACCGACCACCAGCCAATGTTCCCATCCCACTTCCAATTCGCGAGCGTCGACGATCACCCCCTCGTCGTTTCCACGAGGAAGATGACTTTGAGGAAATTCGATACGACGACCGCAGCGCAAGAGGCCGGGAGCGAGAGGACTACCGCGAGGTCGAAGTTCACCGTGAGAAGAGCAGAGTCCGGAGGAGCAAGAGTGTAGCAGCCAAATCGACACGCAGCTCTTCCATCTCCAGCTTTGAAGAAATCCAGCCTTCCCGTGCGACCTGGGGCAAGAAGGGCAAGACGAGACTTCCCAAGCGCTTGGTCAAGAAGCAAGCTGTTATCGACTTGGGCTACCCATTCGAAGAAGAGGTATGCCGTTCATTCACACTACTAGAATGTCACTGATCATATTAGGACGACTTCATCATTGTTACCCGAGCACTCGAAAAGGAGCATATCGATGAGGTGATCAAGATCAGCGAAAGCTACAAAGAGGGTACGCATCCCATCATCTCTGGACGATCTTTTCTAACCATCTGCAGAGAAAATCACCTACGTGTATGAGGAGAAGGCTGATGAAGCCCCACCACCGCCAGCTTCGGTAGCTCCACCAGCTTCGGTCGCCCCTCCGCCTCCACCACCTGAAGAATACTACCCTCCTCCACCGCCATCTGTAGTACACGCACCACCCCCACCTCCACAAGTGGTATACGCTCAGCCGCCTCCACCTCAGGTTGTCTATGCCCAACCTCCACCGTCTCACCACGCGCCAACTGTCTACGCGCCATCAGAGCGTGCACCTTCCCCATCCATCCACGAACATGAGCGCTACGTCGAAATCGACCGCTCAGCCGCCATCCACGGACCAGCGACTTCTTTCCTCCCAGAAGGCCGCCAGCTCGTCCGCCGAGACGATCGCCGTTCTGAGCGCGAAATCCGCGACGAGATCCGTTTCCTGGAGGAGGAACGTCGCATGCTCAAGTACGAGCGCGAAGGCGACCGCGAGTATGAATTCGTCGAGCGTACCCCCCGCAAGGAGGTTATGCGCGTCGACAGAGATCGAAAGGGTAGGTTAGCCCTTGTTCGCTCGGCCCATTAGAACGACTCGTTGATATTCGGTGGTTACAGTACTAGTACGGAAAGATCGCCCAAACCCCAAGATCGTGGCGCTGGCTATGGGAGCTCTGTCTTAATCAATCGATTCGGATTTTTGAACCAGAATAAGCGTCCGTATCTCTGGATCGCTATAACTAGAATGCGGTAAAGGGTGGTACTGGGCTATCGCAAGAAAGCCTCTTTCTCACGTCTCTTAACGAGTTACGGCCGACTTTTTGGGACATTTCTTCTATTCTCAATCTCTATTGTTCATGAGTATCATTTTTGTTTCAGGGCGCGGATATACAGGCAAACGTCATCATGTTAGGATTCATGGGCAAGTTATGAGTTATGTATGATAATGAATTATTACGACTACAAAGCATGTCTATGACATATGTCTGATTTAGTGGTCTGTAGACTCGTGATCTCAGTGACCCATAATGAACTAGTAGTTTGCTCAGTCTTTACTGCCTTTTTTTTTCCTTTCGGAAAGCCAACGTACAAACCCTATACACTTGGTTGATTCAGCAACATACATAATAGAAATACCAATCATCAGTCAGGAAAAGAGCTTTTCTCTAAACATCCCTCATCGCGTAGATGGAACAAACCCGGAGAGACTGGTAGCCATCTGTCCAACTCCGATTACAATGCATGTGGACCCACTTCCACAATTGGTCCAATGTACGACTTCTTTGCGAAGAGAAGATAGTACGCCACACTGAACAAGGCAACCGACCCGGTTACGACACCTGCCCAATTCATATGCACAAGATCGGGGCTGACCTCGCTTGGCCAGAAACTGAAGAAGATAATCAAGGTGAGATAGCAAATGGCGACGACGTTGTTGGCCACACCCCACGCCCCTGCTAGACGCCAAGGACCCCAGGTCAGGCTGCCATCGTAAGCTTCGTCGATTTGGGTTTCATTGAAGATGGTGAGCGAAGACTCAGGATTCTCTAGGTCCCCACGGAGCCGGCGCCAGAGGAGAAGACCGATTGCGAGAAGGTAGGAGAGGTAGAAACCTTCCAGGACGACGAATATCGTCCCGTTGAAAGCAGCGCTATTGCCGATATTGATCAGAGCCAGGAGGGCGGTAGATACCGTGACGGCTAGGATGGAGACTATGGGAATTGTGCTGCGCTTGTCAATCTACTATTGGTTAACTACACACTCTTCGAAAGCCTGTCGGTGCAGACGCTCACCACACTGAGAGCACGCGAGAAAGGAAGACCACGGTCTCGAGCAAAAGACCAAGTCATACGAGATGCAGCGGCCAAACATCCCATTGCGCTACAAAATTCGAGGAGAACGATGATGGCAACCATGACAGTAGCACCAGCCTCGGATCCGACAGCGTCTTTGAAGATGCGGAGGAAGGGCGCGGTTGCGGCATTTTGATCGCCAAGCAATGCTGGGATATCGTGTGCACTGAAGAGAACAGCGAAAAGCATGCCTAGTGCTAATGTACCGTTTACGACAAGACTGAGAAGCATCGAGCGAGGGACGTCGGTACTGGCGTTCTTGACCTCTTCAGCCATCTATGATCGTTAGTGAGATGTGATATTGGAGGTTATTTGGCTTACGTGGACAACTGAATCCGTTCCAACAAATGCCAAAGCATTACCTTGAAGCCCGACAAAGAAGGCTAGAGTTTGTGTGTTCCAAGCACCTTCGTTGTGAAATGTCGTGAAAATCTGCTTAGCAGAGTTGTGGATAGGAGTCAGATATACCAGTGGCACCAGAATGCCGAAGAAGCCAAGAACGTGGACAATCAATACAACGACTTCGATGGTAGGAAGTGCTCCGCTTATGAAGACATTGATGAAGACACATAACAGTAGTATGGCCCAAAGGAGAAGAGTGCCGTGCCATCCTTCTCGAGTATAGGTTCTGTCAAGATCATTCAGACTGACCAGTTGGAGAATCAGGTCCGCAACGAAGTAACACACGGAAGTAAGAGCTGCTATCCAACCAACGACAGTGAGCCAGCCTAAGAGAAATCAGAACAGACTAATCCAGTCTTAAATACTGCACATACCAGTCAGATAGCTGAAGAACTTCTTGTTCGACCGTGGCGCCAACAAGGAAACCCAATGGTATTGTCCACCAGCAGTTGGAACTGCACTGGCAAGCTCGCCTATACAGACGAAGACGGAGAAGTTACCCAGCCATATAAGTATGAAACCGTAGATGAGACCAGCAGGGCCGCCACTGCAATGTCGTCAATCGCTGTTGGAAATATAAAAAACATTGAGCACTTACTTCGCGAAGCCTATAGAGAAGATGCTGCTGTGATATCAGCAAGAGTCTTCGTGACAGTCACGCAAACTTACACAAGCAAGGTCTCCCAAGTACACATCAATCCACACGAGAGTCCAGTCATTGACGCCAGTCCGAAGCGGCGCTGATGTTATCAGATCCTAAAGGTACGTATTTCTGGAGCAGTTCATACCTTCAGTACTTGCTCCTTTCCCACCCTCGCCAACTCATACTTGTCGCGATCGAATTTAGGGCCTTTCCCTTCTGACATGGAGCCTCTCCCCCTTTGCCGCAGAATCTCATGGTCGAACGTCTGCAGGTCAATATGCTTCTCCATGATAACCTTTGTCCTAGTTTTTTTAATCCGAAACGTGTTGAGCAACAAGAAGGAACAAAGGCAGTTCGCAGTAACAAGTCTCCAGCAAGCAAATGGACCAGGAAAGGAAAGAGAAGAAGATACCCGGGACGTGTGCCGTGATACAGGGCATATTCTATGCAAGTCAATCTCGATATATACCCCTTCCAAGTATAACGTGAGCCATGTACACCTGCAAAGACGGCAGAGGTGAGGACCGGGAGGCGGCCGTTCGGCAATGCAATCGAGCCTATGGAAGTTAGACACTAAGCCAGTGATTCGCACCGCAAAGGCAGTTGGAGGCTCTCTGCAGTGACGGCGGCAACTCGCAATTCGACGTATCACACTGCAGTCGTAGTCTGAGTGACTGGTCCACAGTAAACGGGCGTTGATTGGCGCTTGAGTTGCACACTCGGGCTGCCGAAGCTGCAAAAAGCGGTGGCATGCATAGTTGTGGATCCCTCATTCATATATCTTTCAGGTGGTAGAGGCAAACGAAGTTTTTCCCAGCCGTCTTCGCGTATTTTTCCAGCAGCATGGGCTATGCTTGAATGGTGAATGCATATCTGCACCCGGCCATCATACTGTGCATATGCCTAGGAAACCGGCGTCTCCAGTTTCTGCAACTAGCAAGAGGACTGGTAGAGCATTCGATCGCAAGACAAAATGGAGTCAATAAGAGGCACCTGGCATCGTCAGCACTTGTCTCTCAACGTGCGACGACGGGCTGCCATAGCTATCCAGTTATATGTGAACCAAGGATTAAGCAGGTAGCAAGTGGCAACAACAACTGCTGTCATACCGTAAAGATCGAAAGTCAAGGCCTTCCTGCAGATCTGTTGTGGTACGGAAATGGCCAAAGAGGGTTGCTGTTGTTGGAGGATGAAAGGAGAGTGGATCACTTTATGTTCCACGAAGCTGGTAAGTCATCGTTGACCCACGTGGAAATCCGCCTCTCAATACATCCGCGTGGTTTCAACGGCTATCATGACGTATTGAAATATCTTGCATGACGGCTCAAGCGACACGCGAGCTACCTGGGAAGGGATGCGCCGCTTTGCACCAGATGATGTGCGAGCTGAGATCTGGCTAGCATGTCTGTCAACACGCTGCACTGCTATCGGAAGCCTGCGTAGGTGTATGCCATGCTTGTTGCATAATTCTATCTACTCTTGGATGCCAGCATGTGCAGCTACTGGCATGCCACATTGCATCTTGGTGCAGCACGCGTGAAACACTCCTTTTGCGGCATACTACGGAGTACGAAAGCCCGAGGAAACACAAGACCTCTTGTTGACTGGAACAAGCGCAGACTCAAATATGAGTAGAGATTCGAGATCGGGAGTTGACCTGGTCAATTGCTATCGCTGATCTCTCATGCTTATGCGACGTATGAATGTAATCGGATGCGACTGGCAAGCACTTGACTAGAGTCTCTTGAGAGTCAAGGCGGTCGGTATCACCTCAGAACGCTGAATCACTCAAAGATGTGCCTGGCTCACGGATCGTGGCACAGTGGAAGGTCCCTATCGCTTACGTGACTGTGATACCACCTCAGTGGACAATTTTCCAAGCATGATGAGACAACGTTTAGTGGTGCGATTGTACTTTTGATTGAGAGAAGTCCCCAAAGACCTTCTTTTAGGGAACTGTACGTCGGGGATCATAAGAAAATATAGCTCATTCGGTAATCGCAAGGTATCATTACTCAGCGAAGGTGATATCGCAAAAGGTTAACTAGCGAATACGATTCAATGCATGATCACGATTTCATTGCTGGAAGCATCACAACTCTTCACCTCCGCTTCCTCCCATTGCGCGCTAACAACCGTAGTCTTTAAGATCTTGGAACGACTTGCAGTACTGGCTGTCTCCCACCTTTTGTCATCCCATCGCTTCTGGTCATGCTTGTGATGTACAGCAGTTATTTCAACGTCCATCTCCCCATCAGCACGACGAGGACCTCCAGGAACACCGGATGCAGAATTGGCGTTTGTCGTCTTCTCTTGTGAAAGCATTGGTAAGAATCGTCTGATTCTGTTTCTTTCCGTGTGACTCTTATGACTATGTCTTATTCCAGCACCCACCTTTGAAGTAGTGCTTGAGAGTTGATACGAGAAGCTTTTATTGTGCGAATAGCCATGTTCTGAGGATGTGCCCCGACGTCGGAGCTCGTCACTCCCATAGAGGCCCGATGGTACAGATTCTAGGAGCGGACGAAGGTAAGGCACACATGATGTGAGAATTGTTATGCATTCGATGATCTGTGTGAAGAGTGTCCATTTCCAAAGATCCTTAGTCGGGTTGGGTGATGTGAATCCGCGAACGTAGGCCATCTGGACTGCGGAGGCTACGATATCTCTGCGACATGTCAGGAGGGGAAGATCATGGCAGAATGTTTTGCGTCTCACAGTGACCGCGCACCAAAGAATGTCAGGATAGTGATCTTCTTACTCGTGCTCATCTGTAGCGTCATGATGACGTGTACTGGGAACAGTATTAAGGCCAAATCTGTCACTATGTTGACGACACCCACCGTCTGCCAGAAGGTAGCCTGGATACATTGTCAGTAAAAGCCTCAGATATGCCAGCTTACTTTTGCGATATACCAGATTAAAGCAATCTCCTCCCCTAACAAGGAAGCGCCACGGCTCTATAGCGCCACATTGGAAAGCCGATACGACCTCGGAAAGCGCGCTCCACAATGCGATGAATCCAGTTAAACCCAAGCCTAGATTCCGATGCAGTTTTGACTCAGTCAGAATCATCAGTAGCGAGATAATGGATAGTTTCGCGAAACATAATGTTGCGACGTAAAGCAGCTTGTTCGCATATTCCGCCTGCAACGCGATCAATGAACACGTCGCCTCAACAAGGCTGAATCAGGTGCTTACTTGCTGATACACCACAATCTGACGCTCAGTCAACACATGACTATCTCGTCCAAGGCCACTGTCGATCTGCACGCTGACCGATGCACCAGAGCATATACTCGCAAGCTACTCAAGATCAATTAGCAAGAAAACATCCATAGACTTTGGGCAATTGCATCCATGATGACGTACCAAAGCAAGCAGAACGAACGCATCGTCAAAATCAAGGCTCCTCCTGAGTGCACGCTTCGTGATAAGCCTAGTCAGGACCGCCAAAGCGGAAGTGATCAAGAGAATCCAGGTCACCACGTTGACGAACGGACCGACATCCGCGCTGCTTCCGGGTTGGCGCGGGACAGGGTGATGAAAAGAAACAAAGAGAGATGGCGCCATCATCGCATCGTATTTGTTGTGATTAGATCGGGCACCAGAAAGAGCAGCGCAAATCGCCAAAAGAAAATGCTAGGGTAGTGACAGCCAGCAAGAACAAACAGTCTCATCACACACCAGAATGTGCGGTGGGCAAGGGCGCCAGTCAATACTGGTGCTCATGCAATTGAAAGGTTGGTACGTATGGATAACAAGCTTCCCAATGCGCCTATCCATCTGATAGAGGGACAGAGTCAGACACCGCCAGGTAGCCTACATTTGGGGACCACTAAAAATCAGTACAGCACACACTGTAGTTATCCGCTCTTCACCTTAAGGCGACACATACTTGCAAACGAGAGAGGTCAATTAGATTGGGAGCTGGCTGGGCAAGGATTTACTAGGCTGACAAGCGGTCGGACAGCGTTGTACAAGTGTAGCAAAATAAAGCCACCAGTACGTAATGACGACTAGAGATCTGTGTATACTCGGCTGAACCTGCCTCCTTGTGAAGGCAGGCGTTTTTGTTACACGATCTAAGTCTGGTGAGGCTAACAGACGCTGGCAAGTTATTTCAAGGTACACGTCGGGCGCTAGAATAGTAAGCTGCATCGGAGCAGCCGGTATGTTAGCTTGATAGCTTGTAGGAGACTCGTCATTATGCAATCGCTTGCTAGCCTGCTCCAGGGTCTGCTAACCTTGGTGAAACCTTGCGACACATCAGACTCGGCGCAGTACCACGTCTGTTTGTAACCGCGTGATTGAAAAGTGGTAGCGCAATCCGGCAGTGGAACATTTGACAGCACAACCTTGTGAGGTGTCTCATCAATACGCAAAGTCGCATTCGGGTGGCTGCCGCAACGGTGGCGCTATCTGTCAGATATGGCTGTTCACAGATTGTTGCACAAAGAAGTTTGTGGCAGCCGCCAAGGCGGATGTTCAAAGGTCAAGGCCGAATGATAAAACCCACATAAGCAGCGGTGAAGTGACGGATGTTCGTATTCTGTTATGCTGCTACATCGCTCTTCGAGACTCATGCTTGAGACTAAAGAATTCCATCTCTTCCATGTACGTAACAAATGTGAGATGCGTCGAGCTTAGTCAAACCTGGGAACTTGACATGTGACTTGGGTCGGAATCCCACAAAGCATGAGCTCGTACTTCAACTCAAGATGCTTACGGACGGATCTCCACAGGGTTCTTCGCTGGGCGATGAAAATCGGGGACGCTCCTCTCCACGATAATGCTGTCAGCATCAACAACCGCTCTGCCGCCAAGGAGATGTTTCATGAGTTCCTTGAGCTTCTTGATATCATCCTGACTGAGGTGACTGATATCGCCAAGTGTCGGTTTGCCGTGATTATCCCAATTGACTCTATCATCGATAGGTGCCGGGTTGCGGGCGACTTCATTGATATCTGGTACGGCTCGTGCGACAGAATGCAGGGTTATTGGCGCTGCAGTGATGCCCACAGCAGAGGCAAGTAGCGGAATTAAACCGGTAGTGATGTGCATGGTGGGTGGATCGCAGACAATGTGCTTAGTTCCTCTTTTTGGTGCTGCCCATTATTAGAAGGTTCATGCCCTTTTTAGCATTCCTACTTACTTCAGGGAAAAGGTTACAAATGCGAAAGTGGTGTATGAGATGGCGTGGTTCCAGACCTTCGCTACGGAATATAAGTATGAGCTCCTTTAAACCCAGCGTAGCATCTTCGGAACCATTGCTTCTCGTACGTGATCAAGACATCCCGACGTTTCAGACACGCACGCCTTTGAGGTAGCTCGGCCACTTTCAACAATTTTCCGGTTCCGTATCAGCGTTGCACTGCGCTTCTTGCATCCTCGCCTTGTAGTCAGTTCAAGAGACTCATCGATGATCTGCGACCATAACATTGACCGTCCAGTGATATACAGAGCGAAGCAGATACTTCCCGTGGCCACGAAATCTTAGGAGTACACGAACTTCCGATCCATGACGTTCGACTGCTCAGGGCTGAGGCTGATGATGTGGTGTAGCCTCCAACGATATCAGGTCGCATATCTATCGGAACTTTGACAGCAACCGGTCTTTCTTACTACAGTCAAAGTCAAAGAAAGGTACAATCTTATTTTAATTGGCGCAAAAACTCAACCCCGTCCTCATGCCATTCTTCTCTTAGTTTTGTTCCAGTCATGGCTTTAGAACACCACGACTTCTTCTCTGTCAACACTCTGTTCATACGCGTCCTTGTGTCCATGATACTGGAAATAAGCCTCTTGAAACTTCCGGTATGGCGATTCCGGTGGACAGAAGGCGAAGTTCTCTAGGGTGTTTGTCGCTTCGCGGTAATCGTCGAATTCGTAACAAGCATGTTGGTCAGGACGCGTGGCCCATGAGATCAGCTTATCCCAGTCACGGCACCGTCGAAGTTGGCCATCAACCCCTTGGTGCGCAACTGGAGCTGACATTGGTGTATCGTCCGCAGTGCACATGATATCCTGGCGAAGGCCATCGAGACAGTGGTAGATGTGAAGAAGATTGAAAGGCCGGGGGTCACCCTTGTGCTTTGAGACGATGGCTTTGCGGACAAGTTTCTGGCAGAGTTAGTGATTTAAAGTAGAGCTTAGCTTGTGGATACGTACGAGACAATGCAGATCATGGATCCCTTTGATATAGTAGATGCTTCGCTCAGTATCCCATGGGAATCGAGTAGAGGGAGGTAGACTCATCCGTTTTGCGAATCCGTCTTCGAGCGTGATTGCCATAGCGTTGGTGTTTATAGCGTCCCATGCTGCCTCCATATCACTATCACTGGCGTTCGGATGCCAGTACTCCGTCATCGCGTGATATGGCACAGTTGTGTCGTAGGCTAGTCCACCTTCGAAATGTGTAAGCTAGAATGAGACTTATATGGCTCCTTGCTTACTATAGTTACTCTTGGCTGGAATGTGCGCGATGCGGAGCTTTGCATTATCCATCACGAGTAAGATATTCGCTGAAAGAGAAAGCAGCAGAAGAGACATGTACACGACGAAGCTTCGTGTGTTAGTCGGGATGATTTCAGTACTCTTAGAGTCCCACGACACGCCTCCCTCGTCTTTCAAATCAGCTGAGATCTCCTCCGGTTCATCGGTGCATACTGGCTGATACGCTGGAGGCCGCTCCATTCTTCGATGCGCTTTGTGAAGTGAAGGTAGGAAGCCAGCCTCCGCGCCTCCATAAGACGGGGGGCGTCCACTGCGTGTAACTAAAACTCGTCTACAGTGGCACAAACATATGTCGCAAGTATGTCCCGACGAGAACGTCCCCCAACCACAACGCTCCGAGCTCGGACCATGAATGAATAGCGACGCGACCAGCCTCGGTTCATCGTTACATCGCCCAGAAAGCCGTCTTCCCGCCCCGTACAATCGAGGAAGGTCGCAAGCAGATGGAGATGGCGATAGCGATACAAGTGTTACCGAGTGGCTGGAACATGTGTGAAAGGTGAGGGGCTATCTGGGGAGGTGTGCTGGGGCGCAAGGCTGTTACTTGCCAGCCTCGCCAAGACGCTAAATGTGTCAACGGTACCTTCCTTGTTGGGATACTTCACCCTAACACGGCAATCTACGATGTCCAATACTTGGGTCAAGCTATATCTCCGATTGCGCTGTCAATGCGTAGCGGCGGCGAGGTAGCGTAGTTGCAAACTACTTTACCTGTCCGATGTCGCCATGGCTTGAGCCGCTTGACCAGAACACCGGTCAGCAGCAATGGGACAACGATACGTGATTCGAGAAGCAAAGACAAAAGAAGAGCTGGATGAGATAACAAACGTTATTTGGGCTGCAAACTACACACCTTACGAGCCGTTTATGCAACTCTTCTTTCCGGTTCTTGGCTACACAACGGCTCATCGCGAAGCTGCCATCGCTGAATCGAAACAACGCATCTGGACGCAGCACCAAGCCGACAACGCCAGCCATTGGTTCTACGCTTTCGATACAGTCACCAAAAAGACTGTTGGTTGTTCGCAATGGGTAATTTCGACATCCAACCCATTTGTCGCAGGCATACCAAAGTTGACCGCGCCTTGGTGGCCCGAAGGCGAACATCGGAGGTTCTGTGAGTCAATTCTCAATCAGGTGTACAGGCCGCGCGCGAATTGGATGACGCGGCCCCATTGTGGTAAGTGGAGCACCTCTTCTTTTCTCCAAACGCGCTATCTTTGGGTTAAAAAATATGATTGTACGAATCAAAGGAATTATCTTCGTTCTGCCGCTGACCTATGATCAGCACTCAATTGGATGGCGGTGAATCCCGCTCATAGAAATCGTGGCGTTGGCTCTCTTCTCATGCATGTTGGCATCACACGCGCTGACGGGCTTGACCTCGAATGTTGGATGGAAGCATCTAGCATGGGCAAGCCGCTTTACGACAAATTCGGTTTCCAGTCTCTGTTGAAGGTTGCTTTTGACAACGAAGACTCGGAGGCAAGTGATGAATGGAGGAAGTGCGCGCATGAGATGACACCTGCGCCAATCTTTGCCATGTGGAGACCGAAGAAATCTAACGGGGCGACTTCTCAAGGAGGCTTTAATCTGCCATGGGCGTTAGGTACTCAGTGATGAGAAGCACTATTCCAGCGGCCCGTATAGGCCATGGTCAGATTATTCGGAGACTGTAGCAGTGCATAGCGGATATGCAATCCAACAAAAGCATGCTATCCCTCGAAGCGGAGGGGTCTCGGAGGTACCGTATTGTGAGAGAACGCGGCTGGGAAAGGGGAGACTAATGAAACATGAGCATGTTACCTTTGGGGGTTTGGAGAACTGGGAGGGAATGTGTACTAGTGGGGTTTCCCACATATTACACTTACCCATAGCACATGAACGCCCGCCAACGAACACACCTAGCACACCTTGTCTGATCCATCGATTTTGTTGCTGTTCATACTCTTCTGCCATGCTGCTGCGTTCTAGCCAGACAATACATATTGACGCACCTTGCATCTTCTACTACCATGCTCCTTGACATTGAGACAGTACACGATTGTACATCGACTGATTGGCAAGTTGGCAGCAATCAATACAGTACTTATGACTGCAATCGATGCAAATGTTGCCGAGCTCTTTTGTCTCTCATCTTCTTCTGCACCTGCAGCATTCCCACAGACAGTTGGGTATCGGTTCTGCACCAGGATCGGGAGTATGATGCAATATCGGGTAGGACGCTTTTTCTTGAGACATGCTAGAGATCGCTTTCGTAGTAGCGTTTGAGAGATCTTCTCGGCAGGTTTGAGAAGCTATTAGTATTGTTGAATTAGGTATAGTCTCTTGTCGCCTCCCAAGCTATCAAAGCCTGGAAGCTGAATCCAGGGAATGTGACGATGTGTTCGATAGCAAACGCGTAAACACGCCCCCGGAGTGGATAGTCGTGGGTAGGCTTTGTCGGCTAGTGATGTGAGCAATTTCAAGTGAAAGTGTGGTACGTCCTGAAGGTAGACAGTGAGGTAAAGCAAAGTGTGAAGAAACATTTGCTGGTCGAAGTGGAATCAATTCCCAACATGTGCAATTGCAAAGCAAAGCGGGAAAATGAAAAAGAACCCACCACTGTGCAACGCTTCAGGCTCTCCCTTGAGGCCAGATACTGGGACTACGTTCTACAAGTCGTGCGTCGCTTGGTCATATCTATACATAGCTTGAGTTGCAGGTATACCCAATAATTGTATATGTACCATTTGGACTTGTGGTGGTTGCTATGTCCATATACTGTTCTTGGTGTGCCTGCTCGCCATCATGGAGGCAAGCATGAACAGACCGTGGGCGGCTACGAATGACTCGCAGAAAGCGGCCAGAGCTGCACTCCTTGGGACGGGTTCTGCGGCGCAGTACACTCACTGCCATCCAGCCTCCAGTTTCTCGATTGCCTCATCCTCAGAAACGACATCAGCCATCTTCGCGTTGATATCGGCAATGTTCGCATCATGGACAGCAGGGGACTTGTCACCACATGCTTCTTCAACGACCTGGTGAAATTGTTAGTGACGTTTACAGCGACTCATGTGTTGCCAAGTCGGTCCACACCATCGGTCGAAACCCATAACACATCGCGTCAAGAGCAGTCGCGCGCACACAACCACTTGTACTGACGCCACAGATTATGACAGTATCGACGTTGAAGAGCTGGAGTTTTGTAGCGAGGTCGGTCGCGAAGAAGGCGGACGGGTAGCGCTTGCAGACAACGACTTCGCCAGCAACAGGCTCTAGTCCCGGAATCCATTTTTCAAGGCCGTTGCCGCAGCCGGTCTGGAACAGCTTCAATAGCGGTACTTTGCTGTAGAAAAGTCCTGCATCCGACATGTCTGGTTCCGTGTATTCGACTCGCGTCCAGATCAACGGCACCTTGCCTTGGCGTGCGGCAGCGACGAGTTTTGCGATGGACGCGGGCGCCGCCGCAGACGCAGGGTTCGATTTGATGTCCAATGGACTGGCGTCGCTCCAGTAGGCGTTACAAACATCGACAAGTAGCAGCGCCGGCCTCTGCCCCCATCCTATTTTTCCGGCGAAGCCTTTTTGATAATCGCGATGAGCTCTCGAGGGCATTTCGTGGTTTGGGACACTAGAGGTGAGTCATGATTAAATTTCCGGCGGAGAAGCGCAAGGACACTATGACAGTAGCGTCGCGCCGCTTGCTATCGCCAGCGTTGAAGGCCATCACCATCGTCGTCCATTCAATTTAAGGCGCAACGTTGACAGTATCAAGCACTGGCGCCGAATGGAGCTTCGGACCAGTTCCGCCAGGGCAATTAGGCGGCTTTCACGCCCCAGGCTGTCGGGAGTAAGCAACCGGTTCCCAGCGGACCATTAATATACCGACATACACTACCCGAGGTATCTTTATTCATTTCGCACCGCCACATGGACACACCCTCGGCGGAACCCATCTCAAAGGCTCTTGTTCCAATGCAATGGCTTGCGGCATTGTCAACTGCCCTGTCAGCATAGCGTTGATCTCTGGTGCACCCGTTACGCGCGTTTGAGGCACTCAATTCACGACCGAAGCTCGACCCCGGACTTGGCACACCACATGATCGGACTTCCCCACATGAGCGCACAGCCGGAGGCCGATGGCTCTCCTTCTCCTAGGACTGCCAATTCAGTCCCCGCCATGGACGCAAAAGAAGGAAGAATAGGAAACGCTTTTGCGTGCGAGCGCTGTCGAAAGCACAAGGTTCGCTGCGTCCCATCTGATACGCCCGCCATTTGCCAGAGGTTTGTTTACCCGACTGTATTTCTGCTCCACATCGAATGACACGTGCCCCAGATGCCAAAAGGCCAGAGTCGAGTGTGTGGAACATGTTGCGCGCAGACGGCCAGCAAAGGCGCGCAGCGATGGCCAAACACCCACCAAACTGCGCGACTTCGACAAGAAGTTGGACAAGTTGTCTGCTATTGTTGCAACAATGGCACCCACTCCAACGCAGTGTAGTCTCCCCTCGGTGGCCACAATCCCTTCGCAGCTGTTAGATTCCTCACAGCAAATGCCGACGCCAACACCAATTGCCGCTCAGCCTGTGTCTATGCCGCCGGCCCCCAGAACTTCTATTCTTCCGGCTCACGCAAATCAATCTGAGACTTCTGCGCCATTCTGGGATTCGATGAACGATACGTTGTCTTACCTTGGTCGACTGGATCCTGTCATCAGATCCATCAGCTTAGTGCATATGCAGATGCTGCTGGATACATACCGTAGCATGGTCGACTTCTTCCCCTTCGTATCATTACCAAGAGAATGCCGCTGCCAGGATCTCTTTCAGAGCCGGCCAATGTTAATGTTTGCCGTGCTGACAGTTTCCTCTTATGATTCCGTCTCGCTTCAGAGAGCGCTGAGCCTGGAGTTCCGCAAAGTGGTTATGGTCCGGATTATGAAAGGTGAAAAGACTCTAGACCTTCTGCAAGGACTCTTGGTCTTCATAGCTTGGCATCACCACTACATGGATGTCCAGGCTGTTTCAATCACTATGCTCCTTCAGCTGTGCTTGGGTATAGCACACGACTTAGGCTTAGACAGCATATCCAGGACTGTGAGGAGTCCTCTACAAAAGGAAAATCCAAGAGATAGGGAAGCCAAGCGGGCCTATTTGGGATGCTACTACCTGTCTTCCAACCTAGGTCTGATGGAGCCCGGAAAGGCAAGGGCTATGTCGCATACCAGTACACTCCGGAACTACGCGTCAGAACTAGCTTCTTCCTGGGAGAACACGTCGGATGCGGTGCTTCCAATACTGACTGATGTCTGCCAATACATGGAAGACGTGGAGGAGACTTTTCGTAATCAATCTGAGCAAGCGGTCGTGGTTCGTACTCAGGTCAAACGATTGAGTGACAAATGGGACAACATCCGGCTTGCGTCCAAGCTGCAAGCAAATGATTTCAGTAAGTAACCATGCCACGATAGGATGCATAGTTACTGATACATCGCTAGCAATATTGCAATGGCTACAGCTTGCAGCACGCATACATCTGTATCGGACCGCTGCTTCCATTGATCTCGTGGATCGCGATAGTACACCCTGGGCTTCAGGCTTCCAGTTATCACTACGCGTTACCTTGGTGCGGTCGACTGAACAATTCCTCGACAACAGCACAAAGCTTCCAACCAAGCATTTCGATTCAGTATCGTTGATCGATTGGCTGAACTTGATAAACACCATCACTAGCTTGAACAAGCTGGCAGTTCATGCTTCACCCATGCCGGGCTGGGATGCTGGTGAATTGCAGATCGCAAAGTCGTTCGACTATTTCCGCGAACAATTGTCTTCGCAAATGCCTCGCCCTCGCGATGCCCAGGACGCCCATGAAGACGCGTTTGAGCGGTTTCGACGTATCACATCGGTGATGAGACTAGCATTACACGATGCAGTTGGCAGGGGAAGCCCAAACGGCAATACGTTTGAACTTGCGACCGGTTCAGGACGGACTGTCTCCCTGCTCCATAACCTAGCTCTTCCTAAGATTAACGGCAATGGCTCTGCCAATGGGGTGGAAAAGCTGCCGAGTTTACGGGACGTAACTCCTTCGCTCGACATCACCAGTAGCGATTTCCACTGGAAGTTTCTCATGGGTGCGGTCTGAACCAAGGTATATCAAAAGCCTTGTGCCCTCGCGTATGGTGGTCTGGCACTGGGTACGAAACATTAATTTCCATCGTCCCGACTCGACACCAATCAGCGCCGATTGCGCTTGCATAAATCTTCGCCGTCTCACCGGACTTCCTATCATGCATCAAACGCCGCACACATCATGCGGCCTCTCTTCGGAGGCATATCCCCCAGACCGGACGATCGGGCATTGTTGACTAGCCAATGGCTCCGTCTCGGTGGTCGCGTCCAGTGTCCGTCCGTGCCGAGGCCCAGTCTGCTGCACGTCACAGGGCAGACTTTCGGACAAAACCCACAGAAAGCCTATTTGCACGCCTCCGATTACTGCATCCAGATGGTGTCCCGAAATTCTTCCGTAGTTCGTTGTTCCAGCGCGGTTTATTTCCGCTTTGATCTTAGCGATGGTCTGCTTTCGCTTTTACATCTCTTGTTCTATCGTTTATATACCCAGCATCAATTACCGCCTCGAGTATATGGTTTCAGTATCCAAAGTGTGTGCAGTTTCTTATTGTCAAAAGTCGGGACCCGAGTTGCAGCCAATTTTTGCTGCGTAAAGCTTTACGCGATAACAGATAAGCGCAAGCCACAGGCGTCGTCACAAGACCTTCTGTACTCCTGGAATCAGCCCAGGCTCTCCAGCTGTATTAGACGTGGAGATGATATATGACAGCATACCATCAGTAGTCATAAGCCAGTTCTTTCGTGTAGATACTTTTGGTCAGCGATCGCTTCGTCGATAGCAAGCTCACTATTCAAGCTTACCAGTCACCGCTTACTTCCTGTGCGTATAGCCGTATCGCCTATTCACCCATCACTTATCTAGGTTAGGCCGGTTCGAAAAAGCGTCAATTTGAGTAGAAACCCACAGCGATCGCCAGTAATGGGCTGTATGTCGAGCAAATCCATTGGAGTAGAGCGCAGTGGAAGCGGCAACTCGATGAAGCTAGCAAAATCTCGTGGCCCTACGCAGACGATGACCAACATCAAAAGGCAAGCACATGCCAAAGTTATGGAAGTAGTGAGGCCGAGCTCGAGATGCGGTGGAAGTCATTCCGGCTGGGCTCATTATGGTGGTGGTGGTGGTGGTGACAGCGGAGGATATGGTGGTGGTGGCGATGGTGGCGGCGGTGGTGGTTGATGCTGTTACTGCTGAGCTCTCTTACATGTTTATCAGAACAATTTGTCGTTATATCGAGATTTCTCTCCAATGGCGTTTTTCTAAAAGTGCGCGTGACGTATACGAGATGTTCATTAATCACCAGAAACTGAGCTGCACGTGTTTGCAATGCATCAGCTGGACCAACAAGTGTGAACACTCTCGAAGTTAGGATAACTAGTTGCTTCACGAATCGAATTTAGCAAAGAAGGGTTCAAATTGCGGAGACGAAAAATTGCTGAAGATGTTTTTATATTGACGAGTAGTGATATTCGAATATCACTGCGGCACAGGAAGACAACATGAAGCAGAATATAAGAAAAAAGGACGGTCTTGAACCATACGTTTACAGTTGCCATCTTGATCTACATTAGAAGGAAAAACTCATCATAATGTTCCTTCATCATTTGCACCCACTCCTGACGCGTATTTTTTCAGTTGCAGACGAGAAGTGACGTTTCTCTACCATGTACAGCACATGAATATACTTGCCTCCCCTTTTCTTTCTCTATCATCGCAAAAGTGTAGTTTGCATATATACTGGTCGAATACACCTCTGAAATCGACTTCAAGAGCTACAAGAAGCTGAAAGTCGGAGGAAGTCTTTCCCCCCTGTCAACCTCAGCTATCTGGTAGAATCGTATTGTTCTCGCCACGAATGGGCTTGTTGCCTATAAATACAGCTACGCGACGCCCTTTGCTGTCATACCTTTGCTCAAAATTGCTCTTCCTGACAGATATCTATGTTGAATGTCCTCAACACTCAACCATTCGTACTACCCAACTGTACTAGACCTCACTTTACTTTTGATTGAGGACAGCTTGAACAGTACGTACGGGTGCAAGGAACAGTCAACAACTAAAGATTGAGGATGGGTGCCATGGCCAGCAAAACGACACGCTGCGGGAGATAAGAGAGATGGTTTGGAAGCAAACGGAACTTGTAATGTTCTTAACCTTTTTATTGATGCGAATCTGACTTAGGGTATCATTGCGCCGTTGCTGCTTTGACAGCACTCTATTTTTGAACTGCCCATTTCACCTGTTGGAGGTTCCCATGGCCTTCTATGCCTTGTTTTGTCGCCTTTGTCCTGATGAATATGCTACAACCCTCCTCTCTTGTTCCAAAGCGTACCATTACGACGTACCTTACCGTATCATGCGGAACGGATGGCCTTCAGTACTGAACACCCAGCTATCCAAGCTTGCAACCTCGACATCCGAGAACGTGAGCCAGAGGTATTTTAATGTTTCCGCTGCCCAGAAGCTTTCTTGCATGTCTACCCACCTATCCTCACCCTTGGTATGCGTATCGTAAACGTCAGCAAGTTGTGCGTAGCCGAATGGCGCTTTACAATGCTTTTCCATGGCTGAGAAGGCTTCCCAGGCCCATTGACGGTACCGTTGATCGCCCGTCATGCGCCATGCGTAAAAGAGACTTTCCACATACTCGGGCCGGCCTTTGTATGCTGGTTCCAGCGACCAGATGCCGCTCTTCATGGCCTCTCGCTCTTGACGTGCGGTTTCTGGGACAAAGTGCGGATCGTCGTATCCGAACTTGGGTATCCAGGCCCAGGTCTCAGGACCGATCTCCGTAGGTGTCGAGGCATACGAGTGGCGGCAGCCCTCGAGGAGCGCGAGCGCGAAGGTTCGGAGGTAGGGTTGGTCGTAAAGTCGGGAGGCGAGGAGAATGGTACCAGGTGCGAAGCAGGCGAGGTGTCCTTGCTGATTCTCGTACAGCTTGTCGTTATGGCGCCCGATGTACAAGTGCTGCATGTAGTGATCAGGTGCAGGTGCGGACCGGGAACTGAGATGCTTGCGTAGGGAGTAGGCTGCGTCGGTAAAGCGTCGCTTGTACGTGTCGATATGAGGATCTGTCCGAGGGGCCAAGAGTGTCATCTTGACAAGGTATTCGTAGTATGAATCATGCCCACCGTCCCAGTGCCTTTGGCGACCCACTGGCTCGCCTGTCATGATATCAATGGGCGCGTCGACCATACCAGCCCACGGTGTCTTCCAGTTGGACCACACTAGGGGTGCCCATGCATTTGTCGAGTTCTGCGTATAGATGGGATCGCCAGTCAATCTGGTCAGGATGCGGTTCTCGAGTATGGAGGAGCCGGTCCGCGCAGGGCCTATGGCGGGATGCTCGTCGTAGCCGTGTTTTGCTGGGTCGTCGCTGAAGACCCAAGAAGGGTCTGGTTCGCCCTGTTCTGTGTCGAAATCAACACGGGGCCACGGCATGCCTGTGGGGGTATCGTATGCTGGGGCAAGCTTCCCGGCTAGAGTGACAGCATGCTCGAGTACAAGATCGCGTGCCTCTTCGCTCAGTATATCCTCTGGGATGAGCCCAACGTCGTACATGTCCACAATAGACAAGAGCCCGCCCAAGTATCGTATTGTGGTTTCAAAAGGGTCGACGAGGTCCTTCACTTCGGTGAAGTCGATAGCCAGTATATGCTCCAAAGAATGCGCCAGCTCGTCCCATAGTCCCATCAGGGCCAGGGTGCTCGCCGAGTCCACGATGAAAGCACCCCACCCATTTCTGGACGAGGAATTGCCTCCCGACACAGGGAGAATGTCGTCACAGCCCCAGGCGTTCTCCTTGTACTTCCAGAAGGTATATTTCATGGCATCCCGCACGCTCTTCGCCCGTGCCTCTTCGGCCTTGCCTGTTCCATTCCAGTCTGCATGCTGGATCTGTGCCCCAAACGCCGGTATACCTCTGTCTCGAACGGTCGGGTTCTGGAACTCTTTGATGACGAGGTACAGTGTGATGACGATGATGGCTGCGAGGAGCTTGAACGACGACTCGGGATTGCGCTCGAATTTCGACTTGCCCCAGCGGCGGAAGCCGGGCATAGTTGGAGAGTGGTAGGAGCCTTATGGTGCTGCCGGATGCGCTCAACAAGCGGGTGGTAATAGCGCGCACATCTGTTCTCAAGGTGCGGAGCTGGTGCGGAGGTGCGGCAATCGATGTCCAACGTCCCAAGCTATCATGCCAGGCTTGGCTCCAAAGGAACGACCTGCGCGTGGGAAAAGAATACAGGCTTTTCTATATGGTCGATCGTGATTTCAACATGCGCTAGGTGCATGGGAACGATATGGTTGTGTCGCGCTCGAGTCTGAGAGTTCCTCTAGGCTTGGCATTGACCCTCTATGCGTCGTCATCCCCAACTCTGTGACACCACTGCAGCGCAGTTGCACATCCTCATCCTTGACATGTCCGTCTGGCAGTACGTGCACGTTATCATCGTGTAATTCTATACGACTAACACTCACATAGATGGTTCAAGGGCATACCGCCCAAGACGCGCATGATGATTGGCGTCGGTGTCATGGCGTACGCGGGCGCTGGTCTATACATATCCGACAAGGCTGAAGAGAAATTTGGCCTTGTTCCGACCGACAAGGATAGGGAAGAGCTGCGGGACGCACTGCCCAAGATCACGCCCGTCGGGAAGTGAAATCCTGAACAGGCCTTCTCATTCGCGCCCAAAAACAGGGCAGCAAACCAAAACAAGTCATCGTCTTCTCGGCATGTTGCGGCAAAAGGTAAGTTTGCTATACTCCCACATGCTGTGAGTGAGAGTCTGATCACACCTAGATGACAAAGAGTGGCTTCAACACATCTTTAGCATAGGTCTACACGAGTCCTTCGTCTCATCACTACAGAGCACCCTGTGAGCCATCACATGTTCAGGTCTCAATCAAACCGAAAACGACCAACAAGTTCGTTATTATCTTGCAATGTTGTACAAGCTACTGTACATATGAAGCCTGATGTCATCTTTGTGTGCATCGAAAGAAAGACAAACAAGCAAACTGCTCTATCACGTCCTGGCGCTTTTACTCCTTTCCTTTCTTCCAATGCTCAGGCCATTTCGCTTTGTCCTGACTATAATCCGGCAAACCAATCTTTTTTCGTGAGTATAATTTTGCATTCAGAAAATTTCTTAAGCCCGCATCATTGTTAGGGTACAGACCTTTGATCATACCTTGATTGTTGTCTACCATCTTTCTCCATTCCTTGATCTCTGCTCTACTTGTTTCGGAAAAAGACTCCTCGGTCGCCCATTCTCGAAATGTGCCATTGAATATGCACTCGAGGTAGATGCGTGCACTGATTGGATCAATCAACTTCCTCCCAGAGTCGAGCAGCGGAGCTTTCTTCTTTTCAGGTACGCTCGCAAGCCAGAGGGGTAGCTCGGAATCTTTCATCGTTAGAAAGTCTGGTCTTGACGGCTTGAGTCTTTTCGCTGCGGGTGCATCGGCGTTGTCCTTTACATGCTTCCGCTTAATAGAAGTATCCAGGCCTGATGCTTGCTCACTTGGTTTTTTAGGTTGTGGTGGGATCAGATCGTTTTCTTCGGCCTCATCTTCGTAACCAAAGATGTCATCACCATCCTCACCATCCAAATTGTCGTTGCCGAGTTTTGTACCCGCTTCTAATGTTGCTTGATCTATTGTGTTTCGCTCTGCGAAGTCTTTCAGGTAGCTCGGAGGGTAATGATCCATACTTCCCTGTAACGAGATGTCACTTATGTCTTTGACGCTATCTTGCAGCATCGCAGCTACATGTTCGATCTCCACACTGTGGCTATCCTTGAATAGTGGAGCCTTTTCCCGCCAAGACCGAAGTTGCGTTCGGGATAATTCATCGAAACCACCGAATAGCTTTTGGAGAACAGCTTTCTGACCCCACGTATTCATCAAGCTCGTACGAGTTTTAATGCTGGACGGAAGCCGATCGACCCACTGTTGAACCTCCTCGCTTGTCATAGGCTCGAAGTTTGGGATATGTTCTGGAAGTAAGACCCCATATATCACATTAAAGGTCGCTTGCTCGGAGGACGGAGACTTACTTGGAGGCTTTGAAGGCTCCCTTGACTTCGTAGGAACCTGGGTTCCTTGAGGCCCTTGTGCCGAATTCTTTTTGTTAGAACGGAAACTTTCTTGAATCGCCTTCTGCAGATCTTCGTTCGCTTCATCACTGTTTTCTCTATCATCGTCGCTATTACCGTCGCTGTCGCTGTCGCTGTCGCTGTCGTCATCGTCATCGTCATCGTCATTGTCATCGTCATTGTCATCGTCATCAAGCCCCTTCTCTGAATTGCCGTTATGGCCACGTTCAGGTGGAGGTGGCTTGCTTCGATTAAAGAAATTGATTCCAACCAACAGATCGACAGTGCTAGGATAGTTGAGAATCTTCAAAATGCGCGTACTCAACATGTACGGCAATACATCATCTCCTAGGTTGCTGTCCGCCACGCCCCGAATAATCTCCTGTATGCGCTTGCGCGATGCTAATGAGTTAAAGGCCATGGCTTTCCCGTGCCTCTGCCTGTGTTTGTACCTAAATATACCGTAGAGTCCATCCGCACATGTGAGAAATTTCGGGTGATCGAGTATATATTCAAGCATAGCGAACACCCATGGTCCACACGCTGAGCCTTGATCGAACTTATAGCTATTTTCTTCGGTGTCGTCGGGGACATATTTGAGTGTTGCTGCTGTGAATTGCCCTCGCTTGAGATTCATAACTTTCTCGTATCCACAGAGAATCTTACCAGCAACCCACCCTGTAGTATGCATTTGCGTTATACGCCACTTGCCCTTGCGGTTCTTCTTAACTTCCAGATGGCCGTCTAGCCATCTGGCATCGTTTTTCTGCTTGTCAATTATCATGAAGCCCCAATGTCTACCGCCGCCAGGTATTGACCTTTTGTCTGCGCTAATCATACCATCCGTCACGGGAACAACGATCCATCGCACGTTTTCTTTCTTCATAGCAGCATGACATTCGGTCGAAAGATCATTTTTCTCAAACTCGTCCTTGTCACACATACACTGACCTATGAGGGCCAGGCTGATGGCGGAACTTGATGGCACAATGACTATATCGCTTCGTTCCTTCAGTTCATTTGTCAAGATGACTGAGGCCAGTTCCAACGCATTGTTGTCTAGCCAACTATTGTCAGAGTCCGTAGATTGAGTTGCAACGATTTTGATGAATTCATCTATTTTGAGCGCAAGAGGATTTCCCAGATGATTGTAGTCGATGTAAATTTCCTTGAGCCATTTGTTGATAATATCTTCCCTGGTTTTTGACGGGTGCGAAGCGGGTGGTGGGTCATCTCTGCCAGTGTTTCTGGTGGTTGGAGGGTGTTCACTGTTGTCGCTAGACATGATTGGCACCTTATGGTTTGCTGTTGGCAGATAAGGCCTTGAGATCTGGAAGAGCTGTGGACGGCCACAAATACAAGTTGCACACTAGAGTCATATGTACCATCTCCTCCAGATCAATGAACAAAGCCAAAGACGAGTAAGGAGAGGAATTGATGTAAGTGACAAAGACATAAGAAAGCAAGTGACTGCTTCCTTTGTTCAGTAACACCGACTCCATCGTTGTTCAAGTCTCTTTCACACCAGTTTTGCCAAGAAGGTAGCATCGCTCTTGTACGCGCTGACGGGCAACCAATCAACGCATGTCCCCAAATCATTCGAGTACTCCATTGCAACAATTGGTCACTCGTTAGTCAGCCTGGCTGTTATGGAGAGGAGACATATCATCGGACTGTGGAAGAAGCTGAACATTTGGAAGCGCTTGTAATGTGGCCAGTGAAATCTACAGTTCATCACATGAGTCTTGGCTACAGGACCAAATCTACGATGATTGTACCTAGAAGTTGAGAGACCGATGAGTACCTATCCCCGCTGCCTGCTTGTCGAGTATCACTTTTTTCAGGGTTGTTTATCTCCACTGTCTGACATCTGGCTCCCCACCCCGCCTCTATACGGGTCTTCAGGATCTGCGAAGGGATTTGTCAGAACTTCTTGATCCTCACACGGCCTCTGCCGCCACCTTTCAGTTCTGGACTGGCTGTCTGAGCCTGGGGTAGCATCTATGAACGTGATGCCGAAGTTGTTCATCCGAATAGGGCCTGCCCGAGTGCCGAGGCCAGCAGATGGTAGATCACGGTGGTTGTCAGTGTGGGTAGTGGATGAAGGGTTGCTAAGATCGTCTAGTCTAATCGACTGTTGCGCATCGGCTCGTTGGTTCATGTACGCGGCGACGAGAGCGAATGCGAAGTAGGCGACCATGCTGCTGCTGGTAAGCTGAGGACCTAGTGATTCGAGTCCACGTGGTATTTCAAACTTACCATAACGCTCCCAGCATTCCCAAGATCTCACATCCTCGTACGATACCCTTTGCCCATCGGCTCTGCCCTTCCAACACATTCATTGTCTTGTCATATTGCCAGCACGTATCGTAGCTGTCGTCGATTTTGTTGCTAGGAAAGCTATCTAGCCAAATAGCACCTAGAGTAACCAAGGGGAAATAGATCGAGAAGCCCATAGACCAGAGCATGCCAGCACGATTGGAGATGCGCGCGGACCGGTAGTGGCTTCGAAGCAGGAGTAAAAGGTCAACAACCAGCAGTAGAGGGTTGAAAACGAGGATCGCGATTATTGTACTATGGAGACATTGATTAGCATCTCCTCGTGCTTATAGCAGTAGAATAGATGAACAAGACAACCTACAATGTCCCACCAATGGCTCTAGCACTCAAATACTCAGGCCCTGACAGACCTTCTCCATTTTCTTGAGCTCTCTCCAGGTTGAAGGCCTTGTCCAAGTTTGCATAGGTAAGCGGCAAGCTCTTGATTTCCGTCTGGAATACGAAGTCCGATGGTCTGGACCCTAGCCCAAAGCCGTTGAAGTCCAGATCTCTCGTGCTGCCCACGTTCCAGCACTGAACCTCGCGGTGTGAGCTAAGCAACCAGTGTGCCATGGCGGCGCAGAGACCGAACTGTGCTACAGCGATGAGTATAGACAGAGCAAGGAGTATATCGGTTGCGGATCTGGTGCTGTTAGGCCAGCGTGTGGATTTTGCACGAACGAACATGAAGAAGCACAATCGTATCTTCTCCCACGAGGTACTTCGTGCCATACTGGTCGGGGTGGATGTCTGTACGGTGTTGTGTAGTTTCAAATCAATGTCGTGAACACTGGAAAGGGTGATGAACGGCGATGGCAGGAGAGCAGGAATGCTTCAAGGGCAGTGGCAGGCTCTCAGATTCTCAGGGTCGTACTGTTATCTGGTAGCGGTTCGATGAGTACCGTGGGTGCAAGGTCGGGAGCGAGGGGGGTCCATGATGTGATTCCCTCTTTTAGGAGAGATGTGTCTGGATTAGATGCTCCATACAATTGTAGGGTGTCGCATTTTCGAGAGGAAGCGACGATAGTTGTTCAGTGATCAACGAGCCACGTGGTAAGTAAACGAGGGAAGAGCGACTGGTAAGAAGGTATCAACTTGGATTTGCAGCTACATAGAAACATCGGGCGCGGGGGGTAACAAAAAACAAAAAGGCTCGTGACAGTGAAAAGGAGATTAATCGTATCCAAGAGGTATTTCAGTTTACATGCGGCTGCGATAGGGCCTAGGCACAGCCGATTGGAAAAGCCTATCCGGCAGCCTATTTCCGTACTGATCGAACCGGTAATCCTCCTTTTGTTCGATCCACATCTGCCCGCATGTCAGCCTCATGCTAACATCTAGAGCTTGCTACCGTAACGGGGCGGGTAGCCAGTGTTGTAACCACTCACCTCACGTTCGGCGTACTGCCTGTCCAACGGCACTGGTTGTGGATTTAGTATTTCTTCGTCGCCAAAGCCCGCGTCTCCTTGAAACCTACGCGAATAATGGGCTGCGCCGATGGGTTGCGGTGCACCGTACTCGGCGTACCCACGGGGGGCGTACTGACCTGGGCGTTGGTTGGCGCGCGCATTGCTCTGCATCCAGGAGTCGCGCTCGGGAAGACGGTCCTCGAACGATTCAGGGCGGCGGCCGAGGGGCTCAGGGAAGGGACGGGTCTGGTTGTAGTTGCCTTGGGTCTCAATAGGGTACTGCGAGCGGTAGTGGTCTTGCTGCTCGAAGCGCTCGTCATACTGAGTCTCGTAACGAGCATCGCGGCCTTGGTGTTCAAAGTGAGCGTCGTAACGGGGAGCGGGACCGCGGTCGTCGTAGTGTTGGGGTCCGCGCTCGCGCTCATCGATGTACACGTCGCGACGCTCCTCGTAGTGGGCTGCAGGATGACGGTCGCGCTCAACCCAGACATCGCGGTGTTCCTCTACATGACGAGGCGGCGCACCGTCACGCTCGACCCAGACTTCGCGGTCGATGTGCGTCGTGTGCGTCGGCTGAGGCTGAGGCTGGGCCTGGGGCTGGGGAGGTTCCTGGTGGATGTCGATGTCGATATGAGTTTCCTTCTTGGACTTGGGCTTATGTGGCTCCTCGTACGGCTCCAGAGCAGTCAAGTAGCCGAGCACCGCACTGAGACTGGCTTGCGCGATGTTGAGCTCCTTCTCTCTGTTCTCCAGCTTCTCCTTCTCGCTGAGCAGCCAGTAGACGCGGTGCCTGACACCGATACGGCGACCGTCCTGGATATCGCCAGCGACGCGCTCCGTGTGCGGCGTGATGTTCTCGAGAGCGCCGCGCACATCGCGCATGCATCCGTAGACCCATTTGGACTTCTCAGGGTTGGCTTCGAGGATGTCGTGGATCTCGCGGATGGAGAGAAGACGTCTCACTTCATCAAGGTCGGATTGGACGCGGCCAATGATGCGCACATAGACTGCATTGGAAGGACCGACGTCGCGGACGCGTTTGGCCTTGTTGAGGAATTCGGCAAGCTTGTAAGCACCTCCAAGGGCACCAGCGGCAGCACCGAGGGTGAGAATCTCTCCTTTAACCATGACGGGCGGTGTGAGGATAGCTCCAGGGAGCTACCGGCAAGGTGATGGTGATGGTTCAATTGAGTGAATGAGGGCCTGCGTCTCTGCCTGTACCTGGCGCGAGCATCCCGCGCAGGTTCAACCGGCTGCGAAAGTGGGGATAGACGCTTTGGTGAGTTTGTGAGGAGAGCAGAGTTGTTGTCCGTCAGCTACTCAGGGCAGCCTTGACAGGGGCCGATGATGTTTAGTGTTATTCGGGGGCTGGGTGCTAGCCACATGGGGGCCGACTAGCTGCAGCTCATCACTCCTCGCGACCAGTCCGAGGTCCTTCCTCCCCCATAGCTCCACCCGCGAACATGTGGCTTCCATCGCTTGCAACCGACGAGCTGATCATGTTCACCAAGCAGATCCAAAGCGGTCAAGAGAGACACTTTGACCTTGCATCAAGAGAGCTTTCTCGGCGCTGTAAACAACATCTAAACAACATCTCCACGTCGTGTTTACTCCATCTTTGATACGCGCCTGGATCATCCCAGCTCGACTTGTCAGCTCCACCGCGACAACGCACCGACCAGCCCTGAAACCTGATTGTCAAAACCTTCGCTTTATTTACCGTATTTCCCGATGAACGCACGAACTTTAGGGTCGCTCAAGCTTAGTTCGCTACCTTCTGCATCCAGCAACTCGCGGTCCTTGTTCTCAAGCTCAAGCTCCATTGCCTTCAGTTGCGCGTCCAACTCTGGGTTCATCAAGCTAGCCTGCTGGAATGGCGCGTGCTTATATAGCGCGCTCAAAATAGCCCTCAGATCTGTGTCTGCTTTGCTGGATCGCTCAGCGAGTCCGTCATGAATCGATGTCGCCGTAGATTCGTAGTGATCTTGAAGCTTCTTGCCCCGCTTCAGTTGAGCTTGCTGCAGAATATCTTGTAAGCTTTCAATGTTATCCTGACTGAAAGATATGCCTGCGTGACGAAGCGCATCTTGAAGTGCTACCGGAAGCTCAAGCGTCGATGTAGGCTTGAGCTTGACCATGGGAGTAAAAGCGGAGGTGCTGGAGTTCATGCGTTTCAATCCGGGTGTCGCAACCAGTGCCTGAGTCTCTGGTGTGCGCTTCGCTGCCGCTGCCTGGACGTGCGCAAGTGCTTGTTGGAACTCGTCAGTATCTTGCGTTCCAGTGTTGATTATGCCGAGACGTTTGCCCATGTATTCGAGTGTTGAGAGCACCTGGCTTGTTAGCAATAGTCCAATGTCTCTTGGGATGTTACTCACATAGTTGAGCCACGCAGTTCGCGCTTGTGTTCTGTCTCTGTCTTTACGCTCCTTCATTTCAGTCATCGGCTTGCGTATCTCATGCTCGACAACCATTTCAGCGACGGATGCGATTTCAGAGTGTAGCTCTTCCAGTTCAGCTTGCAGGGCGACCTTTCTCTCTTTAAGATTGGCCTCTGCTTCCTCCGAAAGACCGTTCTGGGAGTTTGCTAATGCGTTGGTGAGAAACACAGTGTCCACTCGAGCTTTGATCTCTGCAGCACGAAAGGAAATAATCGCCTTGCACCACTGCTCTATCGACTTCTCGTCTTCGCTGACTTCAGGCTCAGTGACGATCTGAGACACTAGCTTAGGGAGTCGGCTTAAGACCTGATCGTCTGACGTGAAGCGTTCTGAGAGGTAGCTTTTCAGTGTTGACTTGTCAGAATCAATCTCGCGCTGAGCATCGTCCATCTGCTCTGTGACGGATGCAAGTACATCATCGACCTATGCGTATTAGAAGAGTTGAGTTTGTAATTTGTCACAACATACAGAGACGTCTAGACGAGTTTTTTCTTGTCCTTCCTTCCTTCTCCGCTCGTTTCTTGCATGTTCGACATCCAAATTGGGCTTTTCAAGAGCTTTCAACTTCATCAGAGCATCTTTCTGTGCCTCCAAAACTTTGGACTGCTCCTCAATCGCAGTAGTGGAGCTTCTCAATGATTCAACTGCTGCAGCAATTTCATGATCCAAAATGGGTCGGATGGGTTCACCCTCGCTTTCGTACTGGTGCAAAAGGCCCTTCTTCTTGAGAGTCTGGTACCTAGACTCAGTCAGCAAAAGCCCGTATAATCAGAGTTTGGACTCACAATTCTAGCTCTTCTTTACTGAGCAGGGTGTCCTCGTGTAGGTACTCCTCAACCCACACCGCAGCTTCGTGCTTGGTCTTCACATCCTCGAAACCTAAGAGGATGTTATCGAGATCAACTTTGAGACCTCGCTCTTCGACTACGTTTAGCAAATGATGAGCTGCTTGTTCTTCCGCCATTCTATCAGAGAGTGTGTTCCAGTGTCGGTGTTTTGTGGCAGATTCGAATGCAGTTAGGTCGGGAGCATTCGATACGGTGAGCCGCAAGAGCCACTTGCGCAGTCGCGGTTTTGGGAGATCCTGACGCGCCTCGCGACTTTCACTTGAACGTTACACCACAGCACCCAAATACATACATACAAATCTCCGACCCGCAGTAAAAATGCCTCCGAGCGCGCTAGAGCCCGTCATAACTCCCGAGCCTCCCAAAGACACCACGAAGCAGAGTACACCGCCACCCAGCAACCCCGCGCACGAGGAGCACCAATACCTCTCTCTGATCCGCGATATACTCGAAAATGGCGAGCATCGCCCAGACAGGACGGGAACCGGCACACGCGCAATTCCTTTTCCCGCACAAATGAAGTTCGCATTATCGCGACCTTCGAGCAACCCTACACAGCCACCAGAACTCATCCTGCCCCTCCTCACAACGAAAAGAGTATTCACTCGTGCCGTAATTGGCGAGTTGCTATGGTTTGTCGCAGGTAGTACACACAGCAAGTCTCTCTCAGACGCTGGTATCAAGATCTGGGACGGCAACGGCAGTCGGGAGTACCTCGACAAGGTGGGCCTAAACCACTACGAGGAAGGCGAACTAGGCCCAGTATACGGCTTTCAGTGGCGGCATTTTGGCGCCGAGTACAAGGGACATGCAGAGGATTACACAGGCCAAGGTGTCGACCAACTAGCTGAGATAATCGACAAGTTGAAGAACAAGCCCTACGACCGGCGCATCATACTGAGCGCATGGAACCCCGCAGATATCAAGAAGATGGCCTTGCCACCTTGCCATATGTTTGCACAATTCTATGTTTCCTTCCCGGGACACAAGCAAGGTGAAGAACGACCAAGAGGCGTCCTACATTCCCTCCTCTACCAGAGATCCTGCGATATGGGTCTCGGTGTACCTTTCAACATCGCTTCCTACGCACTTCTCACCCACATGCTAGCTCATGTGTGCGACCTGACGCCCGGTACATTTACACATACAATGGGAGACGCACACGTATACATCGACCACATAGATGCGCTGAAGGTGCAGCTGGAGCGCGAACCGCGAGAGTTCCCTACACTCAAGATCAACCGAGAGATTGGGGGCAGCATCGATGGTTGGAAAGCCGAAGAATTTGAGGTCCTGGATTACAAACCACATGCCGCTATATCCATGAAGATGAGTGTATAGTTCTTCCCAGTGGGCAGCTTAGTACATATGAAACATCTGATGAATGCGAGAGTACGTCCCATTGCCTGCTAGAGCAGCTACACTATATGTTGCATAGGTCTCATGCACTACGTATATTCTCTATATTTCTGCCTTATCTTCGGAGATGAACGAGGAGAGTTTGATGTTAATCTCGCCCTAGCAGTGCGACTTCCAGATCATGATCTCACGTCACCCTGAGCCTAATCAGACGTAAAGCTAGATGATGATGACTATTGTCATATTATGCGTCGATGTTCATTCCAGCAGTTAATGTCCAACCACGAGGTCACACAAGGGCACTAGTCCAGAATGCAGTACTGATGGAAAGAAGTATTGCATTACCACGCTGCTTTCAACAACAGCGAGTTGGTATCTAATGCATCCCAAACGCCAGCCATGATTTTCCCCACCTGCAAACACGCAATGCAAGAACTCGAAAGACTTCAGGTCTGCTTATCTGTGGCTGGTCTTTCCGATACCACGCTTTCCGGCAGTCTGAACAATCATTAGCACCCGCTTTAAATAGGCAGGAGAGAATAAAGAAACTTACCAAATGCTTGATCAAGGAACCAGTCTGGTGCCTATCGGCCTCACCCTGTCTAGCCATCCTGTTCATCTTCTTCTGCGACAGCTTGGCCAGCTTCTCGGCCTTGGAGGCGGCAGTCTCGTTTGTAACACCATCGGTTCTCCTGTTGGTGCTCTGGCTGCGGCCTCGGCTCTTAGCACGCTCAAGCATAGCAGCGCCGGGCGTATCAACGTCCATGGCATCGCCACCAGGACCCTCTGATCTTCCACGGGCCAAGCTGCGGCCTCGCGCCTCTGCTTTTGCAGTCGTACGCTCAACAGCCTTTGTAGCATCGTAGCCGAGACTTTCGAGATGTGATTCCATCTGTGACATCTGCTTCGCCTTCTTAGTCCTGGGAATGACGGCCCTGTTCTTGAGACTCTTGCGCATCTTGGCTTCGTTCCGGATGAGTTGCCTCTTCTCACGGATGAGCTCTGCCTTGTACCTAATGTCCGCCTCCTCCGCGTCCTCCAGATCGTCGTCCGACTCGTAGAAACCCTCAGCCTCCAGCTTCTCTTCTTCAGCCTCAAGTGCGGCAAGCTTAGCCTCGATATCAGGGTCGATGAAGTCGTAAACGTTCTGGCCCTTGAAGACCTCAGGAATACGATCGTGTTTCCACTCGTCGTTCTCGAGAAGGTAGTTCTTGCGAAGGTCGATGTTGTACACACCAGCTCCACCATTCTCTTCTTCCAGGTCACGCTCGAGGAGCGGCCTGTCAGGATCTTCCTTGTCGTACTTCTTCTTGTTAAGCACTGCTTCTGGAATGGATGTTTCGCGAGTGACGCCGCCCAACGGTTGGGCAACGTGGATTCGGCGAAGCAGTTCACCAAGACGGCCGGAAGGCTCGCCGGCGCTGTTGGTACCAGCCTTGAGCTTCTCGGCGTTGCGAGCAGCGATCAAGCGATCGCAGACCGAGTTTCGCACAGCCATGACACCTTCAAGGGTGTTGCAGGACAGCTCTAGCATCTCGACTTCGCCAGACTTGAGCATACCCTGGAGCTGTTCCTGTGTCTCGGGATCGAGCTGTTCCGGACGCATAAGATCGATCTTGTTGACAACGATAGAGATCAACTTGTTAGCAAATAGAGGCTTGATGTTGTTGAAGAGGGCGATCTGCGAGGCGACAGAGTAACCGCACTGCTCACTGAGATCCATGAAGTAGAGGATGTGGGCGCGCAAGTGGGCAATGGCGCAGATAGACTGATGTTCGATGGTGTTCATGTCCTCGAGTGCGTGGTCCAGAATACCAGGCGTGTCAACAGCCTGGAAGCGAAGCATCTTGTAGTCGAAATGTCCGACGTACAGACTCTTTGTTGTGAAAGCATAGGGCTGCACCTCGACGTCGGCTCTTGAGATGGACTTGAGGAACGACGACTTGCCGACGTTGGGGAAACCAGCAATGACGAGTGTGCGGGTGTTGGGGTCGATAGATGGGAGACGGCCCAAATGCTGCCTGACCTGCTCAAGGTAGACTAGAGGGTCCTTTAACCTCTTGCAAATGGTAGCCATACGTCCCAGCGCCGCCCTCTTCAGCTGCTTGCACTGGAACAGGGATTGTCCGTACTTGAGAAGGCGCACGTAGTCGCGCGCAACTGTCTCGATCAGCGACTTTGCAGTCGAAAGCTGACCGAGAGCAATTCGGAAGTGGTCCGCATCGTACAGGGTGTTGAGGAGATCGCGGTGGAACGGGTGGATATCCGCGAGGCGCGGGAAAGCCTCGATGGTGGTGTTGAGGCGCTCGGTAAAGGTTTCGGACGTGTACTTGACTTTTCGCGTGTAGAAGGCTCGAATTCTGCTGATTTTGAAACCCGCACGAATCTGCGTCGGCAGTCTGGGAAACTGTCAGCTTCTCGTCTTTTCGTGCGGTACGTATTGCGCCTTCAAAATCGCGACAGTGCAGGGCGGCAGAAAGAAGGCGCTTTGCGCGAGTGCGTTTGGGGAAGGAACCTACCTCCTCTGGGTCCTGGAAAGTACAATGTCCAGAAATTCCTGGCTCGTAGGCACAGCGGGGATGTCTTTCCACTGAGTCTTCATTTTGGCGACTGCGGTATGTTGTTGTCGTGGGAGGCGGTCTGCGCTTTCCAGAACTTCAGGGCAAAAAAGTTCGAGAGACTATCGATACCACCGTGTGGGGCACGTCCAAATAGTTCGCCTCACCGAAGCTAGTCCCGCATCCGGTCGCGCTAGCGCCTCGATTGCTGACCTGCACATCCGAACAGACGCCTGTGCAAATGGCCTGTCCTGGGGGCACAGCTGGGTGCAGACACGAGCAGAAAGAATATGGTAGGGTGAATGGCGCATTGGCTATCTAGATTTGATCTCATAAGAGCATGTATGATATCGCTCGTTTTCATCATTCTAGACTCGGCGGGTCCAGACTCGTTGTAGTCGAATCTGAGATCAACTCGGATAGACCTTTGTTATATTGCATCGAAGTACATCGGTAGCTCAATGAGTCAATTCTGTGGGTACCGATGCTTCAGTCCACAACCTGGTAATGAGCATCTACGGGATTCTTTCCGTTGATCGTAAGAACGTCCTGCGGGCATGCACTCATAACGACAACCACGTCTCTGAGCGCTTCCAAGACTACATAGTCTCCGGGCCTCGTTTTCGGTTCTTCGAAACTGATGCCTCTCTTCGCACCCTCTCCTTCCTGTGTGACAGGAATATTCATGAACAGATTGAACGGATCTGGAACCCTGCACCCCATCTTTGTTTGTAGGCCTTCTAGGGCCTCCTTTTGCTCAGTCGATAGAGACAGTGATGCAGTAAGCTCCTCCAATGCGTCCCAGAAGTTGTCTGTACAAGACTCGTGGTAGCCGTTGACGCCCAGTTCACTGTACCGCCATCTATCACATGCTGCGACCAAAGTGTCATGCACGCCGGGACTTGTATCTTCCACCATCTTGACCATCGGCGCCCTCTTCTGACTAACCATGACATCTCCTACTGCAGGCGTCACTTTCAGTAAACTTGCCCGGCAATGGCACATGGACATGTATTCGGGTGCGCTGGCGGCGGTATTGGCAGTAGTAGAATACTTGGAGGGCGAGTCGGAAGTCGCGTTTGGGTAGAGGGGTGCTTCAACCTTTGATGATGCAGCCGTGAGGACGGAGGAAGGAAGCGCGATTGCCCAGGTATCGACGACTTGGTTGCCATGAGTGTTTGTAATCTTTATCTTCCGGCCGGCTTTAACAAGCGTGGCTGCTCCGCGGCGGGCAGGCACGGTTTGAATAGAGGAAGCCATGTCTTAAAGCTTGTGAGGTGTTGCAAGGTGTCTCTTTCGGTAGCAATGATGTACAATAGGAGAGTACTGCTGTATAAAGACGAGGCAATACGCCTCCAGATATACATGCATACCCCACTTGTGCTGTCGGATTAGGTCGTGGGACGGGAAGATAGGAAGATGGGGTCCAGAATCTGCGTCATATGTGTAGGCAAGGTACAGATACGATGAGTAACCTTATCATAGTCATTAGCAACAGCCCTAGCTGTATCTACATTTCAGCGAACAAGTCCAGGCACACGAAGTGAGCGCGTAGCATCGTCAAGCGGTATCCTCAGGCCTCCCTGGCCTGTACAGAGAACCCAGACACGTGGCGAGTGCCATACCAAACAAGGTAAGCTTGAGTGAGCTGTGTGAAGTATGCGAAGACTCGCAGAGTGAAGGTAGAATGTTGAAGCTGTGACATCGAAGTGCCGCCTGGAGCGTAATCGCGCTTATCACGTGTCAAGCGCGGCTTCCATAGGACACCCTAGCATTCCCGGCGCCGCAACCCAAATTATCCCCACCACAGCTCGACTCCTTTACCGCCAACCCGACCATTCCTACCCAGTCTTCACCATGGCTGCCCTCGCCACCAAGACCGAGTCGCAAAACATCTTCACCAAATTGAAGTCGAAGCCCGCGAACAAAGTACGTCGTCTTTTGAATAGAGAGATTCGAGCAATGCCTAACATATGTCTAGATATGCTTCGACTGCGGCGCAAAGAACCCAACATGGAGCTCCGTACCGTTCGGCATCTACCTATGCCTCGACTGCTCGTCCAACCATCGTAACATGGGCGTCCACATTTCCTTCGTGCGATCCACCAACCTCGACAGTACGTTCACCTAAGACCCACGGACACCATATACAGTACATATACTGACCAACGACAGTCTGGCAATGGGACCAATTACGGATCATGAAAGTCGGTGGTAACGAAAGCGCTACCAAATACTTCCAATCGCATGGAGGCTCCGCCGCACTTGCGAGCAAAGACCACAAAGCCAAATACACCAGCAATGCTGCCACCAAGTACAAGGAGGAGCTGACTAGGCGCTGTGCTGCGGACGCCAGATTGTACGGAACAGCAGTCGTCCAGGGTGACTTATGCTAATTTGAATTTACTAGATACCCTAACGAGGTTGTAATCACAGATGTACCAGAGACTGGCACTGACGGCACCAACACTCCAGCTGGCGAAGACGACGACTTTTTCTCCTCATGGGACAAGCCCACCATCAAGCGACCGTCGAACCCACCTTCGCGTGCCGGTACACCAAAGGTTGGATCACCCTTCCTGAAGCCTGGTGCTAACGGCAACGGAACCGATCGCCCCAAGTCGCCACTTGTCGGCGGCTCCGAATCGAGCACACCCGCTGCAAAGCCGGCAGCCGTTCGCAAGACGGCCACAGGCGCTGCGCCGAAGAAGAACATCTTGGGCGCGAAGAAGAAGGGCCTCGGAGCAAAAAAGGTGGTTGCTGCTGACGGAGGCCTGGATTTCGAGGAAGCAGAGCGAAAGGCTCGCGAAGAGGCAGAGCGTATTGAGAAGTTGGGCTATGACCCCGAAGCCGAAGCTGCTGAGGCTGCCGCCGCCACAAAATCGAAAGCTCCTGAGGCGTCAGCCATCGTCTCTCCCACTCCCGTATCGCCACCACGAGGTGGTTTCGGTTCTACTTCCAAGCCCGAGCGCTCCAGCCAAGATATGGAGAGGTTAGGCATGGGCGTACAACGTCTGGGTTTCGGGCAAGTAGGTGCCGCGAAGAAGCCTGTAGCACAGAAAAAGATGGGTGGCTTTGGCAGCGTAGGAAAGCCTGCGCAAGACGACGGGGAGAAGTACGCGCGGGAGAAATTTGGTACGCAAAAGGGTATATCGAGTGACGAGTTCTTCGGACGAAACGCATTCGATCCCAGCGCAACCGCGCAGGCCAAGGAGAGGCTATCAGGTATGCATCCTCTGCGAAAGCACATGTTTTGTGTTGCTAACTTTGTGTGAAGGCTTTGAAGGCGCAAGCGCCATCTCCTCCAACGCATACTTCGGTCGACCCGAGGACGATGTCGCGGAAGAAGACTACGGTGACCTTGAAACCGCTGCCAAGGACTTTGTTCGCAAGTTTGGTCTCACGGCTGGCGACGATCTTGAGAACCTGACGAACATGCTTGGCGAGGGCGCTACAAAACTACAGGGTGCAGTCCGGAACTACCTCAACTCGTAGGGTAGCCTTGAGGCCATGCACTGAACAAGCTCAGCTGGTGTACGGAGGGCACGATTGACCTCGTGGGGAAAGCTCGTCGCAAGTGGTGAACAAAATGTGGGCAGACACTGGGCGTATCGAACGGAGCTTGGAGAGGCGATCCTATGAAGCGTGGAGTTGTCTTGGTTTCTACTGTGTATTCTTTTCCGCTCAAGAACTGAGCTTGGAAATGGTGTTTGGGAGTAATAGACAAACGCACGCAAACACTAGTCCTTCAATCAAACTTCATAATCGTCTCCGGGTGGTCAGGGCTGCGACTGTTCACACCAGATATTGCTGACAGGTAAAACAAAGTGGCAAAATGTCTACCAATCCCCGTCCAAACGCCTCATACTACCTCGAAGCTAACGTGCTCAATCATCTCTATCTCCCCAAACATCAGCTTCCTCCCTCGCTACCGCATCCAAATCAATCAACCCGCCATTGCCCCTCAGTTCGCTACTTTCATCCTCGTCATTACTACTATCATGCTCATGGGCCTCCTCCCGGCTCATTGAACCCCACCCAGCATCTTCATCTTCGTCGTCCTTGGGGAAAGTTGATGACACGGGAACAAAGTCATCCATGAGATTACTAGGCAGGCCAGCCGGTGCAGGACGCGGGCGGGAAGAAGACGGTGGAGAGGGAGATAGCGGCATCATCGCCATTTCAGGGTTTCGGGACAATGAGGTTTCTGGTGTAGTGTCGACGGGATTTGTTGGTGTAGTGGCGCCGTGACGGTAATTGGATGGCTCTGCATGAGAAGATGTAGGTGGTGAGACACTTGGTTTCTTTCCTTCCTTTGAAGATGGTCTAACTTCTTCTTGGTTCCCCGTTGGTTGTCGCGAGGATGACTGTATGGCTGGTGATGTATCAACCTGCTGTGTGGGCGGCAGCTTGGCATGGTGCTCTTGCTGTTGCTGTTGCGAGAATGGGAATATGGAGAATAAGCTTGCACTCAGGCTATGCCTGTTTGGCGCTCCGGGTCTCTGTTCTTGCTTCAATGCTTCTTCCCTACTCTTTGGTACACTAGGAGGTGGGTGTGATGCGGAGTGGGAGTGCGAAGGAACCTTCCTGTTGGCGGCTGGACTGGGAGGTTTCTGGATAGGGGTTTCTGGCAAGGGCGCTTCGCACATCTCGCAACTTGTGAGATTGGGGTCGTTGAGGAATGTACAACGAGGGCATTGTTTCTTGAGGTCGGGTGTTGATGGTCTTTCTGAGACTTCAGCTTCCAGAGGTTGAGGTTGTGGTCGAGGAGGTTGGCGAGGGGGCGCTGCATCGTCTTGACTGGGCATCTGATAACCTGGACTGTAGCGCTGTGCGGTCCTTGAGTGCGACGTTGCAGCGTCGCGTCGTCGACTTGTGGATGATGTACCTGCACTTACTCCAGCATTGGGATTGGGGTCCACGGAAATTACAACCTGCACATCCCTCTTGGTGCCACACTTCATACACTGGCACTGCCGTACGACGCTCTTTGTATACGTATCCGTCACCTCGGTAGGTGCATCGAACCTGATCTCCAACTTGGCTGGCTCACCAAAACCGGGGGTATTTCTGTTATCTCTCCCTTTGGCATTTGCATAGCCTGCCCCTTTCGATACAATTGGTATGATGGGATCAACCGCTCCGAAGACCAGATGGTCCACAAAGGGTATCAACATCAGCTTTCCGCTAGTTTTCATGTGGTGGTCGACTTCTGGGCGAAGTTGGAAAGAATCAAGGGACTGTAGAACGCGGAAGTATTTGTTGAACATGTCGCCGAACCATTGGCGAGCTTGAACACCTTGTTGCAAGAGCTCTTTCGCAATGTTTCGTGGCGCAGGGCTCGGCCATAGTGCGTCGATCAAGTGCTTCTCTTTCAGCGCCTTTCTTACCATCAAATCTAGTCTCGCGCATTCATACAGCCTCTTTTCTAATCTTTCATGCAACTCGTACTTTGCGAACCTGATAATCAAGCCTCTGACAAAACCGGCATCCAGATTCCATTTCCTTGTGAAGTAATCCAAAGATTCCAAATCTTTCTGCGCCTGCGCATTTGCGGGCCGCACGACGAGTGGTGACAATTCGTGGCCCATGGCTATCCATCGTTCGGTTTGGCGGGGGAAGGCAGTTGCTGTTGACCAGAATGAGCGAATAGGATAGTACTCTGCTTTGAAGTAGTTGTAGACAAAATCCAAGAAGTCAACTTCTGTAAGAGGCATTGCTGCGTGGCCGCGTGGGATGTCCATAGCGGGAGATGGGTTGTCGTAGGTGGCGAGTAGATGGAAAGGTCACGATCACGAAACAATTCGTGACAAAAAGGAGGACTGCAGTTGCAGGCGCGAGAGTTTTCACAAAACTTGCGACATCAACTTTGCAGATGTGCGAAAAGTTGCTGCCTGGAAGGTGAAATAGATTACGTGTGTGAAAGTTGAGAAGAGAGACGATACCTATTCCGAGCTGCGCCACAGCATGTGATAGCATCACAAGCGCTAGGAAGATTTGTCGCTCTGCTCGTTCTTGTGACGGACTTTCCGGGGAAGTACGTCATTGTGTGGCGGTGGCTGTGCTCAACTCTTCTTCGCGTTCGACCCCCAATCCTCGACATTGTCAGAACGACACACCCACATATGCAGCTCATGTTTATAATGTGCTATGAGCCTCCACGAAGATCCGAGTTTATTTTATCCAATAAAGGAAGGTTGGTCAGGCGCTCAGATGTTGGAAGCATAAACCTAGGTAACAGCGCAAATCCACGCGCAGCAAATTCAGAAGATTACCAGCTGGAAAGAATGTGATTCCGAACTGCCCTCTTCCCAGAGAAACAGCACCAACTTATGAGGTTGACAATCTTCCGTGTATCTTTACATGTCCTTGGAATGCGCACTGAGTGGTAAGCTGACCTCTCAAGAGATGCGGGAAAAGCCATAAGAACGGGATATACCATTATTTCAAAACAATTCTCCTTCCTTCATTGAAGGCTAACCCTATTCAAAGGTGGTGGCATGATAATTTGGCCAAGCTTTGCGCAAGGGTCAGAATCAGTAAGGAGCGAGCAAGGGATTTCCTATAAAGGCATCAACCTAGCTGATCGGTGTACTTGATTTCCCCCCTAAGCTCTTCTATACGTGGAATCCTTCAGCAATTTACGCTGGGACTTGCCTTCCTGTCGAGATAAGAGGACTTTCGACATCACCCCGCATATCTACAATGCATAGAACCGTGATCAATCAGGAGATTTCGGCAGCCCTATGTTATTTTGCTGCAATTGCAACTAAATTTGATAAGTCAACACGCATATTTCGATTACCGGGCGCCTTTTACAAGGATACTAGACAGCAAATAAGTACACTTATACTCGACTTGGTCCCTCACATCAGTTATGCGATTATTTTAACCGTCCCCAAACCCAATCTCAGGCTTGCAGCAGACCACATGCACGATGGAGAAGTCAGAACCGGAGAAGTCAGAGAGGCCGGATATGTCAGATGGTTTGCAGATCGCACAGCCTGAGACTTATCCCGAGGCAGTTAACCGCTACTCTGGACATGGTGACACGAAGCTACCACAACTCCACAATGATGATCACGATGGACGCGATCGCTCACAGCGAGATGCAGCATCAACACGTACTGGAAACTCTCATGACCTTTTGTCATATCGAAATGGACGTGATCTACCGGATCAAGCGCCTCACATTCAGGTTCCACCTGACATGTGGAAGAAGTTCTTTGCCCACAGACGGCGCAAATACTGGTTTACAATTGCCATGTCGTTTACCATAGTGGCTGCACTCGTGGGTACCAGCATAGGAGGAGGTCTGGTCGTGCAAGAGAAAGCCGACAAGTATGTCTTTTTTGTGCCATCCTTTGCCATTGCCTAATTTTCTGTTAGGAAGGCTGAAGCCCTGGCTGCTGAACAGGCTGCACAGAGCTCGAATATGACACTAATGCCTACGCCTACATTGGCGAGCGCTCCGGCAAGTGCCTCAGACACATTACCAGAGAGTCCAACGGACAACCCAACGGATGGATCTCAAGGCACGGGAACGGACTACATAGCGCTACCCTTCGGCACCATCCAGTCGATCAATACCACTTGTCCGTCCACACTCCTCATATCGAGTCGGTTGGAAGGCAAGAAATCGGACATCAATGGTGTTTACACGTATAGCTGCCTCGACAGTACCAACATACTAGATTCTAACCTCATGAGCTTTACTGCATATACCTTGGAGCAATGCGTTGACGCGTGCAGTCAGTACAGCGCTATGGACAGTAGCACGAACAATACATGCAAAGCCGCTGTGATCAGCTCCGACTTTCGTGGACGGTACGAAACTGCCAACGGAGCGAACTGCTGGTTGAAGAGCGGAGCTGGAAACGCAAGTACCGGACAGAACGGATACACGGCGGCGGTACTCCGTGAGGCATAAGCTAGAAAACAATCGGTGGGATGGAAGAGAGCTGGCCTAGCAGCCAACTGTTGTAAGGATCATCATCGGCGTTTGCACTTTGTCCATAGTCGGATGGTTTGGGATTCTTTTCTGACAATTAGCGAACGTCCAGTGTCTACTGTCACTATCTGTTGTATACCAATGTCAGTCATTATAGTTTTTTTTCTTATGGTGCGATTCTCGATCGACTCGGCGCGAGACAGCACGACTCAAACAGAATAAATCTTCGTATACCTGCTCAAGACAACGTACGATGCACAACCTACATGACCATAGATGAATAGCCGTTTATTAAATCATACTTTGGAACCCAGAACCCAACTTGGAGTTGTACACTAACACTTTTTTTGTGGATTCTTGAGGAAGAATATAACATGTATACCGTTAGAGTGTGGTATAGGGGAGGCACTGCTCAAGTGCCTTCCTCGTCGGTGACTGTACCTGCTGTACTATACAAGAAATAACCATCCGAGAAGTGGAAAGATAAAGATGTTGTTGGGGTTACTGGTGTTTTGCGCTCCAAAAAATCGCCAGCCCTCCTACAGAGTTAAACAGCAGGAAGAAAGGTACTTTCTGGTCAAAAAGAAGAGGCAACAAGATCATATTCCGACACCGGGAATCGAACCCGGGCCTTGCCGGCACTGTACAGTGAACAGACTCTGCAGATGAGAGCGGCAAATCCTAGCCACTAGACCATATCGGACTTGGATGGAGAGACGAAAAAGCTATGTCTGTATAATCAAAGTTTGAAAAATCGGCATAGCGACGGCATGGCTGACGATGTCTTGGTGGAAACATTCGAGAAACGTTTGGAAGTCACTTAGCAACTGTAGCAGAAGATTTTGACATCTTGTGCGTGTTGGCGGGGCACTTTTCCTGCTACCCCTGACTACCCCACTTCGAGAAATCTCTACCATCAAGCCCCTCGGGGGCACTACGGACGTGTAAAAAGGCTATTGGAAGCCATTGGATACGCTTTGCGAGTGTTGGGGCGATCTGCCCGGCATTGCTTTTGGTCCAAGACAGTCTGGCGAAATTTCCAAGAGCCCAATGCCTCCTTTCTACGTCTTGGCCGAAACATAGATGTTATAGCTGGAGCGATCCTTACGTCGTTGCAACATTGTACAACATGAGTCTACTAAAGGCATTGCCGTACTTGTGCATTGGCTGTGTGATAGTCTTGTTCTGTTGACACAGACACTGCCGTGTTTCGCACCAACGATGCATTGCAATTTGCACTTCGAGCTACTAGATGTATTTAAAAGCATAACAACTACGTACGTCTGAGCTATCCAAGAGAAGGTGGCCACTGATAGCGATACCTCAGTTTTGTTGTTAGCGCGAATGTTGCTAAGGGGCCCAAATCAGAGTTCTAAGATGCATGCTTTACGATCCAAAGTTGAAATCCTAAGACAAAAGCACTTATGGAATTGCATGTGTCGATATCGTCCTGCAGTACCTCCTTTAGATTGACCAAATGATGCTCATGGATTACACGCTCGCAGCCGACTAGTTCAACCTATATTCTAAGTCATGCGAAGTCAGAACTCCAGGCTACATCAGGTCACCCTTATGTCTGCTTGTCTCAACCCAAATTCTTGAGAATTGAGTCGCTCCCTCAGCGGCCCCATCGTCTGCAGTCGATACATTTGACCATATGGTCCTTTCCTCAAGTGCTTGCCGTGCAGTGAACCTTGTTTACAAGATAGCCACTATCCCCTTCAGCCATGGCAATGGATACAAGAGAGCCATCTTCTCTTCTTCTCACTGTATGACAGAATTCAGAGATGCGATCTCCGGCTAGAATCTATATCCCGTGGATCGTACAAAATCTGTCCCTGCTTCAGCTCTGCCTGCTCCTACAGCAATCAGAAAAGCTTCCGAGAATCGGCCCCAGCCATCCTTGATCTACTATAGAATGGTCTCTAGCTGCCTCTTTGAACTACCAAGGATCGTTACCAAGGTGTTCTAGACCTGGGAAGCTCAGGTCAACAGCATCGAGATGCTTTGTCCACACACCATCATTTGTACTAGGCTAACACGCTACTCACGCTCCAGGCCTGACGATAGAACTTGACTGTTCGGCCCTTGGACTTGTTCCGATACAACGTGCGCTGTAGAAGCATGGCACACCATCAGCTGAGTAGAGTCAAATTATGCAGTGATGTCAACAGCAAATATTGATATCGGGCAGGTTAGGCATAGTGTAAAATGTGCTTGATGTTTCGAACTGAACCAGGTTCTGGAAGTGAACGCCACACCATGGAAAGAGCTTGGAGAGAGGCCGGAATCAAAGCTAGAACGAAGCAAAAGAAGGACCGGTGCATGCGCAGGTTAATGCTAATCATCGACACTAGTCGTAAATGGACTGAGGTACATGTCGTAGTCACAGCCCGCGGAGGCGAGGAGATCGCAGGTACGAATAGACAATGCGATACAACGTAGTAAGGCACGTAACAGCAATAATGTTGTTCATGCTTGACCACACCACATAACATCAATCGTTCATGCCAATCATTGGCTGTTTTATCAGAAAATTTTAAAGCTAGATGTCACTTACATTTCGCCTCTCAAGCCTCTCAGCTTGGTTGGAGTTGCCCAGCCAAAAGGAATTTAGATAAGCAAAGAGCATGCTTCATGCGCAGCAAGCTGAATGTGGAATAGTAAGAAAGCGCGCACAAAATAATCGTAAAAAGACAAGTAGGGTTTTGGGTAAAAGTCAATTTGGTTGATAAGGTACCCGACTTGCTTTGTCATCAGAGGTGATGACTAGACCTATCATGTAGATAGTATGGGAATGAAGAATACAGAAATAATACATTCCGTAGAACGAAAGGAAAATAGCTGAACGCTTAATTGAGTAGAAAACGTTGCATTGCGGTCGGTCGCATACGAAAATACAAAAACATACAACAGCAGGGATTCGCCAGTGGTCACCCACCTGACTACTAATCCGCCGGTCTCAAGCTTGAGTACCGCTGAGCGAACGGGAAGCGCTATGATCTTGAGCCTCTGGTCGTATGTGAGAAAAAAGCCAGCGCAGTGTCTTCATATTGTCAATGGTTGAGATGGTTCACGAATGTGAATGCAGTCGCTGTACTGTGGCGCTTCTGAGTCTAGTACAACACCATAAACGCACCTAGGTGAGTGTTTAGTGACTTCGATACGCAGTGTTCACGTAAGACTGGGTGTCGTTGCAATGACATGCATGTAACCTACCGGGATCGTTGACATGGGTAGCCGATCATTGTCAGACACCGAAGCATCCTTCGGATGCGTCCCGTCCCTGAGGAACCCGCGCACCGGAACCTGGGGATGAAACATGCTAATTACTAGATCTGACGACGACAAATCGGGGGTTTGGAAAAGAGCCATGCGCATACGCAGTAGTGACGGACACCAAGCGTGAGGCAAAAGCGTAAGCTGGTGGCGTTCAACCGTGGCGTCGGAAAAAGTTCGCGTTCACCCTGATCAACTATCTTCATGTAATATCAAGCGGTGTATGCTGCAGGCGTCGTTACGCTAGTAGAGTCTTGTACGCGCTTCCGTCGCAGCGGAGTCGTACCTGCGCAAGGCTCGCAACCCTTGGATGGTTCGTGGGTGTCCTGTAGCTGCCACTTGAGGGAAGTAAGCAAGAAGATATAGCGTGGCGTCTGGACCCTGATACAACGGTATTAATGATGAGATGCGCGGCCGATTCCTTGTAGATGGAAAGGTTATGGAAGAAGCTTCAACAACTTCTGCACCAAGGCTGTAATTCTATCGTTATGAACATTTCGCCTGCTGTATGTAAGATTTGGAACGCAACAGGCGCATAGTCGTATATAGCCGGCAAATGTTGTGAACTACCTCGATGGTTGAGCCTGTACCTAATTGCCCCACGGAGATGCTTTTGGGCGCCACGGGACTCTACCAGCAATAGTGATGGCCGAAGAGACTGCCATGCGATCCGGTCACTTTGTGAACCAAATTCCTTCTTGTGCGACGGCCTTGCAACGGCCCCTATTCAAGGAGCATGCTGCATTGAGAACCTGCAATTGATGCCCAGCATCATAAAGGGCCTCAACCGAAGGTACCAATATCGAGGGCGTGGGGATCAGGATGAGACTTCCGCAAAGTACTGCATGTGCTATTGAATGCCGAGTCGTGTGCGCACCCCCCATAACCACGACGTCAGCGTCTGCGTGAAGATCACGTGCCTTTCGCAATCATTGACGGAAGGGATTAGCGAATGTGGGGAGCGCCTGTCAATCACCTTGTCGAAAATGGCAAACGGATGACAGGCGTACATATGGCATCAGCCCATGTAGAAATCAAGCTTTGGATCTAGGGTCCAGGTCGCTAAGACGCGCCAGTTAGAGTAAAGCTCCTCCAGTAGTCGCCGTTCACCTACCACCATACGCTCAATGCTGTTCCGTCGCTCGTGGAAGCCACAACAGAGAACACTTTTAACCCCTGTGTTCGTTGCAGAATGTGCATTCATCTGATCATGGCCGGTGTAGCTCTTTGCAGTCGGTTCCCCGAATCCGGTTATCCAGCCCGCAAGCTTCATTAAACTGGCTGCAGCCTGTTATCTTGAACAGCTTTGTCTAAAATTGGTTTTATAGTTCGGTCACTTCCGTAAACAGCCATGATCGGGAGCTACCGATGACTCGGAAAGTGGTTTGCTTGTGCAGCCAAATTACAAGGTGCGGCATCTCGGGTCCATAGCCTTGGTAAACTTGGGCTCAGCCCCTGCTTGCATTATGTAGGGACTTGATAATGACGCCAAAGGCTATTCGAGTGTTTTTACTGGCAACCGTTTCTTTTCAACTGGTACTTGATTTTCGGGATGAGTACCCGATGCCGTCGAACCGACGACCCGTTTGACGTAAGGACTAAAAAGCGAAAGAACCCGTGGTTGTGCCGAGCGGACCAGTAGACAGTTCTCCCGGTGAACGTCTGACATTGACTTTGAAAAACAAAACAAGGCAGAATTGTGTCTTTGCCAACCCTGAGTCAGTACACGAATGCAGCACTAATGCAATCGTGGTGTGAAGGTGCTGCATTAGTGCTTTGGGTGAGGCTGCTCTGTCGCAACCGTACTCGCAATCTCGAATGCGAAGTTCAGCGGCCATGACTGGAAATAGAGATATTCCGAGCCCCATAAAAGCCCACATGATCGTCATTCGGCAACGTGGACTGCTGCTCATCAGCACATGGCATCAGGAGGCATAACGCCGACGCCGACAAGCATTTCACTCCAGACTGCGTACGTAGGTAAGGTCTTGAGGTATGCGAGCGCGGCGACGGGCGATTCATGGCTTTGAGCTTGTCACAATCAGAGGCTGATGGTTGCCCATTTACCGGGTCTACGCGATTCCTAGACGAAAATCATGTCTGGCAATCAGGAGCGCGGGTCCACGCGGCAGAGGATCATCGTTGCGGAGGTTGGAATTGCGTTCAGCTTGCCCTGAGCCAGCCACCAGCGCGAAGGATGCTCTGTGTGCGGCCATTCTAGTAAAAGTTATGCCGGTGACGTCGAAAGATGCCTGGGGTGCTCGGTGAATCAAACGCACGAGACTGGAACAGAAGGTCCGGTAGGGTGGTTGATGGTATAGGGTGATTGGCGGATGCTTAAGCTCGTTGGCCAGCGCAGGTCGCGGCGCGTGAGACGACGCCCTCAGTCGATCAGCACCATGCCTCTTTGAGTGAAGCTTCCTTGGTGACAGAGCCAAGTATCAGAAGCCAGTCCGCCTGATGAGAGACCATCGTGGCGATTGCGCGGAGTCGCGGAGGCCTGGCAGCAATAGCGGCTAGCTAGGTGCAATGTCCACAGCTGTCAAACAGGGCGAGTAGTAATCAGCTTCAGCTGGGGCCAGTCGACCTGATGATTGAGATGATGTGTGCGTGAAGGACAGTCGCACATGAAATGTCTTTTGCGCGTAGGCAGCAGAAATAAGGTTCATGTCGTGGAGACAGAAGCATAGCCAGCTGCCCCCGAGTCCCATGTTGCACCCAGGTTCCGCTCGTAAGCGGAATCTCGACGCGACTGAGGCTGACGATAGGTGCCCAAGCGGCTAGCAGACAAAGCACGCCTTCAGAGTGGAGCAGAAGTGTCAAAGAGGTTGCTTTGCCGATGTGCAGTGGGTGATGGCAAGAAGGGTGAGGATCCTCGGCAAAGCATCGTGGCCGCTTCCGAACTCGGCAGCGCGCCAGGTGGATTGTAGGTTAGCCTGTCAAGCCGTCATCCCGCCGTCCACCCTCCAACGCTCGCAACCAAAGACCCCCCATCGCTTCGACAGTCGTGTGTCTATATTGGGCAGGCCGGCCAGGAACCCACGTCCTGACCAAAACATTGTAACCCCCTCATCAGCCTACCCGGCATCAGATCCGCTGATCAGCCGCCAAATTTCTTCTCCCACTCCCCTAGCGCAAGCCCTTCACCACCCCCCGGTCCATTGGCACGCACTCCGACGAGACCTCGCACGACAGCTGCCGAATCGAATCTTGACTTCTTGCCCTGCTCCTCTAGGACACCTCCAAGTCTGTGTCCGCACCCGCTGTTTCTGCATCCGACTCCAGTTGCTCACCCTAATCCAACCCCCATGTACCTTGTCGCTCCCCGGAAAAGTATAGTCCCAATCCTAGTCTAGAACATACATGCTCTCTATGGTCTTTCCATGCCTGATGTAGGTACTGTGGGCGCGCTATCATTTTACGTACAGCCTTCCGTCTCTACGAACGGCGGCGGGCTTGCCGCTCTCTCTCCCCTTTTGGCCTTCCCAGCGGCCTTTGACACCTGGTGCGTGCTCCCCACTCCGTTATAACTAACATTCAAGCCCTTGACTCCACATGGCTCCCGCGGGCTGAATGATCGACTTCCCTGAGTAGATTTGTTCTTGTCTACGACCTCTCAACTACTACAAGACGACACCATCACTTCCACCTTCATCACTGTTGACTGTGAAGCTTGACTGCCTAGTCACTGGCGCCCCGCAGGACTCACCTATTCCAGATCGGCACTTCTGCGAGGTTAATCACTCTTGACTCCGCCGTACCCGCTTCCAAGCGGACCAACATCGTTCCGCCCATCTTGCGCCCCGTTCTTCGAGATCGAAGATTACTTAGGTACGACATCCACCTAGCCTGATGTCCCTTATTTGCATCTTTGGCAGCCATATACTAAGTGCTATACTAGGCTCGCTTGTCATCTCTCCCAACTCTTTACCTCCAAACCATGGCAAACGTGGCGCCGGCTCCAGTATCAGGAGCCTCGGGTGACGTTTCACCAACAGGCGTCTCGGGTTCTGCAACCAACTCCAAGATGAGGAAGAGGACCAAGACTGGATGTCTCACCTGTCGAAAACGCCGCATAAAGTGTGGTGAGGAGAGACCTACCTGCGCCAATTGCATCAAATCCAAACGTCAGTGCGAGGGCTACAACCAGAGAGTCATCTTCAAACCCCCAATTGGAGATTGGCCAAATCATCCAGGCGTGGTCAGCACTATCCAGTATCACACTTCGATGCTTCCAGGGACACGCAATCAATCGTATCGCGGGCCTGAGCCCGCTGCCGCTATGCAAGAGAGCATGCTTGGTTCGATCCAGCCCCGCATGCATGGCAGCTACGACTTCTCACATATCGACCCGAGCTCAGGCCCAGGACCTTCAGATCACCAACAAGGTTTCACTGAAGGGAACCCCAACTATTCACATGAGCAGGCTTATCAGCAGCCGCTGCCATCTCCTCTTCATCAACAGCCGCTCCAATCGCCAAACCACCAAGTACATAGCCACACTCCAACCGCTTCATATTTTCCGCCGCCTCCGACAATGCACACAAGTCCACAAACGCCATTTAGACACGATTCGCACAGCACCTACCAAGCGCCCCTTCAATATACCCAGAATGCACCATATCCACCCGTTTCGGTCCCATACAACCACGAATCCAACCTCAAGGCCACAGTTACTCAGCCTCCGCCAATCTACCCACAAACCTATCGATCTGATAGCCAGCAAGCCGAAGGTACTTATCGGGATCATTCCAGTGTATCCCCAAGAAGCGACCAACACCCCCGTTACACAGAGGCACCGCCAGGGGTGCAAAGATATGAGAGTCACCCGCAAGCCCCTGTGCACTCTATACAAGGAACTCCGGCAAACTTCAGCCAGATTGGAAATCTTAACTATCCAGCAGTTTCTCACGCTGACTTCAGTCATGCAAGTTATCCTTCTGTTCAGATGCCTATTCATGATATGACCCCAGATGTAAAGTATATGTCTCAGCCCGTCCTCGGTATGTCTCGTGTCTAGTTAAAACCTCGTATACCCCAATGATTACTATTATTTTCTCTGAGTCTAAGCCCTCGTCCACTGTCACTCCATAAATTTGTGCATGCCTCTGAATTCTGGGTCTATCCCCAGTCCTTTCTAGCTGCAACAGCACGCTACTCTCAATCACTGTGTAGAATTATATGTCATCTAGCTGACTATTTATGTCTACAGAACAACCTTACGCCGTATCACAAGCGCAGCAACCTCAACCGCAACTCCTTCTTGATGGCTTTGGCGGTGACGACCACGTCAGTCCTACACAAGTTCTCGACGAAGCCGCAATCGAAAATGAAGATGACGATTACTGGGATGTCCAGTCCGACGAAGACATGTTTGATGCGGAGACCGCGGAGGACGAGAAGGCTTTACTTGCGACTAAAGAATTCGACACCATCCGTCGCATACACTTTGAGAACTACAACGAGCTGGGGATAAGGCGGTATGATGCATTCCTATATGATGGATTACTATCGGACTATAGACCAGAATATGCAGCAAGTCCTCTACGCAATCCCAAGACTGCGAGGGTCTTTGCACACTACATTCATGTGGTAAGTGCGACAGAGACAATTGCATAACTTGTCTTGTCATCGCAAATGCCGCGTAACTTCCTGAACCTCCACAATCATACGATCCACTGACTTTTGATAGACTGGACCAACTTTATCAATGTACGAACGAAACCCTCGAAACCCTACCCTCATCTTCGAAGGTTCTACACGACCCGCTCAGCAAGGTCTTTGGACATACACATTGCCTATGAAGGCTCTCAGTCATCAGGGATTGTTGCACGCCATGCTAGCGCTCGCGAGTTTGCATATTGCAAGATTGCAAGGCGCCTCCATAACACCATCGTACAAACATTATGCATACTCCTTGAAACGACTCGTCCGTTCTCTCAGCAATCCTAAGAAACGTTTATCGACCCTTACGTTAGCCACCTCCTTGCTTTTGGCGTTCTACGAAGTTTGGACGGCAGAGCATGTCAAATGGGGTACACATCTTATCGGGGCCCAGCGCCTGATCACTGAACTCGACTTCCGATCACTCACGCGCGAGGCGAGGCGTTTGCGAGCGGCTCAGACTGCCATGGAACGAAGTTTCCCATACCAAAACCCTGAGATGCTCATCGACCAGAGGCAGTTTGATCAGAGGCTTAAAGACAGTGCTTTGACGCCAGATCAGAGTCTTGTAAGCACAATTGTTGGTAACAATGTCAATTATGACGATTTCGGAATGGTCTTCGAAGACAACGGCGCAAGGCACGACACAAGACCTAAGATACCTGCGAAGTTGGACCTGCATAGCTACGAGACACTACAGGATATATACTGGTCATATGCTAGACACGATGCTTATCAAAGCATCATCAGCGGAAATCGCCTCATGTGAGTATCGTGGGTAGGGTTTTAGAACATGCGACTGACAGGTAGTAGTAATCCTTATCGTAAATGGTCAGATTGCCCTCCAAGAGCCCCGCTTGGCCGAACCGATGCTCTCTATGGCTCTCATGACCATATTATCCTTCTTTTAGGTCGCATCGCAGACTTCACTGTCAGGGACCGTAGTCGCAAACTCCGACAAATAGAAGCTGACGGTGGATGGCGACCTCGCCCTGGTATGCCTGGTTTCGGGAACATGAGACCGCCCCCAGGCGGTTCTCATGGTCAGCAGCAGATGCCCACGAGCGCTACAGGTCCTCCACCTCAAATGCAAGGCCCACTACCAGGATGGAAGGGACCACCGCCGCCAGGCTGGACAGGCCAGGCTCCACCACAACCTCCCCCGGGTTTTGGACCGCCATCTATGTCGGCTGCAAACCCACCCCAGGGTGGTTCACCTAGACCACCAGCTATGCCCAGCTTTTATGGAATGGCGCCATCAGCAGGACCAGGACCTATTCTTTCCAGTTACGAAAACCCTAATTATGAACGTTCACCACAGACTCCAAACGCGCCCCACCCTCAACATAGTGATCTGCCTGCTGAATATGAGAAGGCTATTTTGGAATGGGAGAGTATTACCAATGCACATACTGCAGTTGTGCATGTCTTGGAACAGACTGATGCTTTCGCACCATTGCCAGAAGACACCTACCCACCAGCGCCAGGAGAATATCCCAGTCAACAAGGAAACATGACACCCTTTGGCCCAGCTATTCTACATAGAAGCTACGACATATCCATTCTATGGACAATAATCCACCTCTCCAAGATCATCCTTCTACGATCTCACCCGGGTATGCCACCCGCTGCTCAAATGGCGGCTGGTGTATGCGCATCCGCCACAGCCCCATACTGCATGCTCATCGGCCGCATATGTGCTGGTTTTCAGATGCCCATCGATTCGGACCTCTCTCCCTTCCTTGGCGCAGTATTGACAGAATCTACGTTATCGCTTTTCTTCGCTGGCATTACGTTTCAGGATCCGCGACAACGTGAGTGGCTTATCACCAGGTTATTAGAAACGGACAAGAGGACAGGTTGGGCCAGTGCAGGGATCATCGCAAAAGGGTGTGAGACGGCCTGGGAAAAGGCGGCAGAGATGGGAAGAGGGCCGCCGTACAAGAGGAGGACGAAACGGGTTCAAGCAGTCAGCGTTGACATGGAAGAAGAGGAGGCCGATGGAAGGAATAGGGAGCCAGGAAGAGTACAAGAAATACACGGAGAGACAAGATATGTGGTGAAGAAGCGGCCACCGCCATGGGCTATGAATTTGTTAGGCACCGAGGAGGATCTCCGAGCTGGGATGGAGAGATTTGGGTTGTAAGGAGGTAACAAGGGGAAAATAGAGAAAAGAAGAAGCTGATAACCGACATTGAGGAGAGACGACAGAAACGGGAACGGGGCGGCGAAGTGCATAAAGAACTGCACAAAAGTACCTCATTAAATGAGCCAGCACCGCGAGATTCGAGGTAGCCAAAGCGCAAGACACCAGCATCATCATTTCGGTGGTGGAAGCAGACACGGAACACATTCTGAAGCGGAAGAAGACAAGACCAAAACCTAATTCCCGCCACTTATCCCGAGTAAGCACTAGCTTGTGAGCAAGTCAGGAATCGATTATCCGTTGCCTACACTATGCAGCAATAAGAAAATCCCCTCGGAACGCTCGTTCTACGGTTTACTACATCTTCCCTACGCTAAATGGATAAACAACACCACCCATTCGCAACGAACGCTTACCAATACGATGTTTCGGAACGTCAATGTCACAAATACGCCACGGATCCCACAAAACAACTGTATACATACTGCTTTGAGCAAAGCCTCCCATGTCCAGCGAGCATCATGCATAACGCATCACGATTTATACGATATACAATACCCCCTTCATCGGCAAAGAAGCATTGTTGCACAGTTACATTGTTACCAAAACGCAGCGATCAACACAAGAAGATAGTACTTGTTTTTTCGGCAGCTAGAGAGCTTGAAGAATGCAGAATGATAGCAAGATCTGTTGGTTGCTGGGGCATCCTCTAATCCGTGCAGACAAGAGGCTAGCGTAATCGGTGTACCAGATAATGGCCGTCCGTTCACGTCGGCCCCATCGGGCGGGGGAGATAGCAGTGTTGTTGTTGTTGTTGTTGTTGTTGAAAGATTCGGGGCATGCGATAGCAGGCAACGCTGATGAAGAAATCCGTCTGAGTTCGAACAAGTGTATTGAACTATACATGATGATTTGTCTACAAATTCTCCAAAGATCAAATTACGCCCGCTCGCTCGTTAGCTAATGAGAACATGAGGTGTTTTTGAGAACTCGTGTCTGATGGATGCCACCAACGCCTCTTCTTAGCCCAGCAACCATGTCGTGTGAATCCAATTAGAAAGAAATGCTCCGTGCCACTTAATATGCCAAACTCCGATGTACGCCTTATCCATTGATGGCGTTGTGCAAGCGTCTTCGATTACGGCTAGTTCTGAGTGCCGTAGTGTCCATTGCGCTTCTAGAAGAAGTAGTAGAGCACACTCCCACCCGCTGTCATAAAAACGCCGAACCACCACCACTGCTCAGCCCTGGCGGCGCCAGGCGTCCTCTTGTACAGCACTTCGTGGTTCATAGGTAGTTCGCCGCGCTTCGAGTTCTTGGCTGAAGGGGTTTGCGTCACGAGAGGGTTGAGGGTCGTGGTAGGTAGCATTTTCGGCGTGGACATGGCAAGGTACAGAGGCATCATGGGCGCGCCGTCCCATTTGTAGAGGGTGATGCGCGGGATCTTGTGGTAGGCGTCCGAGGCAACGTACTCGTAATGCTGCACAGAATGGTTAGTATGATGGACTTGATGAATTTCCGGAGGGTTGGTTGATTGGGAGCGCGCGAAAAGGCGTTTCAACGTACATCGAATAGTTCGCTCGCATTGTATCGTGTGTAGACGGAGTTCTTGTAAAAGCACGGGTCGGAGTAAAGCTGTCTGCCGTCCACCTTGATGGGCTTGAGGACCAGAGAACCGTTTGCGAGTTTCTCGTAGGTTCCGTGCTGCCATTGGATTATGCCCTTGGGGCATTTGGGATCTGTTGCTGTGATGGCTGTCAGCAAGGCAGCATTGATGCGATTACTGCCAACGTACGGTTTGCGACAGCGCGGTAGTATGCCTCTTCAAAATGTCCATCGGCAGTAAAGGAGTAGCTGATGCCCGTGTGCTTGGGCTCGGTGAATTTCTCATTTACGGGGTCGTAGAAGTCCTGGAGGGTAGTTAGTCTCGCGTCGCTGAGCGCACATGGACCTGTGGATGCATACAGGTCCGGTCATGGTCGAGTTCGCCTTGCTCGTCCAAGTGCCGACGAGTTCTGCAGGAAGGGCGGCTGTTTGGGCTTGCGCGCCCAGAATGGCGGCTCCTGAGAGTAGCAGCGCTGCTATCCGTGACAACATGGTTCGTGTGGTGTGGGTGCGTGAACGAGTGTGGATGGTCGGTGGTGTGCGAAAGCGAGCGTGGGTGCGCGAGGGCAGGAGGTTGGTGTGAGGAGGACGGTGGTGGTTGTTGTTGAGGGGAGGATGTTTGGCTATGTTTGAGTGTCGCCGCCTCCTGGTTTGGATCGAATCGACAGGGATCACGCGGCTAGTTGCAGATCAGCACCGGCTTCCGGTGGACAAGGCCGACATCATCGCTCGCACCCGCAGCGGATCTTTTAGCGATTCCCGCCATCGCTTGCTTTGCTGTACGGCTCTGTAGACGATTGATTGTTGTTGTTGCAAATACGGCCTCTACTATTCACTATTGCCATCTTGTCACAGCGCTGTAGCACCAGATCCGACTTCCGGAACATCGGTACTCTCGCTGGAACGCCGTTACGCTTGCAATTAAACGACGCTATGGCCGCGTCACTAGCAGCTGTCAAGAAGGAATTGCGCAACAGGATTAGGAGCATTCTCAGAGGACTTCCCGAAGCCGTTGCGGCTGCTCAATGTACGTCATGGTTTCTGTTGTTGCAGCTGCTTCTACTTATGCTAAAAAGCATCCAATGCTACCAAGGCTCTGCTGTCCATGCCAGAGTACCAGGCTGCACGCACGATAAGTGTCTACCTATCTATGCCAGGCGGTGAAATATCCACGAGCGAGATTGTGCGCAATGCACTAGACGAGGGCAAGAACGTCTTCATTCCCTACACGTACACTTTGGACGCGCCCAAACAAGGCCAACCAAAATCTATCATGGACATGGTAGAGCTACAGTCGATGAAAGACTTTGAGTCACTGGAATCTGACAAATGGGGGATTCCCACTCCAAGCAAAGATTCCATATCATCACGTGCAAATTGCTTTGGCGGTACCGGCATCACGAATGGGGAGACCGAAGGTGTGAGTGCTGGTCTCGATCTGATCGTCATGCCGGGTATGGCTTTCGACTCGCAGTTCGGCCGCCTGGGTCACGGTAAAGGCTTCTACGACTATTTCTTGACGCGTTGTCACCAAGTTTCGCGCATGCCTTTTCGCGGTAAGAACTACTGGCATTGTGTATTTGGAGGGCTAACTAACCAAGTTGAAGTTGGCCTCTCGTTAACTGAGCAGTTCCTGCCGCCAAACGAGTCGGTTCCCATGGATTCGTCCGATTTCCGTTTGGACGCTTTGATCACCGGTGATGGCGAGCTCCGTCGCGTGGGAGCTTAATATCCTCCCATGAACCTTTCAAACGAGATTGTCCGTGTTACGCGGCGTCATCTCCCTCCAAGCCTGATATATGCGCTGTGCCCATGGTATGTCTCTATGACTATGCGGGGAGTAAATAGGCTTTTGCGCTTATTGGAGCTGCTGGATGAGAGAAATGTTATCGCCCTTGAGCAGAATCTGGCCGACTTTGCGCCTTTCCTCTGGCGCGTCTTTCTTGGCGAGAGTGACTTCGATGGCGTCGTCGATAACGAGGTTCATGAATTCGTCAAAGCCCTGCGCAGTTGTCAGCAGCTGTCGCGATGAGATATCTAGGCAGTCGTACCCTAAGCTTTCCCTCAATGCGCATGCCCAAGTTCTCGTACAACCACACCGAGATGGTCGCTCGTGATTGCAGAAGCTTGAAAATGAAGTTGATCGGGGGAAGGAGAACTAAGACACAATTAGCTGTTGTCGCGTCGCATGCACGTGGTAGTGGTCGTACCCTTTCCTCCGCCGCGGCCTAAGACGAGTTAGCTAATGCCTGTGCAGCAAGGCAAGAATACTGACCACCACGTCCAGTCATTGTGAGGGTTGATGGCGAGTCTCCGGTAGTATCTGGGAGTGGTAGGGTCCGAGTCGGGGCGCAATGTGGGGAGAGGCTCGGGGGAGAAGCTGTGGTGGAAGGAACATTTCTGGCGCGACCTGAGCGGTCACAAACGCCTTGGCACCAACGTGGGGATCTTCGTGCTACTTTGACTATGCGACCGAACGCAACTGCCCGTCTCCGAACAAACTCACCCTCACCACCACCACAACTGCCGCCTTTGTCCCCTCCCCACCGCTTGCACCTGCCGCCGTCTACACTCGTCTGACCCGTCAGTTGATGCGCGCAATATAACACACGCCCCGCCGCCTTGCTCCGAGCAGTATCCGCATCCGTCTCCCCCCTCCCCCACTACCTGCTCGAATTCGCTCACCATGGCTGCCAACGGACAGCAGATCTTTGACCCTGTGCTGGCGGCGCACAATACCATGGCGTCACAGGCGGATCGCGCACAGAAGGAGCAGGCACATCAGTTTCTGGAACAGTTCCAGAAGTCGGTATGTAGCATGGGCACATTTGCACGAGGCGTGAGGGGCTGATATGTCACAGGAAGAGGCATGGACTACCACACTGGCTATGCTCGAGGCAAATTCAGCAGACGCGGCCGCCAAGCTCTTTGCTGCCACGACACTCAAGGGAAAGGTGGGTTGTTGCTCCTGCAGCGTGCGCACATGCTGACTGTGCCAGATTGTATACGATCTTCACCAAGTGCCTCGCGCACAGCTTCCAGAGCTCCGAGCGTCCATCATGCGAAATCTGGCGATATTCCATGCTGGACCCAAGCCCATACGTCTGCAGCTATGCGTGTGTCTGGCGAATCTGGCCATACAGATGACCGAGTGGAAGGATGTCCTCAAAGACGTTGTCAACGCCCTCGGTTCAGATCCAGCAACGCTACCTTGCGTCTTGGACTTTCTCCGTGTTCTCCCCGAAGAAGTCACACACGGACGCAAGATCGCTCTCACAGTACGTCCGAACGAGCCGCGCCCCGTCTTCAGCCCACGGCAATTCCCCAAGGTGTCGACATATGATAGTAGAGTTGTAGTCTAATATGTGGTGGTCAGGAACACGAGTTGACTATGAGGACGACCGAATTGATCGACGACAACGCCCAACAAGCCCTGGAACTCCTCATCCGATACGGCACTTCTTCACGTACGCTCAAACTTCCCCTTGCCAAGCTCGTTCCTACTGACCCTCCGTAGCCGCTGCCGCTCAGAACCCGCAGTTGCTCAACTGTATCACGTCCTGGATACGAGAGATACCCCTGGATGCCATCATCAACTCCCCTCTACTCAAAATTATCGTCGAAGACCTGTCCCTAGATGATCCATTCGAGGCTGCTGTGGAGTGCTTGAGCGCCCTTATTGCTGAGACCAGAGATGTCGACGAGACTCTCAACTCGATAATGATTCTCTATCCCCAGGTCATTAACCTCCAGACCAAGCTCGCTGAAGCGGCGCAAGAGGAAGACTCTGAGAAATTCAAAGGTATCGCCAGGATATTTGCTGAAGCAGGAGAATCGTGGGTCATTCTCATCGCGCGCCTACCGACCGACTTCCGCGCCCTGGTCCAAGCAATACTCGCCACGGCAGCGCTCGACAAGGAGAGGGATGCCATATCTCATACCTTCAAATTCTGGTACGACCTGAAGCAGTATCTCACAATCGACAAGTATGCCGAAGCACGCAACCAGTGCTTGGACATCTACTCCAAGTTAGTGGACATCATGATCGGCCATCTCGAATTTCCCAAGCCAGAAACTGGTGATGAAAAGGATCTGTTCGAAGGCGATCGTGATCAGGAAGAAAAGTTCCGCGAGTTCCGTCATCAGATGGGCGATGTGCTCAAGGACTGCTGCGAGGTTATGGGTGTCGTGGAGTGTCTTCAAAAGCCCTACGATCTCATGCAGCAATGGGTCCAGACTTACGGCGCTCAAGCTGGTCCGAACAATGTGCCCGAGTGGCAAAAACTGGAAGCGCCCCTGTTCGCTGTCAGAGCTATGGGTCGCATGGTACCTCCAGATGAGAACATTATGCTGCCTCGTCTGATCCCACTCATCGCGGGTATACCCGATCATCACAAGCTGCGATTCCAAGCTGTAATGGCCCTCGGAAGATATACCGAATGGACTGCACAACATCCTGATACGCTACAGCTGCAATTGGATTACATCATGGCCGCCTTCGAACATTCTACCAAGGACGTGATTCGAGCCGCTGCGCTATCATTCAAGTTCTTCTGCAACGACTGCGCAAGCCTGCTGGTAAACTTTGTCGGCCCCTTGCAACAGTTCTACGCAAAGAATCTGAACAAATTACCAATCAGCAGCCAAGAGGAGATCACCGAAGGTGTTGCTTCAGTAGTCGCCAAGGTACCCAACGAACAGCTTTTGGTAACACTCAAGCTGTATCTCGACCCGGTCATGGCCCACTTGATCGAGATCGCGCGACAAGCAAAGGACGAGGCGGATCAAAAGCTCATCGCCGACAAGATCAATCTACTGACCATTTTCTTCGAGATGGTCAAGCCAGAGATTGCGCCTGGACAGGAACATCCAGCGGTCAAATATTGCCAGGAGATCTTCCCTACCCTTGCCAACATGATCACACACTTCAACACAAGCATACCTATCCTGGAGCGTGTATGCCGGTGCTGGCGATACATGGTGCTCTCCTACCGTACAGCGATGCGCCCGCTCCTGCCTGATCTTGCAACCAAGCTGATTGAGGGCTTCGATAAGTCGAGGCAGGGCTGCTTCCTTTGGGCGACTGCATCCATCGTACGGGAATTCTCACAAGGTGTAGATGATGTTGACCCAAGTTTGGCGAATGATGTTTATCAGTTCTATGAGCAGCAAGCGAAGACCTTCCTGCGCATACTGAGCGATCTGCCACCTGAAGAGCTTCCAGACCTCATCGAAGACTACTTCCGCCTTGCTGCCGACATGGCACTCTATTTCCCCTCGGAGTCGATCATGTCGCCACTCATGGACACTGTTCTTCTCGCAGCCTGCAGCTCTCTGACACTGCTTAAAGAAGACCCTATCATCGCAGTGCTTCACTTCCTACGAGATTTGCTCGGTTACGGTCGCAACTCATCACCCTCATCTAGCTTCGACAACACCCGTCACGACGTCCCCGAGCAACTGCGAAACCGCGTCAAGCAACTCGTTGTTGGTGCTGGCGTTCAGTTAGTTCAGCGTATCATGACTGGAATGATGTACAGCTTCCCTGAAGGCTGCTTCGCCGATTCTTCTGGTGTACTCCTCGACCTCTTCGAGCTCATGCCTGAGCAAGTCGCTCAATGGGTTGCCAGTACTGTTGGAATGCTACCACAGGGCAGCATCACGCCTCAAGAGAGTGAGCGATTCCTCAACAACATCCGACAACGTATCCAAACTGGCGATGTTAGAATGATCAGGACCATTCTTCAGGACTTCACTACTAGCTATCGCCGGCGCAATGTGGCACCCCGTGAAGGTCTCGGCAGACTGGAAGCCTCGCGGTTCAGGTTCTCTGGTTAGATGCTGGGTTCCGAACCAAAGCTTCTGTTTCGAAACGTGAACGCGCCAGAAACTGAGGAACAGCTAAGGTGTTCTGCGCTCCTACTTCAAATGGTCAAGTTGAGCGCCTCCATAGGCCAGTAGGACAGTCGTATGTTTGGTGCGTGGTGTAGTGTATATCGAATAGCATAATTGTACTTGAAGCGTTTGTGTGTGGGCATTTGCATGGAAGATCGGGATATGAAAGGGCAGGATACCATCGGTGGGACAAAGTGCGGGTTATTGTTCAAAATGCTTAGATACCGTTCATCTCCATACTTCACAGTTCTTATGTTTGTGTAAGTGTTCAGAGTGATCATTGGCTTGCTTCATTGCAGTCCGCATATCAGTATTGTGAAAAAGCAGATAAGCCGCACATGTGAACGACGAATGATCGAAACATCGGCCGGATCACTAGATACTGCAGGCTTCCATCATTCGCAAGGAGCATTGCAAACACATTTACTTGGCGGCACCATAACACGGTCTATTTTATGAACATGCTCATTTGCGAGCGCCGCGATCTGTGATTGCCATAGTCTGGAATAACGTTCGTTGCTTCATTCTAGTACAACTTTGTCGAACGCACTTCCTTCTTGTTTGGTGGTATGACTGCTTGAAGTATGGCAGATTGGGAAGCAGCGGGATTCTGCTGTCCCAGCAAACAACAAACGCCATACCAGCTTCCTCAGGATTCTCCGTACAGGTTCATCGCTGGTTGCTTACCGACACAACCTTGCGCCTATCAAACAATATCCTATCTGAGCACCGACACTTCGACTCATACCCACCATAGTGTTGTCCTTATCCTATTCCTTGACCCACTGCTGTTGACACTACTTCTCGACACTCATCATCACTCGGGACACTACGCTGCTCGCAGCCCTCCCTGTTCCTACTCCATACGGTGACAGACCTGCATCTGCATCTAAGTATGTTGGCTTCGAAGCTGATAACTGGACGTTAGGTATGGCTTTGGCTCTGAAATAAGAGAAATGTGGCCTGGGATAGGAGCTGACGCCAACTTTTCAGTAAAGTCAATCCGCAAACGTAACAACGTTCCCCTTCACCTGTGGCATCTGCGCACCGCCCGCCTGGTATTGGCAAGAACAATATCGGCAGAACCTAAAGCTAGCAACCGTCCAGGAAACAAACATCCTGGATCCTCCATACGGGCGACCCGGCCTCGCGAGAGCTAACTCCACAGGATCCGGTTATAAACCAACGTCCATTAGGTCGAGCACTTCAAGCGCATCACAAACGTCCACCAGACCAAGAAGACACTCGCAGCCGGCTCTCCCGCCAACACTTGCGGAGAAGATCGCACTAGGCCCTCAGCTCAATCCATACCATAGCAAGAATCCCCATCGCCTCGACAGATACAGTAGCGTCCGGGACGTTTACCTTGCCAGACAAGAGCAACGTACCAAGGAAGCAGCACATCAAGAAGAGCGACTTCAGCAGCTTCGGCTCCACCGGCGGAGGGTTTCTCGTCAGCTTGACGGACCAAGATCAGCTGGGGCTTCACCAGCTTTGAGTCGCACAAACTCAGAGAAAGATCTTGTCCGAACATCGTCTCTCAAAAACTTCACCAAAGAACTGACAGCATTCGAGAAATTTGGGCCACTTAGGCGCACAAATACCGGCGACTCCAACGCATCCTCATCAGGACAGTCGAACAGGTCTAGGAAGTCAACCCTTTCCCGGGTTTTGACGGCTGACCGCTATGATCGAGACACTGAAAGAAATGAAACACGGCAAGAGCGGCAGTTACGAGAGCCTGGCGCTAGAACGAACGGCGAGCCAAATTCTGCATCGCATGGAGGACAAGGACTCGGAAGACTCCTTGGAAAGCATGCGGACAAGAGTACTCGGTTGGCACCATCTTTAGCATCGCGTTGTTAGATCCGTATGACTGATCTGATTTAGCGAACGCGCGCGCGATATATGGACCGAATCGTTGTCTAGACGTGATAAGTTTCGCCCCGACTTCCTCACGAAAAATTGGAGCTTGCATCGTCGAACACAATCCTTCGAGTAGATCGTACGTACATTGTTGCTCTGCAAAAGAGGACTCGCGTCTCGCTGCCTTGGAGCACTTGCTTGTAATCACCGAAGATCTGCTCCAACGACTTATGGATGCCGAGGGCATCACGAGTAGTGGCTGGTTGCCCGCCACGCCACAGTCACACCATGCAGCAATGTTCGGAAGCGCAGCCGGTAGCATAGCGGGTGGAAATAGTAGCGTAGCAAGCAGTGTCCAGCCAAGTCGTAGAGGCAGTGCTCAACCACAGGAGTAAGACTCTTTTCACAATATCGGCATCGGCATACTTACAAGAAGCAGCTTCCTCATCGACTACACTCAAGGTTCACCGCAACTGGTGCAGCAGTCGCCACAGTGTCCACCACCCCCGAGTTCGGCACCATCACAGACTCCTTTCGTCAATGACTTCAACACGCCTTATTCACACCACCACATCCAAAAGCCCAAGCTCCCTAGAGTCAGTAGTGATACAGCGTTTCAGACGGCTACTAGCCCACTGAAGGCTTTTGTGCAGACAGTCCCGAGGACCAACAGCGATATTATCCAGCAACCTAAGCCGATGCCTGTTGGGCAGTTCCAGGGGCCTGGAAGAGGCAGGGTGCAATGGAATCTGGGCTCTGAAGGGTAGAAGAATCGGGTCTCGAGTCATCGGCTGCTTGAGGTCTGGGAAACGATGGACGTTGGGTATTCCTAAGCTGTATTTGGATGCTTGATCTGGTCAATCAACCGTATTGTTACTGCGCCCATGTCTCCATCTTGGTTAGGGTTCTATTAATGGTGGCTCCCACTTCCAGCTGTGACTCATGAGCGTATCTTGTGAGAGACCGGAATAGAGCTATCAGCCGATGCCATGACGAATCTTGTTGTGCATCCCATGGCTAATACATGTGACGAGAGGGAGTGGTGAGTCGCAACTATTAGCGCGAAATCTTGGCGGCGGAGCGCACACATTGAACCTTGGAATTGCCCCACAGGCTACCGCCACTTCTCGTTTCTGCTATATCATAAGGGACCCCCCGACTACGACCGACGGCAACATTCACAACACGCAACCACAACCGCCAAAATGTCAAGACCTGCAGGGTGAGTCTATGCGCACGCATTCCTGCCCATGAGCGCCCGCCGCCCCCGCACCATGGCCCATCAAAAGACGGTCTTCCGCATGAACACCAGCCCTACTATAGAATCCGGTGAGCTGACATTAATGCTATAGCCGCACCGACTGGGCGGAAGAAGACGACGAGGAGTCCCTCACCTCCCTCCCACCCAACCAAGTCATCAAGAACAAGGACGGAACAGAGACAGTCATCTCCTACCGCATCGGCGAAGACGGCAAGAAATACAAGACCACCAGGCGCATCAAGAAGACGGTCGTCAAGCAGATCGTAAACCCTCGTGTGGCCGAGCGAAAGCAATGGGCAAAGTTCGGACAAGAGAAGGGCAAGCCCGCGGGCCCGCAAACGGACACCGTCTCCGTCGCTGAGAACATCGCCTTCCGACCGGTATCGAACTGGAAAGCCAGCAACGAGGACAAGGGCGACGAGGCAAAGAAGAAGGCCGAGCTCAAGAATGCAAAGATCAAGTGTCGTATTTGCCAGGGCGACCATTTCACCACAAAATGTCCTTTCAAGGACACCATGGCTCCCGAGGGCGACGTCGCGCCCGCAGATATGCCCGATGACGCGCCCGGCGTCGGAGCAGGAGGAAGCCTGGGTACTGGCTCTGGAGGCTACGTTCCCCCGCATCTGCGTGGACGTGCTGGTGCTGGTGAGAAGATGGGCGGCAAGTTCGACCGGGACGATAGCGCAACCCTCCGTGTCACCAACGTGTCTGAATTCGCCGAGGAGCAGGATCTACGCGACATGTTCTCCAGGTACGGACACGTCACGAGAGTGTTCTTGGCCAAGGACAGGGAAACTGGCCGTGCGAAGGGCTTTGCCTTTGTCAGTTACGCAGACAGATCGGATGCTGCTAAGGCGTGTGAGAAGATGGATGGATGTAAGTTTCACAACAAGTTTGTGATATCGAACCATGCTAACAGGTTTCAGTCGGTTTCGGTCATCTCATCTTGCGTGTTGAGTTTGCTAAGAAGGCTTAAGCTCAAGGGATTTGTGATGGCTCGGTGACGTTGCAATTTGGCGTTCGGGGCGATTTAACGGGCTACGACATCTATGACATGGATTTTCCATGCTTGACGATAGCTATCGTTAGTGACTTCAGACGAGGCTGCTTCTCATGAATATCAATGATAAAGTGCTCGGTTTGAACGTATCACTTGACGCCCAGAATCAGGCACAGCTTCATGGGGCTGGAGGAACGTTGTGAAATTGGAGTGCTTGCAGCTTGAATTGCATCCTAGGCGGCGTTTTCGCAGCCGGCATTCGCCATCAACCGTACTCCCACAACCGTAACCTGGTGGATACTCATCTAGGGCGCTCTAATCGCTCGCCTTGTACTTCTCCCGATACTCATCTAGCCTCTTCAGATCCTCTTCTCCACCCAAGCTCCTCAAATACTGAACAACATCATCTAGCGTCAAGATAGCCAGAACGGGAATGCCATATTGCTTCCTGACCTCACCAATCGCACTTGGTCCTGGCTTTCCATCCTCGTCATTGGGAGTAGGTGTCTTCTCTTGCCTGTCAAAAGCAACGATGATGCCGACAAGCTCTCCACCTTCCCTCTTGATGATATCAATAGCCTCCCTGATTGCAGTACCAGCGGTAATGACATCATCAACGATAACAATCTTCTTTCCCTTCAGACTTGCACCGACAATGTTTCCGCCTTCACCGTGGTCCTTTGCTTCTTTACGGTTGAAGCTGTAGCTCTTCTGTCCGTACTTGGCGAGATCAAGGTCTGCAAGCTTGTCGACTGATGCTGCTGCAAGTGGAATTCCCTTGTACGCTGGTCCGAACAGAATGTCCCACTGGAAAGAAGGGTCTGACTCGCCATGTGCCTTGAGAGTGTGCGCATACGCTGAGGATATGGAGCGTAGCAGGTCGGCTCTGTGAAATAGTCCCGCATTGAAGAAGTAGGGCGATATGCGCTTGGACTTGAGTGTGAAGGTGCCAAACTTGAGCGCGCCGGCTGACACGCAGTCCTTGAGGAAATTCTGTTTGAACTCTGGTAGCGACATGGTTGATTTTTTTTGTTACCGTTGATGCTTTTGGGTTCGGAAGTGGGTGAGGATATTCAGACATTTCTTTCCGAGCTCGGAAGCACGGACCCTTCTGGAAGCGTCGTCACTGATTTGATGTGTTGCTCAGAACTTTCAACTCGCGACATATCACCGCCAACGCCCCAGCACACGCCCCTCCTGCTTGCGCATCCACCACCTGCGTCACCTGCTTGTTTATTTTAGCTCGGCCTGTCTGTTTTAGGTTTTCGGGCGTCTGGGGGAATACCACTTCGGCTGTGGGCAATCAGGCGCAACACTTGGTCATTTCTTTCCGCCATCACCACCTAGTCTCCTCGACATGGGCATGTATGTCTTGTTCCCAATCCGTACACCCGAAAATATAGCCATGCTAATTGGCACTCTAGCTGGGACTCTCTTACCGGACGCAAGTCCAAGGACACGGCATCCGCCTCGCCCCAAAATTCCGACTTTGTGAAGGAAGATACTTTCCAGCCCACACCCTTCGATCCCAACACGGCCATCCAAAATCCTTCAGAATTTCTCCTCGACCCCTCGCAACTACATCCTCTCGCAGGTCTCAACCAAGACACTCTCGACTACCTGTCACTAGAAGATTCCGTCTTATCCGATCTGCCTGGCGCACAATCCGCCTTGCCTTCCCGCGGCTGGTCAGACGACTTATGTTACGGCACAGGTGTATCATACCTCTCTGCGCTGACTATTGGAGGAGCATGGGGGCTTGCTGAAGGACTACAAAAGAACCCGCCCAGCATGGCGCCACGGTTGCGAATCAACGGTGTGCTCAACGCGATAACACGACGAGGACCTTTCTTGGGAAACAGCGCGGGTGTGATTGCCATGGTGTACAACGGCATGAACAGCACTATTGGGTACTACCGGGGCAAGCACGATATGAGCAACAGCGTGGTGGCGGGCGCTTTGAGCGGTGCGCTGTTCAAGAGCACAAGAGGGACAAGGCAGATGGCTATCAGCTCAGGAATCTGCGCCTCTGTAGCAGGAGGATGGGCGGTACGTCGCACCACAATCTGCTCTTTAAAAGTAAAAAGCTGACAGCCTACCAGATAACACGAAAAGTCTTCTTCGAACCTGACCTAAAATCAGTCGATTAAACCCCTAAACCAGAAGCGATTGCTCCAAGCAAATGGATCTCTAACAAAAGGCTGCCTCACCGAGCCTTATTCCAAAAAAAAAAACTGGCATGCAGCCATCTTTTCTCAACTTCTACTACGTTCGACGTTTGTCCAGCATTTACACGAGTGCGATCTTAGCGTATCTTCCTCTACCTCCTCCTCATCACCACTCTGCGGGCTCTGCCCAACTTGTACAATAAGGCTGGCGTTCATCATATGGAAGAAAGACCCGGGTGCTACGAAGGCTTTAGAAAAAGGTTCATGGTGTCGGGTTGTTCAGTTCCTTTCACCCTAGGGTGGACCGGAATGGCTAGGCTGTGTGCTGTGTATTGTGTATGTATGTATGTAAAGATGAAGTGACGGAATGGAATGGAATGAAGATTAAGTAATGATAGATTCGATCAAATACCAAGGGCGAGATATGCATGCAGCATACTTGAGTTCTGCGAAATTGGGGATTTTCTTATCGTTTTGCATGTGAGCATATTTGATAGAAGTCGCGTCCTGCAAGCGGCTTCGTACGCGCTCAGCACAGATTGTGACATACTTGATCTAGTGGGTGTACGTGATTCCAATACGAATACTAGAATTTGTCCTCAGACCAGGATTCCCAGCGTAGCTTGCTCAAATCTAGCAAGGAGACGCCATATTCACTTTTGACGTGGTCTTCGCTGTCTTCGCTTTCTTCTTCGCTATCTTGTTCTTTGTTGTTGTCGTGACTTCTGTCTTATTCACTCCCATTCTCGCTATCCACATGTTCAAAGCTGGAAATGTCTACATCGTCGAAATCTTCACTGTTGTCGTCGTCTTCCTCTAAAGCCAAGGGCTAGGTCTGTTTAGGGTCATTAGTCTGGCTCGTTCTCGTCTCAATAATGGCGGTCAGCATCCTCGATTACAGAGCACTACATGGAAGTAAACTTGTCAGTCAAGGCAGCGTATAGCACGCAAGGCCAACGAGAATCTACCGAATCAAAGAATTAGATAGCCTCCTCTTTCCTATTCGAATCAGGATTCTTGATTGCTTCATTGAGCTCTCTTTCCACCTCTTCCCTGATAGATAATGCTCATCCGTATGAGTCGTACGGGCGGGAGTATTGGTATTGTACGCGCACGCGACGTGCTTCTCATTCGAAATCTTCCAGAAAGGGTCGGAGTGTATCGAGGACTCGTGGTCGAGTATTTAGTCTGATGGTGCCCTGTTCCGCCCCGGTTCCAGGGTTCACAATGAATTTCGCCGAGGGATTTCCCATGCGGATCATCTCCGCTTCTGCGGATCAAATGGTTTCATGGTCGATCCAGCTAGACACAAGCAGATTTCGATGTCGAAGTACTGGCTCAAGAACCAGGGCGTTGGTAAAGGTGGCTTGATGTATTGCGCTTGCGCCACGGACGCAAGCACCGTGTTCAAGGGAGAAACTGAACACCTCTCTGCTGGCACAGATCGGTAGCATAGAAGACTACAACGCTGTTGAGCTTAGCTGGTTTTCTTACTATAAGCTAACGTAGACTGCAATAGAGGACACATTAATTCTATGCCTGTCTAGGGTTTTCCGTGTATGCCTCACAAAGTGCCCAGCCAACACGCACGAGCGCGTCCCTAGCGCGTCCCCGGAACAACTGGACACATGCGCGTCCCTCAATCAAAGTACACCGTCGCTTGTGCGCACCTTCGTATATTTCACCGACACGCGCGATAGTGACTCCTGGCGCTACGGTTACCGGAAGTGATTCGACCTGTAGCTTCTGTTTGATCGGCAATGGGTCTTGCCTTGGCAGATGGGTCACTGCCGTTACATCCCTCATTGGAGAGGTGTCCTGAGCGTCGACATGGCGGTTTCATGAACGACATACTCTCTGGTAGCACCACCACAGCTAACATCTTTTCTTTTTCTATTACATGATATCTCAGTTGGAATACTTCGCAATATCACCTACTCGGCGGTGCTGTTTGCTTCTTTTTTCCGACATCATTTCTTCCATTGTATTCTCCATGGGAGAGTATAGGTCACAGCATTCATCTCACAATGCGTAGGATCAAAGTCCCCCGCGGGACCCCATATCGCCGGCCTATGTCGAAGCAACACAAACGGTCCCTGGTATATGCGCTTCTTTCGGCTGTCGCGTTCGGCGGGTATTACTGGTTGTACGCACAGCCCATCGATGCATTCGCTGTTCCGTTTAGAGAGCACGAAGCATACATGCACGACGGATCAAGTCTCGCCTTCCTCAAATCAGAGCAATCCTATGATTGGCGGGAAGCGCCCTTCGTGAACAAGATCCCATCCTACATACCGCTACCGACGACCGCTCCGCACAAACTCCCTCGAGTCCAGTCCGAGGACTTTCCCGAGACGGGTTCGCAAAGAAAACAGAGAGAGAAACGCAGAGTTGCCGTACGGGACGAATTCAAGCATAGCTGGGACAGCTATAGAGAATTTGCTTGGACACAAGATGAGCTTCGGCCTGTCACAGCGGAGGGTGAAGAGTCGTTTGGCGGCTGGGGTGCCACTCTGGTCGATTCACTAGACACGCTCTGGATCATGGGCCTCAGAGACGAATTTGATGAGGCCGTGGAGGCTGTCGCAGCCATTGACTTCGGTAAGACCAACCTTACCACTGTGAGCGTCTTCGAGACGACCATCAGATACCTCGGTGGGCTGTTGAGTGCATACGACATGAGCGGCAAGCCGATCTTGCTTAAGAAAGCGATACAACTCGGAGAGATGCTGTATCGTGCATTTGACACAACCAACAACACACCTCTTGGTTGGCTGCATGTAGAGAACACCAAGGCGACAGGGAGGTCGGCCTTTACTGCCGAGAGCAACATCTGCTTTGCCTGTCTTGGAAGCTTGACCATGGAGTTTACGCGTCTTGCCCAGGTCACGTCAGAGCCAAAATATTATGATGCAGTCGCGAGGATCACTATCATGATGGACCACGCGCAAGACAATACTAGGCTACCTGGCCTGTGGCCAACTATGGTGAACGCCGCAAAAGAAGAATTCAACCAATCACGCTTTTTTTCGATCGGTGCGCTTGCTGACAGCACGTACGAATACTTCCCCAAGATGCATGCGTTGCTCGGCGGCGTGGAACCTGCATACGAGAAGATGTACCGAGACTCAGCTGAAATGATTGACGCGTACATGCTTTTCCGGCCCATGGTGCCTGACAGCGCTCACGGAGACGACCTACTGCTGTGTGGGGATGTCTTCACCCACGGCGAAGATGCCAGACTAGATCCAACTATGCAGCACCTGACATGCTTCATTGGCGGCATGTTTGGCTTAGCAGGTCGCCTCTTCTCTGATCCTGACCACGTGGATCTCGGTGCGAAGCTCACCAAGGGGTGTGTTTACGCCTACTCCGCCACACCCACGGGTATTATGCCAGAAACATTCGATATCGTGCCCTGCGATTCTCGTAAATCTTGTCCTTGGAACCAAACGGCTTGGGAAGTGGGTGCAATGCATCACTACAGCAGCAAGTATGTTGCTCATTTCAACGACGCAGTAGAAAAGTACAAGATCCCACCTGGCTTCACCAACATCCGTGACAAACGGTACCTGCTCAGACCCGAAGCCATCGAATCTGTCTTCATCATGTATCGTATCACTGGTGACCGTCAATATTTGGACGACGCATGGGACATGTTCACTAGCATTGTTGCCGCAACTCGAACGCCTTACGCGAATGGACAAGTCAGAGACGTTACGTTTGTAGCATCGAAAGCCCCAGGCCGAGGTTACAAGTCTGTCCCAGGTGTAGGTGATGTACCATACACGCACGAAGACAATATTGAGAACAAGATGGAGAGCTTCTGGACAGCGGAAACACTGAAGTATTTTTATCTCATCTTCAGTACACCTGATATGATCAGCTTAGACGACTGGGTGTTCAATACGGAGGCGCATCCCTTTAGGCGGCCAAAGTCGAGATAAGAACAGGCTAAGCATGACGTTGAAGCCAGTAGTTGAGAACGAAGAACGAGATGAGTAAGGTCACATTGCTATTAGTACTGTCATCTTATATGATACCCGGCAAGGACGAATAAATGCGTCACTATCGCTATTGCTTTTTTGGGTAGTATAGCCGAAATATTGCATTGATTGGCGTTGTAGTATAAACTCAGACGGGTTTTTTTATGAAGTTCTGGCACTACCGTGTGAAATAGGTAGCCCGCTTTCGCCTTTTATTGTGGCTCTCTGTACTATTCATTCAGTTCGATCCCTCGGCCGACTCTTCTAGCCAACGTCACGCATCGGAACGAGCCTATGCGTCTGAAATATAACCACCGGCAATCGACATCATCATACGCTTACTACGATGCGCATCCTCGCCTTCATCTTCCTCGCAATCTGCCAGTCTTTTGATCTGCTTGCCCTTCTCGTCCGCGATGAAAGTCGTCACTACTGGCTTATCCTCCACAACACTCCGTGGTGTCGTCCCAATGACCGTCTCAAAGACGACCTGGAAAGACGCCGGCTTGACAAAACGCGAGTCTACAAGCCGATCCCACTCCCGCGCTACGCACTTGAACTTATAATTGGTGCTCAACCGTGTGCTAACATGTATCTGCATCCTCGAAACGGCCAGTAAGATCGGATTCTGGTACGAAGACATCTGCGGATGGTCCTTCAGCATGCCTTTTATAGCACTCCAAGCTTCGTGGTAGATGCGAGTCCGAGTATCCGTATACTTTCCCTCAAGCCCGAGGTGCCACTCGCTATCTCTCCAGATGGGCCAGTAGTCTCGCACTGCACCTGGATTTCCATTACGCAAGCGCTCAAGAAAACCGGACACTGGATATGCATCGCGCTCCGTATGCACACCAGTTGGAGGTAGGATGCGGGTGGGGGTGTCTAGAGAAACGCCATGAACGAGTGTGAGCCCGGAGTCTTTCCACGCTCGGTCGAACGCCGGTTTTACGATTTCGTCGTGCCAGATCTTGAGGAACTGCTTGTCGAGGTAAGGAACCATGGAAGCGTTTGGAAAGATGAGGAAGAGATGGGGGTTCATGCCAATATCTTCTGACATGTTGTCTTCTTCTGAGGTGGGTGTGTATGTGGTTCCAAAAAGCAGCGCACGCTGGACATTTCTTTGCGTCACATTGTGACCATGTGAAGCCAGATATTGGGCAATGCGATACGCGTCAGCCTCGCCTATCGGGTTCACGGACCTGCGATTCAGGTTATTTGAAATCCAAGGGGTTTGCTCCCATGTCAAACGCTTTGCAAATGCGAGTGATGTTGGGATGCAGAAAGAGAGCTCGCTGTGACACTGTTCTGCTTTGGCGATGACCGAGAGGGTGGCTAGGCCGTTGATGTCGCGCTCGTGCGTGATGGACATAGTGATGTTGAGTAGGAGCAGGAGAAAGAAGACAACGAGAGGGATCTGGAATTATATGTGCGAAGAGGGGTTCGTAACTTGGTTGGGCTATAGTCAGTGATTAGATTATTGTGGGCGTGTATGTCTCATGGGTAAAGACAGTGAAAACTCAGGGAGATATCACTATTGACAACGCACGCATTGAGACATTGGAGAAACTAAATGAAAGCTTTGAGACTGTTTCGCCCAAGCATAGTAGTAGATAGACTCGAGCAGTTTGCCCACGATACTTAGCTCATTACAATGCTTTACTGATCAACAAAGATGGAGTCAAGCTGATACATTTCTGTAGCACTGTCACAAGAGTACCTGGGTCGTCAAATTATCCCAAAAGAACTCCAGTCTGAATCCCCGACCCAGGTTAACGAGACTTCAAACATAGCAAAGCCAAAAAAGGCGTGTTTGTGGACTTGTTGAATTGTACGCCACCCGGTGTCATGCATCATCGACATGGTGAATGTGAGGTGACAGGTCTGATGAGGAAGACCACGAATGCCTCTAGTCATATAACTGTAGCCGAAACCGTCTGCTCTTGTAAAGTGGAAATGTACTCTACAACACAGACTTCCACTTATACACGATAAGAGATCAATCTCCATAGAAGACAAGCTCACAAAACCTCTCAGGATATTATCAAGATTGGTGTTTGTAGTGCTCTCTTTCCCACATTTCCTGTAGCTTTTGTCATGGCATTAAAAGTATGGACCCGTTCCTTGCAGATGTTTTGGTGCATGCAGCTGGGTTCTCAGTGTAGAATATATGCCACTGCATCAAAAAATCAGTTTTGATTCTGTCTTCTAGCCACCCAACGTTTAAAAGGAGTGCCTCTCACTCGACATGAGTCATGCTGTCAGACGCCAAGCTGTCAGCATAACGTCAGCACAGATTTTAGAACGGAGTATAAGCCCACCTAAACCCTCGCGCAAGTACACTTCGTCTCTCCTACACTCACTGGAAAACCCTAACCTTTACGTTGACATTGTCAACACATGTGTGCTGTGTCGTTGGGGAAGCACAATGACAGGACCTCGGAAGACCGGCAGCCTATCTCTCCCCACCAAGGTGCCACTGCGGCCTTAACCACGGTGCTCGACGAAATGAGCTACGACTCCGCTGCTCGCAAAAACGCCGCCCACTTGCGTATGCCTCAACTCACGAAGGGGTCCATCTTGTTGTAGACAAGCTTGACCAAGACGGCGCCACCAACTTGGCAACGCTTATCGTCGCGCGCTCAAGAACATCGCTATACACCCGGTGCCCCAATCGCACGGGATGGAGAACTCCCGTAATAATATCGCCGAAAGACTCTCATAGAGTGCAGTACGGTTCGGCGACACCAAGTCTGGCCGCGATTGGCTTGCCGCGCGGTCATAGCACGGCAAACCCTTCACCCGGATACATTCGAAATCGGGTCTGCGAATGATGCCATCTAGCTTGATCGCACCAGCATTCGCTTCTCATAGATCGCCACCATGCTGTGCTCACAGTTGACTATAGATTATTCCTTTCTGAGAGCCATCTCCGATACGGGACAGTACAGCCCTTGTTCTACTCGTTGCCTCTCGCCCACGGCATGATTGTAGACTCCAATCTTGATATGCCGGGTGTTCTAGATCCTAGTTGATGCGAGAAGAGCAGGTGATAAGGTCTATAGGTCGCACAATCAGTTGGACTCTCGCCCCACCAACGTCGTGCCGCATGGCCCATGGATACTGTCTCGATTCCGGCCGCTTTCTCGTATAGCACACCTGCCTTTTTAAACCTAGGAACTGCTTCCATACGGCTTTTTGGAACAGGGGCCTTATCGGGCGTGCTATTGCGCGCGACCTAGCTGCGATCACACATGGTTGGACCACGATAACGTGTTTGCACTAGAAACATCAAATGTATATTTTAGAAACGCCGCTCAGTCCTCGAAGTGAGAATCAAACAATCTACCACGCGCAAATATGGCTGCAAATCCTCTTGGTGATGTGTTGATTCTCGGCCAGCCCGATGCGGTTGGGGGCACCGCGATCAGTCCTCCCAGCCACGAAGCGATCAACGCCTTCAGCGACGAGAAGCATCGCATTGCTGTCGATGATGGAGAAATCGAGAAGAAGGTTGCTCTGGAGCCCGAGATCAAGGCAGTCCTTCCCGAATACGATGCGTCCGAAAAAGACAAGGACGACAATGGTGAAGACCATATCATTGTTACTGGCGCTGACGCAGCTGCTCACCTACTGCCCCTAAGAGACGACTTCGTACCTGCGGTGACCTTTCGAAGTATCTTCTTAGCCTCTATTCTGTCCGCGTTCCAAGCCGTTGTATTTCAGATCTACCAGGTGCGTCTACAGTTCTGTTACATGGATCGCAGAGGCTAACATGTACTCTAGTTCAAGCCCACCCTGATCACCATCCAAGGAACCTTCATCGTCCTTATGGCCTATTTTCTCGGTAGAGGATGGGTCAAGCTGCTACCACGTGGAGATAAATTCGAGGCTCGGTGGAGAGAAAAGGGCGGAGTTGGCAAGACACCCCTATGGATCACAATAATGTCGTTCTTCAACTACGGAGAGTGGAATCTGAAGGAGCATGCCATCACGTCAATCACTGCAACCTCTGCGTCGATCGCAGCTCCTAGCAGTCAGGTCTTCGCGGCATCCGACCTCTTCTACGATATGCCTCTGAGTCCCATCACTGTGATCTTCAGCACCATCTCTATTGGACTCTTCGGCTACGGTATCTGTGGTATAATGCGTCCTATCTGCATTTGGCACGTTGATTCGGTTTACTGGAGTAGTCTTCCCACGGTGAAGGTGCTCCAGGGTCTCCATTGGCAGACTGTCAAGGACTCCAAGCCACTCCGGTGGTTCTGGATCGCATTCTCTGGCATGTTTGTATACGAGTTCTTCCCTGCTTACATATTCCCATGGCTGAACTCTGTATCGATCCCTTGTCTGGCTGCTATGCATGCGACTGGGTCCAAGGCAGCTATTCTAACCAACCTCTTCGGCGGAGCTACCAATAATGAGGGTCTGGGCTGGTTCAGCATCTCGTTCGATTGGCAATACGTGAGCAATCCCTCTTCACAATTTGTACTTTACAAATTCTGACCCTCCTCTAGATCACCTCCTTCCAATCATCACTCCCGCTCAAATTCCAGCTGCATCAGACAGCCGGATTCATAGTCTGCTTCTTCGTTATGCTTGGCATCTACTACGGTAATGCCTGGGGTTCAAGGAGTCTTCCTTTCATGTCGACACGTCTCTTGACCCAGGATGGCAAACAGTATCCAAGCGAAAGCGTCTTCATCGACGGCATTCTCGATGAGAAAGCATTGCTACAATACGGTCTACCGAGAATCACGGGTACCTTTGCCTATGCCATGTTCATGGCTAATGCTGCAGTGAGTTTTCTACCTCCAAACACACACCATTGGGTGCTGATATCCCTTAGATTGGCGCATTGGTCGCTCATACTGTTCTCTTTTGGGGTGGCGATACAGTCAAAGCGTTCAAGGATGCTAAGAAAGGAAAGTTTGATGATCCCCACCACGCGCACATGGCCAAGCATTACAAGGATGCGCCGCAATGGTGGTATCTTGTTGTACTTCTTGTTAGCTTCGTGCTGGGTCTTGTCGTTGTGATCAAAGAGAACGTTACCCTCCCAGTTTGGGCTTATGTCATTGCACTGGCAATGGGGACAATCATTTCGCCATTCGTAAGTTTATACCTGAAGAATATTGATCTATGATGTTGGCTGACCAGAGATCAGAGTACCTTGCTCTATGCTCGCTTTGGTAACGGTATTGCAACCAACAACTTGTCCAAAGTCATTGCTGGACTGATCCTGCCCGGACGCCCGATTGGAAACATGTACTTCGCCGCGTGGTCGCACAATGTCATCAATAGTGCTGTCCAGCTCAGTATGGATCTGAAATTGGGCGAATACCTCAAGATACCTCCTCGCGTCATGTTCATGACCCAAATCTACGGCACTGTTTTGGGTGGATTCATCAACTACGCCGTCATGATCTCAATCGTCACAGGCAACAAACACCTCCTAGCTGACACCGACGGTAACGCATCGTGGAGCGGCGCAACCATCCAGTCGTACAACACCAACGCCTCGACCTGGGCGCTCGCCGCCTACCTATACAAGCAAGGAAAGACTTACTCCATTGTGCCCCTGGGTCTTCTCATTGGCGCCGCTATCGTCCTGGCGCACCGTATCTTAGTCCGATTCGTCCCGCACATCGGTAAATTTTCCCTGCGCGAGATCAACTTTCCTCAGTTCATTCAATTCGCCGGTTACATTCCGTACAACCAAAGCCAGACGTGCGTGATTCTTAGCTGGACAATTGTCGGCTTCTTCACCCAATTCTACCTTCGCAACTACCGCCCGCGCATCTTCAGGGACTACTCCTACCTGATCGCAGGTGCCTTCGATGGCGCAAGTCTGACTTGCTTGTTCATTCTGTCATTTGCTGTCTTTGGTGCTGGAGGGCCTGCGATTCCGTTCCCGCAATGGTGGGGTAACAACAGCGCTGGAAACTATGATTTGTGTCCTGTAGCGGAATAAAAGGCGAAATTGTTTTGGCTGCACACCCTAATCGAGAGTCAGAGCCAGAAGTTTACAGTCTACTGTTGCTTTAAATGCAATATAAAGTATGCCCTACATCACTGTTTCTTCTGAAGTTCTGCATTATTCTTTTACTCGTGATATATTCTTGAGCAATATATGGTTCGCAAGCTATGTCATGATGTCTTCAAGTATTTACATCAACTCAAGTGCCGTCACGGTTCTGTACCTAGTAATTCTCTCATCTACCATGGTACAGACGCGCCATCGTATCGATAAAATTTCCCACTGTCCGACTCCTTGAGCCCAGCCACCACGTCCAGCATACTCTCCACGCTAACCTTAGCCTCGATCATCGCACCCTTTCCACCCATTCTCGTCTTCACCCAACCAGGATCCATGCAAATGACCTTGACCCCGTTCGCCTTCAAATCTTTCGCTTGGTGCAATGCCAACATATTCAATGCCGCCTTACTCATACTGTAAGTACAACATTTCGTTACGTCTGTCGCAACCGTCAAGCTACCTAATCCCGAGCTCATGTTCAGCACTGTCGCGCCTCTCGCGAGGTATTTCCTGAGGCTCTCGACGATTTTGGCGGGGCCCAGGACATTGGTCTGCATGTGCTCGTTTAGACTCTTTGAATCGAGAGTCAAGCTTGTATCGGTGCTCGTTGCGTTGATCCCAGCGATATTAAAGAGGAAATTCAGGCTAGCACCGGTTTTGGTAAGGATCTCTGCGACGCGAAACTCGATACTGGAGAGAGAATCGAGGGAGCTGACATCGCATTCAATGATATGGATGTTTGAGTTGTTGTTCAGGCTTTCTAGTTCGGAGATGTCGCCTGATTTGGAGCGGACGCCTGCGATAATGGTGTTTGATGGTTTCGCGGCGAGTTGGCGCACGAATTCGAGGCCAATGCCCCGGTTGGCCCCCGTCAGGAAGTAAGTTGCCATTTTGGGTGGTCTTCTTGAACGGGATCGTACGGGTAGGTGACCTTTGCTGTTGGCCGAATGCGACTTTGAAGTTACGATGATTATTTGATGTGAGATTGGGGATGAGTTTCTTAGGGGCAGGGACTCTGGAGTGGATTTTCGGGGTATTGGTTGGAGGTGAGGACGAGAGAAGTTTTGCGACTGCGAGGAGTGACTTGATGAAGTACTTCGCCTCCGCGGACGGGACGATGTGGTGGTGGTGTGCCGTGTGTCCTGCATGCGGTCTATTTCCACCGGGTAAATCATAATGGGTGACGTCGTAGTGGATTAAAGCGTAATTGAAAGTAGGTGTCGTTGAGAAGTCGTAAGTATTAGTACACAAAGTACTATACATGTTCGTCAGTTCAGTTGACTATATGTATACGCACGCACCATATGTTCGCCTGAAAAGCGCTGGGCGAGAGACCCGCAATCCCGTTACGAAGTGTCAGACCTGTCAACTCTGTTACATGGGGTTTCATGCAGTACTCGGCGACAACCAGAACAAGGCTGCGATATTATGCCCTCCGTGGCACGCTCGTCTCATGTTTTCCGATTTCTGTTACTCGTACAGATTGTTGTTCTGAATGGAGCCTGCAGGATAGAGACGACGGATTGCGCTTGCCGCTTCAGACGAACCCGATGCGAATCAATGGACACAACCATTTCCTGCATCGTAGCGACAGTTCCCCTAAAACGCAGATCGAGAATGGATCGTGAATTACAAGGTTGCGATTTCGCATAATTACTAATTCCTGCATGAATCTGAGAACTATTATTCTTACCACTTCATGATAAAAGCGAAAGAAAAGCTTCGCCCACACAGAGGTTACGAAGAACTTCTCCACCGCGAGTATCTGGTCCGCATAGCGCGGCCTCGATCTGGTATTCAATCCGCGATTGGTCTTTCGACCATCAGCATGACACATTCGTCTCCTAAAACTTCCTATGATTCGAGTGCTCCTCTTCGAAATGGTATCTACTCCATGTGATCCACCTTGCGCTTCTCGCTGGCGCCCTTTACTACGCTCGAAAGATCGACAACTGCATCACATTAGTACGAGTAAATGGCTAATTGGGGTACGGCAGGCTTACGAGGAAGATCCAAAGGGAAGTCGACACTAGCCAGCATAATGGCTAAGAAGATGTACCAACCACAGAGGCAGGTAACGAAGCAGAATGCACCAGCAGCCTCAGCAAGCTTGGCAGCAAGAGCTGCTCGACCGTTTGCAGCCTGGAGATAGCTGCCCGCCAGAAGGCCGAAAGCGGGCACAAGAGTGAAGAAGATAAGGAAGAAGATCAAGTTCGTGCGGATGGAGCAGATGAGGTAGACTAGGCATAGAAGGCCCATCATGATGAGGAAATATGCTGTGAAATTGGTCAGAATCGAATTTCTGCATCTCTTCTCGGGTGACTTACCAAGGCCGACGTTGAAGCCAACAGATTCTAGACCTGTGCTGCCTGCGACGTTCGCATTGGCGTACGCGCCATATGAGTTGTAGAAGGGTTGGAGTGTGGCAGCGAAACCAAGCCAGAAGGCACCGAAGGAACAGAAGACAACGAAGGGGAAGGTGTTGCCAAGAATCCACTGTATCAGTTGTCAGAGAGAGTCTTCAAAGGCTTTGAGAGCAACGTACTTCACCAACACCACCGAGAATCATGAGCAGACCACCCGCAAAGTAGTACCATCCGGTGCTTGCCGCTCCACTTCCACCAGCACCACGCCATCCCATGAGGGTCATGCTCAAAGGATGCAAGGACAACAGGAAGCCGATGAGAGCACTAGCCAAAGTAAGCATTCGAAGTTCCAGGTGTATATGCAGGAGGAACATACAGAGGCGTCGGGTTACCGAATGTCTTCCGCAGATCTCCTTTTACTTTGTTTGGTGGTGACAGATATAGTTTCTCAAATAGCTCTGGAGAGATCGAGATACTACCCGCTGTCCGGATCTGATGCAATGCAGTACCAGAATCGACCGAGGCGTCGAGGTGCGTTTGTCCGCCATATCCATTGCCGTAAGCTAGAGAAGGTCAGTAAAAGATGAATGTGTGTACCGCAAGAGAGTCTTACGTTCTTGCCGAGAGAAGTCTTTCTCCAAAGCGTTGGGCCCGTCCATCATTCTAGTCGTTGACTCGTTTCTCGCAGTTGATCCAGCTGATAGAGTCTCTGCGTCTCTAGCTGTAGTCGCGCCGAGGTGGGCGTCGTTCGTTGCGTACTTGTGATCGTGATTGGAAGTCATACACGCGACGTGGTTGTCAAAGAGACCGCTTCCGTTGGAGTTGTTATTAGAATTAGAGGTATCGTAATGATGATGACCGGTCGAGGACGTGGTAGTAGATGTTGAAGTCTCGTAACGTGACATAGAAGGCTAGGGAACCGGAGAGTAGGGTTGATATAGGGAGCACACAATGGTCATTAAGAGTGTAGGTAACAATAGTGCTCCGCAAACCTTGAGGCACGGATTCCAATTCCAAAAAAGCGTAGCTGCGGACGAAAGCAAGGGATCATCACTGACTGTGTGGCAGGTGCAGCCAGGCCACCCTGGTAGAACAAGAGTTTGAGGGCCAACCGCTGCGGTTCCGCGTTGGATTTGATGCACGTAGTCGAATTGGCGGGAGGGCAGATCTGCCCAGGCTAGAGCTTGGAGAGCGTCCAGGTCTTGATTCGCCGAAGTCATGAGGAGTGCCTCCTTAGCTGCGGACGTGGCTTCCCTGCCGACGCATCCCCTAGCAACAGCAGTGGCGTCTCGTGCAGTTACTTTGTACGCCCTGGACACTCCACCACCGATACCGTCTGAGCATCTCATAAGGCTGATGACGAACCTGTGTATGAACGGGTGGAGGAGGTCAGATTCATATCAATGACGCTACGGGAAACATCATGTTTCTTTGTGAAACTCTTCACATACTCTTAGTTTCGCCGCATTGACAAGACCTCGCCGACCCCAATACCCAAAACAGTCGCAATGGAAATGGTACGCATTCAAAGCCACAACGTGATCATGACCCGATGCAGCAACAACCAGTAAGGGATCAGCAACCCCAGGATGTAAGATCGGTTCTGCGGAGTCGAGTGGAGATGAAGCACGCGAATGCTGGGGACGCGTGCGGAGCCTAGACTTTGGAGCTAACTGATCGTCGGGCCGTCACTAATGGGGTTGGCTTTGCGGGGAAAACGTGCTAAGAACACTAGATCCGGATGAGTGGTGCAGGCGTTATTTCCAAACGTCATGTCGCGCACGGCATCTCAAAGATATGCATGGGATTTCGTTTTGCGGTCTCATGGATGGTAATCGAGATAACGACAAGGTTGCACCAACGTCATTGGAGTATGCTGGCGTGTAATATTGCAATCATGGAGGTTGCAGATTTGTACAACGGGGACAATCTAACCGACTAACTCGAGTCGGTGCAGAACGTAGATAGTCCGGCCTTGTGCGGCAAAGCTGTCGTGTGTTGGTCGTATGTTCAACTTATGATCGATGAGCCACTCCCGTAGCGCCGAAATGCAAGAAAAGGCCCATAGACCTCAGCCCCCGCGTTTCATTACCGAGGTGCGCATGATAGCATAATAATCTAGTGTGACTCGCGTCCAGGTGTAGGGTATTTGGCGAGTAGCTTGCGCTCATCCGACAACGTATCGGGAGGAGTCCAATGGTAGCGACGGAGACATTCCGCGTATAATGATGTCTAACCCAATTCAGTTGACCATGGTAAAGCCTCGGGAATTAGGTACCATTCGTAAAAGCCGGGTTCCTGATGGAAGCAAGTAGGAGTTGCCATCTGATACAAGATATTCGGCTTGTAATGTTGGGTGCTGCTGGGTCCATTCAGGTTCGTAAAGAAAGTCCGGTTGACCCGAAGTCGCACAGTCTTTTTGACATATCGTTCCGATTAACGCACTGTTGCGACTTCGTAGGCAGCAATAGGCAAGTTTGCCAGCTGTCCAAAACGCAGACCGCATCTTCCGTGGTCCCGAACCGTCAACATCCCAGTAGGACCACAACCCAGCATACTAGCGGCATATGCCGCACCCCTCTCTAGCATTCGGGCTTTGTGGAAGATGGCATCGCAGGAGGTAGCGTCCACTCTGATGAAGAATTGTGTCCACTAAACTCACATCTTCTCGCAATTGCTCCACAAAATGTTCTCCTGCTGCGTACAAACTATCAGAAATCGACGGATATAACGCGACGCTCCAATCAAAAGCCATGTCACGTTGGTCTAGGAGGTAGAAAAGGCACAAGATTTCAATAGCGTGGTGCATAAGGAGTTGAGGGTTTCATGCCGGCAGTGCTCGGAGGTTTTCGGTGCTTTCCAGTGTTGAGATGCCGAAAGCTGATGGACAAGCGACAGGCGATCCGGATCGTCGGTGTCTCCGGATGTTCGATCGCTCAAGACTCTCTCTTCTGTCTTTGGCATCTCCTGATCTTCGCGAATACCATAGCTCAGCATGGGCATAGAAATCGCCGCCACTGCCTAGTGCTGGATACTGAGTTTGAGGTAGTTCATCAGGATCAAGGGAGGTACAGATGGTAGCGTTGAGTGGAGTGTGTACAACGATGATCAGATGAAGTTTGTAATGGCGGAGGGCATGCGTTCCACACCAGTTAAGCACGATGCAACCTCGACAGGAGAGCTGACGATTGGAGAAGTATTGAACGTGCTCTCACAGTAGACGGGAAGGAGTACTTTGGTAGCAAATACCAATGATAGTACCTGCGGACATCGTGCTCTTCATATAGCATGTACACATGACAAAGCCAGTGGTGATGCCGAGGAGATAAGTAATCTCTTCCGGCCGTAACCTTCAGTCTGTCACCCCGTCCCGAATGTGATTCTTCTCCATGCACAGAAAGAAGCTGGGAGCTTCAGCACGGTATGTGATGATGCCCCGAGGCCTTCAAGCCCCGCCCACCTCTTGAATGACCTTGTTCAAATTCTTGATATCATGCGCAAACCGACCCAAGAACAAGCCGTCAACGCCTTCGGAAATCTTGGCAAAGGTGCCGGGCCCAGCGCTCCCTCCGTAGACAATCCTCGTGGTCCCGGTCCTACCAGCAGCCATGTTCCTAAGCTCTTTTGTCACATTCACAACATGGTCGGGGTCAGCGGGCTCCTTTGCGCCAATGGCCCACACGGGCTCGTAAGCCAGTATCACCTCGGTGTCGTCCGGCACTGCAGCCAGCACTGACATGACCTGGGGTTTACATTCTTGTATAGCTGCACCCACAGCTGCCGATGCGACGCTGTGGTGTGTCTTCTCGCCAATGCACACCAGCGGTATCAGGCCGTTTCTTGCTGCTGCACCAGCCTTGTTCGCGACCGTCTCGTCCGTCTCACCGAATGCGGCTCTGCGCTCAGCATGGCCAATCTCTACTATCCTTGCTCCTGCCTGGCGTAGCACCAGCGGGCTGACCTCGCCTGTGTATGCGCCCTTGTCTTCCCAAAAGGTATCTTGCGCACCCAGGATGATGGACGAGGGCTCGAGGATGCGGGCAGACTCGGTGAGGGAGACGAAGTCGGGAATGACGAAGAGATCTATGCGCGCGTTCCAGGCGTCTCCGTCGAGTTGCAAGACGCCGCGAATGTAGGAGAGCGTGCTGGGCAGGTCGAAGTACATCTTCAGCGAGACGCCGACGAGGCGGCGGGGTCGAGCGATGGGCGGCATAGCGGCGGCGGCGGCGGCGGCTGTTAGTGTATGTGTGTACAGAGAGAAAGTGGAAGCTGCGCAGCAGTCACTCTACAAGTACTGTGTACCAGAAACAAGACGTCTTGGAGCTGCGCGACTACGATGATCCGGGGTTACCGTAAAGGGTAAACCCGGGGAAGGGAAAGCAAGCCCGTCATCGGTGGAGGGGACAGGTGTGGGACGGACACGTTTGTGGGGCTTCCATGCCACATCCCATCACCACATGCAATGCCACATTATATTATGCACGATTCGCGACTTACGACTTGCTGCAGTGCTCTCGCTGTCCTCTGTGAATAATGCGTATCTACCACATGTCACGCATAGCCACGCCTTCTCCAATTGGTGTCACCTGCAGCGTAGTCATGGCTTGTCGCCGAAAATGCGCCTTGCTTGGCGAGGCTCCGATCGTTCCTCCGTACTGCGCTAACCTCTTTACTGTCGACCTTCCGCTAAGGAAAACTGCACATCAACGCATCACTAACCCTACCGCTCACTGACCGGCAGCAAGAGAGAACAGTGGTACATGTCGCGGACACTCGCAGATCGCTGGGCTCGCAAAAGATACTTTGGATAGCTCGTGGGGGGTCAACACCGCAGTACGCAGCATCCTTGCATGTCCCGCCCTGAGCTCACCGCGGGGTGCATATTCCTCATATTGTCCTCTCACTAACGTTGCGAAGAATTGACGCAGATTCTCTTTCCTCTCTTCTCTTCCTTTATCTAGTCTCATCCTTCTCCGCCATGCACATCTCCCAAAAACTCGCCCAGGCGAAGGAGGAGGGCAAGCCGACCTTCTCCTTCGAATTCTTTCCCCCCAAGACAGCGCAGGTAACGCTACCCTCATAACCCCCGGCACGAGGAGCAAGACGCTGACATCATCTAGGGAGTTCAAAACCTCTACGACCGCATGGACCGCATGCATGGCTTCGGTCCGCAATTCATCGATCTTACCTGGGGCGCTGGTGGCCGCCACTCCAAATTGACCTGCGAGATGGTCAAGGTCGCACAATCCGTCTACGGCCTCGAGACCTGCATGCATCTTACATGTACCGATATGGAAAAGTCCAAGCTCGACGACGCCCTCCGAGACGCATACAATGCTGGCTGCACCAACATCCTCGCCTTGAGGGGAGACCCGCCACGTGAGCGAGAAAAGTGGGAGGCAACAGCAGGTGGCTTCCGCTATGCAAAGGATCTCGTCGTCTACATCAAGGAGAAGTACGGAAACCATTTCGACATCGGTGTGGCGGGATACTCCGAAGGCAGCGACGACAATGACGATGTCGACGAGCTCATCGACCATCTCAAGGAGAAGGTTGATGCCGGAGGAACATTCATTGTTACACAAATGTTCTATGATACTGACCTTTTCCTGGACTGGGTCAACAAGGTTCGTGCCAAGGGCATCGACGTTCCCATCATTCCTGGTATCATGCCCATCCACACCCATGCCGCGTTCCTACGGAGGGCCCAATGGACGAGATGCAATATCCCAAAGCACTGGACTGAGGCCCTGGAGCCTGTCAAGAACGATGACGTCGAAGTGCGTGAAGTCGGCAAACATCTAGTCGCCGAAATGTGTCGGAAGCTGATCGACGCTGGTATCACACACCTGCACTTGTAAGTCGTCTCCCCGTTACGCGAGGATAATCTTTCTCATATCCATATAGCTACACTATGAATCTCGCGCAAGCCACCCGCATGGTCCTTGAAGAGCTAGACCTCCTACCCGACCCCGAGTCACCACTAGAGAAGCCTCTTCCATGGCGGCCTTCGCTGGCGCTCAACCGACGAGACGAGAACGTACGACCAATCTTCTGGCGCAACCGCAATCGATCCTACATTGCTCGCACACAAGACTGGGACGAGTTCCCCAACGGTCGCTGGGGAGATTCGCGTTCACCCGCCTTTGGCGAGTTGGATTCTTACGGCATCGGTCTGAAGGGCACCAACGAGCAGAACATCAAGTTATGGGGCACACCAATGTCGATCAGAGATTTATCCGAACTCTTCGTACGCTATATGGAAGGAAAGCTCGAATCTTTGCCGTGGAGCGAACAGCCCATTACGACCGAAGCTGGGTCTATTCAGGATGATCTGATCAATCTGAACCGCCGTGGATTCCTGACCATCAATTCCCAACCTGCTGTTAATGGAGCCAAGTCTTCAGACCCGGTATTTGGTTGGGGCCCGCGTAATGGTTATGTCTACCAAAAGGCTTACCTGGAGGTCTTCGTCTCTCCGGAACACATCTCTGAGATCATCACGCGTCTCGAACGCGATCCTGAATTCACCTACTATGCTGTGAACAAGGATGGCGACTTGAAGACGAACGCTCCCAACGAAGGACCGAACGCTGTTACATGGGGTGTCTTCCCAGGCAAGGAGATCGTACAACCAACCATTGTTGAAACAGTGAGCTTCCTCGCCTGGAAGGACGAGTTTTACCGCCTTGGACAACAATGGGCAAACTGCCATGCAGGTGTCAGTCCATCGCGTTACGTGATCCAGGACGTCGTAGACACCTGGTACCTCCTGAATATCGGCAAGTACATTCGATTATACTTACACTTCTCTTACTAATGCTTTGTTTGCAGTACACAACGACTTCCACGCAACCCGTGGCATCTTCCCCATCTTCGATGGTTTAGAGGTCAAGGACATGGATAAACCGTTGGTCAATCCCAGCGTTGATGTTCCTAGCGCAAACGGAGAAGAAGCGACAAAGGTAGTCAACGGCGGTAGCCACACCAACGGCACGAACGGCGAGCAAGCTGAACCTCATAAGGAAGAAAACCCAAGCCTAATCGATGCTGCTAAAGCAGCCGCTGTCGAGGTCACCAACGGCATGAGAAGCCTGGCAATGTCCAACTAGGCTTCCGTGACGCCAGGTCTTACTGCATTCAACACCCCAAGACCAATTTGAGATGAGTCTTCTTCAGAGAAATCTCCGCTCCTAGTCTGGTGTTCAACAAGTTACGCGACAGAGCTCCTGCTTTCAGCAGACCTCTTTCATTTCAACAAGCGTGAATCTTTAGTTCTTTGATCTTTGGCGTATATCGGTTATGGTTGGCTTTGAAAGGAAAAGGTTACGATTTGCACTGCAATCATGCACAAGCATCTGGGAGGCGTCTATTCAACCCGACGACCGTCACGAAAGATATGGTGCGGGAACCTAAAAAGTTCAATAGCATAGTGTAGGATATGGCTTTCTAAGATACCCGGTCACTGCCCTCAACGGCGGTGATCAATTTTTTTCACTACGATCTTTATCTATAACTTTGAGTAGATGTCTTCAAAATAGAATAGGGCATACTATCTTCGAGTCTTGAGAGCTTCACTGCATGTGCAAAGGTTATGAGACAAGCATATGGCGTACATTGTTGTTTCTCTATGTTTTAAGATCAAGTGTGAGTATGTAAAGTATGTGGAAAGAATTAAAATGTCGCGCCATCAAGACGTCTTAGTCGTACACACTGTTCCATCATTTCTTCACCACGTTGCCTTTTCTGGGGTAGACGTGATGAAAGCAATGACTCTAAGAGCTCATCTCACTCTTGCCGCCACCGAACAGGCTGCTGAGCCAATCGAAGAAGCCTCCTGGGGCGTCATCGCCAGGTCCTTGCTCGCCGTTGTCCGAGCCAGGCAGCTCAGGCATACCCGTAGGCTGGGGACCGCGAGTCAGAGTCTGCATTGTAGTGGGCAGACCAGGCATGCCGGTACCAGGCAAGGGGAACGGAGAGCCACCGGTGGGCATGGGGAAAGGAAGGTCGGTTGGGAAAGGAATGTCTGATGGAGAAGGACCATCACTAGGTGGCTTAGGAAAGCCACCGGTTGGGAAAGGCATATCAGGTCCACCCGTTGGAAATGGGAATGGAGCGTCAGGCTGGCCTGTGGGAAGGCCTGTGGGAAGGCCTGTGGGAAGGCCAGGGAAGCCTCCCTCCGTTTCTGTAGGCAGAGCGGGAGTACCGTCTGTGGGCTCCGCTAACGAGAAGCTGGGTAGCGCGCTGCCGGCTCCGGGGCCCTGTCTTGGGGCGAGCTGGTAGTCGATAGCCAAGTTGCGGACGCGGTGACGGACAGGTGGCATACCGTCGATGGGAAACGCTCCTGTTGCTGTAGGGAAAGGAATGCCAGATGCTGTGCCGGTTCCGATTGGGGCGAAACCGGGCATCAGCTCTGGAGGAGGAGCATGACGGGACTCCTTGGTGCCAAAGATGGCGTCGAGGTAGTCGCTGAATGGGTAAGCGGCTGTGGTGCTCGCAAGAGCGGCGAGGATGACGGCGTTTCTCATCTTGATGGTGATGTCTTTGATACGAGATGTAGAAGAAGTGTTTGAGACAGAGCGAGACAGGCAATGTTGATAGCAAAGATGGTGGCACAGCCAAAAGAATGTATGTATACCGCTAGGATATCTAGAGAATGACGACAAGAGCGGAGAAAGGCCTGCTCGAAGAGAGTGTATGAGACAACTGTCTGTGAAGAACTGGTTGATGGCCGTACAACATGAGGCCAAATCCAAGGTATATATCCTCGTCCGGAGATTTCCAGTCATGATCAACAACTCGTTCATCTAAAACCTGGTTCCTGCAAGCCCCAGAAAGCCCAGTCGTTTGACATTGCTGGAGAAGAACGCCCGTGCGACCTGCTAGTTACAGATAAGGTCGATCAAGCCTTTGCGAAGACGCGCCGAAGGGTTAGAGTAATCTCTGCGGGTTAGCGACAGGTCCCATCTGGCAAGCATGATTCGGAGAGTATAGTACGGAATTCATGCCGATCACTTCTGTAGTTTCGTTTGCGGTCCAATAAAATTATTGTGCGAGCCATAGGCGCGTTGTGAACAGATGAATAGCACTGGCCAAGCCGGCAATCAGCATAAAAGCAAGGCTGCGATAGATTGCATAGAGAGACCAACATGTTTCGAGAGAAAGGTCGAGATGCTGGTGCCAGGCACGGAAGGGTCGATCGCGTATAATGGTACTTGTGGGTCCGTTTCATGCGTACGCGTAACTCGCCGCCAAGAACTAAACATCGCCAGCTGATTGGTGCAAACACCTCCCGACCATGTATGCTCTGTAACAGTCACATCGTTTACTTGAGCATCGGGAGACCTGCCTGGTGTTTGGCATGTGGTAAAGGCGTGATGTGTGACGTATGCTCAGCGGAACGCAAAGATTGGCATCCAAAGTACGTCAGGCATCCTCAGGCATCCTCAGGCATCCATGGCCTCAGTTCATATCCACCCGATCCTCCTTGCAGCATAACCCCAGCCACTCAGTAGTGCAGTCACGCCTGTGAATGCAATCAGTGCTCCATATCCGCTACCATATGCAAAATCTGCACTCCAGTCACCAGCATGTAGCAGAGCTTCTGAAAGCGGGCCGCTGCACAGGTTACCAACGCCTTTCCCAGCCGATAGACACGCCCATACGAAGCCAGAATCTGCGCCTCTGCGCTTCTTCTGAGTGTCTGCGACGATAGCGCTCCAGGCGCTTGATTGACACCCAGCAAAAGCACCGTAGACTATGCAGAAGATGTATAGTGGCGCCAGTGAGGTGGAAAATCCCCAGAGGAGAAATATACCAACTGTTGAGCCCAAGGCAGAGACCATGAGGCAGGTTGTGACATGGTACTTGTCGGTCGCAATTCCCATGCACAGACACCCGACAAATGCAGCAGCATTGACAAGAATGATTGTAACAGTGCTTTCGATGCTACCTGCACCAATGGACCGGGCGAAAGTGGGTAGATAGATTGCTGGTAGAAAGAATCCAAGGCTCTGGATGATATTGCCGGACTGTAGAATGAGGTAGTTGGAACAGGTCCAGAACGACAGGTCAAACCCCCTATTTTGCGATGTTTGAGACAACGGAAGGCGAGGTTTGAAGAAGAAGACTATGGGAAAATTGAGAGCCACGAAGCTGAGTGCGCATACTCGTAAAGTCGTCCGGAATCCGTAGGAGTGTAGCAGCCACTCGAGTATGAGAGGAAGAATGGCCCCGCTCAATCCCAAGCCGGCCATAGTAGCTCCGTAGGCAAACCCCCTTCTGCGTACCCACCACTCTTCGATGTTGAAGAGAATTGGCGTCCATGCGAGTCCACCGCCCAGTGCGTATAAGATGCCTTGAGTGATGATGAGGTGTGTTATGCTCGTTGAAAGTGATCCAAGGCCCAAGGCAAGGCAGACGACTACTAAACCAACTGGTGTGGCCCAGATGCGAAATTTGGGAAAGTACTTTAGTACAACGAACCATATCGCAATATCCATGTACATGATACCCTGGATAGGTCTCAGTCTTGGTCTTTGGATAACTACTAGGACATACCATTGCACAAGTGCCCACAACGGCAACGTTGTTTTGGCCAGAGAACTCCTCACTGGTAGCATAGTATTCTTGAAAGACGCCGTAAGAGGAGGGAAAGCCCCAAATCATGGCCTCGAGCTGCAGAGGTGAAGTTGCGAAGTCAGTGTATGTCTCACATGCATTTCTTGCAGGAGAAACTTACCATGAAACAGGAAAACAAGCAGAGCCATGCATCCCTGCCACCATCAGTAGGCGAAAGGGAGAATCCATTGTCGCTGGTTGGTTGGGATCGGTCGTTTTCTTGTAGTAGTTCAATGTCTGTGGTTGCAGCCGAAGAGGGTTGTTGTGGGTAAGTGGTCAAGTCGACCTGGGTACTCTGAGTTGAAGCCATTGAGTGTCGTTATTCGAGTCCCAAGGCTGTACCAGCAGACTCATACTTATGCGCATCCTTTCTAGCACAGTGGAGTCCATGGTGGCGAGGTTAGCTTGTTTTTCAATTGTACATGTAGGGCGCATTAGATGTACGGTTCAGTGGGGCTCGGGAGCCCTAAGCTCTGAAGCCGTCGGAAAAGCCCAAGAGTCATGGATGGTAGCGACACTGGAGCACACATGGCAATATTGGCGATGGCACTGTCGCCATCTGACATGTCTTCACAGGCAGTGTTGAACGATAGTCTGTTGTGATGTTTGATGGTGTTCTTGTTCTGGACAAGCTAGGCTGGACGGCTCTTGGCATGATGCAGGGGCGCTCCAGGAGCGGAATTCTAGCGCGACGCGACTTGGGGATTGACGCGCCTTGACCAGGGCATTCGCGACCTCGAAACATTTCCTCATACCACAACCATGATACATTTTCGATAACAGACACCAACCAACGATTAAACTGTAATTCAAAATCATCCCCAAGTGCCGACATGGACGACTCGCCGCGATCTTCTAAGCGGAGAAAGCTCGATACCTCGGAGCGCACCGAACCGAGCCCATCAACAAAGCCGTCGACACGGAAAGTCTCTGGTAGGCTTGCGACCAAATCCGCCACAACTACGAACGGCGACACTGCACAGGATGAGGTCAAGAAGCCAGCACCAGTACGCAAGGGTCGATTGACCAAGGGCGCAACAAACGGCACACCAGCCAAGCGTGCAGCAGCGGCAGAAGAGATTGATGTCTATGATGATATCGAAGGCGCATTGAACGTTGCAGCATCCTCGCGACCAGTCCGAGCCCGCAAACCGACAGAGAAAGCATCCAAAGAGAACACACCAATTGCTGCGCACAACAAGGAGGAGATACAAACAGCCATCCCGCCCAAGCGAGGAAAGGGGCGACCTACGAAAGCGGAAGTCGCAAGTCGGAACGCTTTGAAAGAGGCAAGCGATGCAAAGGGCGAATCGCAAGATACTGTCACGCCTGCGAAGGCTGCCCGAAAGCCAGCTGCGTCTGCGCGCAAACCAGCAGCTCCACGAGCAAGTGCTCGGAAGAAGAAAGAGCCTAGCCCTATCGCAGAAGAGGATGAAGAAGCAGATGAGCTGCAGAACAACACCAAGGCCACTAAGATCTCGAGGCCACGCTCGATACGGAAGCCAGCGACCGGTACAAGGAAAAAGGCTACAGCGCTGGAATCAGAGTCGGAAGAGGCAATTGCAGCGACGCCCTCCAAGTCGGTCAAGCGACGAAAGCCTGTAGGAGAACAAGCAATCATACCGGAGAGCGCCGACGAACTCGGCGACGGCTCTCCCACAACCAACAGGAAGCTGACTGCTAGTGAACGAAGACGCTTTAACCGCACCGATCATATCGCCAACAATGATGAAGAGCGCTGGTCGAATGCCGAAGACCAGGCCAACGGACACGACGAGGACGAGATGGATGTAGACGGGAACAGCCTCCTGGATAGTGTGCTGGACCCCACAGAACCGAGTCCTTTCAATAAGCCTACTTTGGCTCAGAAAGAGAAGCTCACGCCCTCGGTCATCTACAGTAACCTGGCGCCTGGTCGTGAGCTTGATCTACTCAAGACAATTGTCATGGACCGTATTACTGGCAAACGTCCTTCACCTCTGGTTGGTTTGGACGATGAGTATAAGTCTGTGTACCAACTTGTCGAACAGACCATCACCGCTGGTGAAGGCAACTCAATGCTTGTCATTGGAGCTCGGGGCAGCGGAAAGACGGCGCTCGTAAACAAAGTCCTCTCTGAAGTCTCCAAAGATAACGGTGGCCAATATCATGTCGTACGACTCAACGGCTTCGTTCATACAGACGACAAGATCGCACTGCGAGAGATTTGGCGTCAGCTGGGCAAGGAGATGGACATCGAAGAGGATAGGAGTGGGCCAGGAAAAAACTACGCGGACACATTAGCGACGCTGCTCGCTCTACTTTCTCACCCATCGGAACAGACTGGCGAAGTGACTGACGAGGTCGCCAAAGCTGTCGTCTTCGTAATGGACGAGTTCGATCTCTTCGCTCAACATCCCCGCCAGACATTGCTCTACAATCTCTTCGACATCGCACAATCACGAAAAGCGCCCATTGCGGTATTAGGACTGACGACACGTATCGACGTGACTAACAGTCTCGAGAAGCGAGTCAAGAGTCGCTTCAGCCATCGCTATGTGCATCTCAGGCTAGCAACAACTTTTACTGCGTTCCAGGAAACATGTAAGACCTGTTTGTCAATACAGCCGGAGCAACTGAGCGTCGAGGAGAGAGGTATATTAGAAGGCGGTACCAAGAGTACACCGGCAAAGAAGGCAAAGAAGAACGACACGAAAGAAGATGCGCTATCACAGTGGAACGCCAACATATCCGTAAGCTCATCAATAGTCCACTACTGCGACGTCACGACCAGGCTGATGATCTACTAGGAACTCTTCTCATCGCGCTCTTTCCTTACCCAGCATCTTGCGCCGTCCTTCTACCTCACAAAGTCCGTCCCACAAATCCTAACCTCCTTTCTCCTTCCCACCGCGACACTTTCTCCCACCACACCCTTCCAACCCGCCAACGTACTTAACTCTCCGGACTCCAAATTGTCCCTCATTCCCTCACTATCGCAGCTATCTCTCTCCCTTCTTATCGCTGCCGCAAGATTGGATATCATCCACGACTCCGACACATGCAATTTCAACATGGCCTACGATGAATACGTCACTCTCGCATCACGAGCCCGCATTCAGTCAGCAGCCGGCGGACTGAGTTCGAGTAGCGGAGCGAGCAAAGTCTGGGGCAAAGATGTAGCGAGACGAGAATGGGAGGGTCTCGTGGACCTGGGTTTGATTATGCCGGTCATACAAGGACAGGTTGGCGCTTTTGGTATGGTGAGATGTGATGTTGCTTTGGAAGAGGTGGGTGAGGTGTTGAAGGGGATCAAGGGTGGGGACAAGGGCTTAGAGAGGTGGTGTCGAAGTATTTGAATTGGCTGAGTTGTCCTCGTCAGACATGAAGACCGGCTCCGACTTCTATTGGATTTTTATCGGGATAGCATTGCGTTTATAATTAGTGGTCACCCACAGCAACAATGATTTCTGTTCCACCGAGTGCGAGACGTAAAGATTGTCTCTTTTTAGAAGCATTTGGAAAAGGCGTTAACCACTCGGATGATACAGTGGGTGTCGTTTTTTTTCAGCAAGTGCAAGGACAAAAAAATAGCAAGAAATGGCAAGACGGAAACCACGAGATAGTGCATCATGATTCTGAAGAGAGGGCAAAGTGGTGCATGACTTTTGTAGCATAGATGTAGAATAGTCTCGAATCAACATTAAATCTCCATCTTTTGATACCCTCATCACATGCTCCATACTAACAGCCCCAGTAACTGGCCCACTTACTCTTTCCTCCAAGCACTCCCACAAACTCCCTCGCCACGATCCGACTCGTTTGTTCACTGGGATGCAACGGATCATACCACATGAAGCTATCCGGACTATCCGTACTCGTACAATTACTTCCCTGCGCATCGCATAAATGCTCCACACCCTCAACATTAAGCGGCGCCCCCGTTCCGTTCAGATAGCTCGCAGGGTTGTTGTATATATCCGTCATAAGCGCGTTCACGTCGAAACTAGCGACATTTGCATCTTCCCAGAGTTCGTCGATTTCAGCTTCAAAGGGTGTGCGGTACTTGTAGACTTGATTGAGTGCCTCAACAGTGTTCTGCATGCGGCCATGAACTTCGGTGAGGTTCTTGCCAGGGACGTCGGGATAGTATTGTGTTGCTTGTAGACCACCGTCTTGAGGCTGCTGGTACTGAGGGAGGAGCTCGAGCGGAGCGAGGTTCATGATAACGAAGTTGCGGCCTCCATTCTCGTAGAGGCGTGTGATTTGGTCGTAGACACAATCCATGTAGTCTGCGACGGTCTTGCCGGGGACTTGGCTGTCCGTCAAGAATGCGCCGTTTCCAAGATCATTTGTTCCAATCCAGATGGCATACACAGTGCTGGATGCTTTTCCAGTGAAGAATTTTGTACCATTCGCGTTGCTAGCTTTGGAATCTGCGATGAACGCAGGGAGTTCATACCCAGCAATGTCCGGGAAGGGTGCATTTATGGCAGAGAAGTAGCGCGGTGTTATTTCGTTAGAGCACACAGCTCCTGAGACGGCATAGTTGTAGAGGTTTGTCTTAGAGTAGATGCTAGCGTAACGAGCCCAAGAAAGGCCACCTGAAGCAGTGGCTAGACCCTAGGTATTCTTAGCAAGATGTAGGAAGTCGTGCTAACGTTCGACTTACCACCGGCTGCTGCCATGCCACAGGAGGCGCAGAACCATTGTTGTTGATGAAGTATCCAAGTCGATTCTCATCCGTGTAGCTGTCACCAAATGTCACCAGCGTCTTGAACTTCCCGTCACGCCAACCCCCTGCAACTCCGCCGGTGATCGCTAGATTAGCGACAAGCAATCGAATCGACCAAGAGGACACCATTGTGATATTGCCTAGTTGCCGGTGATTACATTTGCGCCGAGAGTTACGCAAGTACTTATACCGCTAAGTTTGCGGAGGCTGGCGGGACATATCCAGTGCACTAGCCATTCCTTTCCGCCGATACATAGGGCTCATTCGGGACGGCAGATATTCCATGATCAATTGCAGCTGGTACGCGGGGAAATTGGGGGACGCCAGCCCGGTTGTACATGGGAAATGATGTCCGTCGCGGGAGCTATACTCTTTCTGGGTGTGGCTGGTCGGGAATCAGGCTAAAAGGTCTGCACGTTGCGCAGCTCGATCGAGTACTGTTGTCGATGAACCGGAGATTGAAAGCTGCACCAATAGCACGCACTTCTACATATCAACATTGACTACCCGCGTTCGATTTTTGTTCTTGTGCTGTAGTTATTGCAGCTCAAAGCTTCGAATTTGCCATGTCCGATTTGGCATCTGCCATCTACGCAGCTGACGATGGTGGTTCATCGGACTGCTGCGACATTGCGTGATGCATAGATCCAACACGCGGCTTGTGGGTCTGGTGCAAAGTCGATCTGAAGAGAGACGATGACGTCGTCATTGCTTCAGAGGTTTGTAACGTCCTGAGGGGATGTCATCGGGGAACCGCCAAGTTATGCTTTCTGTGGCTCCCAGCCGAGGTCTGGATCCAACAGAAGCTTGCGCGCGTATCCCGGGATCGCAGGCATGTACCAGCAGCCTACGCGCGCAAGGCTGTTATGCCGCCTGCCGTTAAACTATTTCGGACAGCTTGCGGGGGGTATCGTAAGCGCCGTTCAATTTCAAAGTTCCTGGTTCAACCTTATGGATGTAGTACCCGGGGGAGGGGGGAACAAAGAAAGCAATTGTTCTACGCTCTTTTGATGGCGTCGTAGATTTCTTTTTCTAGGGACGGACTTTGCTTATCGCCAGGATGTCGGAATCGCAGACCGAACGCAAATCGACATTTCGACAAGACAATGTTGTGCACGCCAATACTGGCATGAAAGCGTCTCGTTACGAAGCTGTTAGTTCAGCGTAGGCTCCCTGACGATATCCGCTTCCCCGGTGCACGCGTCTTGGGTAGGTCAACGCTGGTGGATACTGCTAACTATATTGGACCAAGGCAGTCGATAGCCCAACGTCAATACGTGGTGGTACTTTAGGTGAAAACAACTGCATGCTGAATTAGTAGTAGGAGCAAACACAGATTGCCTTTAGTGAAGGCTTCGGCATGCCGAGTTTTAACCGAACAGAGATGAACCAATGCTGACGAAGTGGTATCCTGCTGTTCGGTCTCAAAGGCGTTGAAGTCTAGCCAAAGAAGTGCCCCATCGCAGCGCATATTTCGCTACCAGACTGTCGGGGAAATTGACCTGAGACCGAATAAACCTACCGAACAGATCCCGGCCTTGTTGGATGACTGTGTTTGTGGCTTCTCGCCCCCGATTTGTGGAGTGAAGACGCGATTTCGAAGGTTGACGTAGGTGGTCTGGACAATGGTTCCTTCCTTAGAATCGAACAAACACTCTCCAGGGCCACTAGCGTCCCATAGCCTGTCTCTTGTCGCCCCACCTTCCCTTGTCATCTGTTTGACTCTCTCTGCTCTTTGGGTTCTCACCCTCGGCACCTCCTTCGTGTACACGCAGCAGCACCCCAGTGTCAATTCTGCATCGACATCGTGCATGTCACTTGTCGACTTTCACTCTCTTCAGCCTCTCCAGCAAACCACCATCGCACTCGAATCAGGCGACACAGCAGCTTGAAGACACACTCGAGTATGCCACAAACACGCGTTCGCCTCCGAGGAGTTGCCTTAAAGGAGCCGCCGCCTACATGATAGAGTAATGCCTCCAACCTCGTCGAAGCGAGGCTCGTCGCGATCGGCGCAACCTGCCCACCCAGCGAATGTTGGGAGTATAAGCTTAGCTTGTTTGGAATCGGCAAGCTTGAAAGACAGCAAGGCTGCTATCAGAATCCTAACCATGACCCTTTGTAAGCATGTATGCGAGAGTTAGGAGGACATCTGAATTTCTTATCAGCCTGGCTGGTTTTTGAGCATTCGGAACTAGCTTGTTGATATTTACTGGACACGATGAAGTCGTGTAGACCGCCCTGCCTTCGTCACACAGTTCTGACATCCACAGGAAGATGCTCGTGCTCCCGACCATATTGGTCATCCCTCTTCGCCTCACACAACCACGGCCCTGTGCACCCGTACAATTTGAAAGATCCGTAGTGCAATGCAGCACCTACATCGACGTCAATAGATGCATGCTGCATTACCGGGTGCTTTTCCGACCCGTAGCGACATATCTGGGAGCAAATTAGGCACACACACACACACACACACACCATCAATTGGGACGAGTCGTCATTTACATCTCGATATATAGCTTCAGGCTCACGTCCTGGAGCTCTGTGCGGACTTCTTCCATCAGAGAGTCAAATTCTGCGGCTGTACGACCAAGAGTCGATGTGAACGGCCATAGCCCAAGAGATTCGAGCAGGTCACCAATCATCTGGACGCGTGAACGTGCGGTCAGCAGAATTCCATCTACTACAACACGGATATACGTACCGCGACAGAGTCTCCGCCGAGGCTGGCTTGAGCGGGATCTATACGTGCCTTCTCAGCACTGTTGGGGAATAGGGTACGGGTCTAAGAATGGCGGAACACGACTGGCCAAAGTAGGAGACATGATACGAGATGCAGTAGAGAGGCCTTACCTGGGGACCAACCACCTATATGTACCTGCACCACTTCGACGTCAACATCTCGGTATCTATTGTCGAGCAACAGCTGCTTCAACCGACGGCCTATCCTTGGGTCACGATCCATGCTTGCCATAGCGCCCTGATATGACTGCCACCATCTTCGCACGGCAGACTGCTCCGTAAGACTTCCGTTATGGGATTGAATAATGGGCAGGAATTCCATCATCTGAACCCAACCTGCCGGCTTCAGCAGCAATTTCATATCTCTGATATACCGGGCCCATCTCTCGGTCTTTATACCTGGGAACACGAATCGTGAGTGTATGAGGTCGTAATGGTTCGCTTGGAATAGTTCGGGGTCGCGAAGAGGGTCGTTGAGATTATGGCAGATCTAAATTTGTATATACCAGGTTAGAGCATGCCTCACATTCAGTTCGTATATGGACGCTACTAACCAGATCTAAGTTTTCGGGTTGATCTGGGAGATCCCTAGCAATAGGAGGTCGGCTCAGTTTTTGTCGGTGGGTGGACTCCGGATATGGCCTTTACTCACATAGGGAATATATCGACGGCAGTTACCTGGGAATGTCAACATCTTCTCAGCGGTACGAGGCCAGTACCAACGCCGGTCTCCTGAATTGTGCATATGGTATGATCAAGTACGCACCTCGCAATCCTCAAAGTCTTCAGCGCATTGGACAGCCCATTCCCCATTACCGTAACCGCACTCCAAGATTGCAGAGGGGTTTTCCACTGACACCTTAGAGGAGAACAAACTGTCGCCGAAGATTCTGGCTACAAGGCGATGTTGAGCGGTCAGTCTGCTCTCTTCGCGATCGTCGATGGCTACAGGTGCGAAGTAGATCTTCTCGTCAAGGGAAATCCTTTGGAAGACTCGGCCGTGAACGCTGACTCTTTCTGAATCATCACTCATTGCGATTGAGGTCTTTGACAAGAGACTCGTGACTTAGGAGCACCTGACGACAGCTAACAATCAACACCACCGACGAAAAATGACTACGCTAGATAGGATGTGGTAAGTGACAGGGATGGCTCAAACCTCAAAACGATTTCAAAAGGACAGCAAGGCGCTGTAAACCTCGTGGCCTGCAGATTGCTATGAGCTGACGACAGCTCGGCAAAGGCGCAAAATTACCCGACATCGTGGCGAAGAGAAACGTCACTAAAGCATGCTGACGAAGTCGCTGCACGTCTTGAATCACAGATATCGAAGCCTGGACACCTCTCATCCCACGAAGTCAAGCGCTATCTCTTCAGCTTGCCGTTAGACATTAGGGCGATCCCCAGTATCCGGTCACATGTGTAGCTTACAAGGCTACTGGATCGGCGAGAGCCACATCCGTTGTGAGATGCAAAATGATGGGCAGATCGCTTTACTACTTCCATTCCAACACCCTGGACGCAAGCAGTCAGATCAGAATGAGGCGTACTGCCACCAGGGGCAAGCAATCGGGTCTATCGCCTCCAAGAGTAGGGCTTGCTCGAAGACTTTTTGACAATCGTGCGGCCATGAGACATCGTTGAAAACTCGTATCCCATAGGCCACGATGCCTGACACACCGGCCTTTGAGATACATACCCTACAGTAGGTCGAGACATGAGAAGACCCACCATAGTAGACCTACCTGCCTAGGTCTGCCTCGCCAACCACACACTTTAGGTAAACCTCTCATCGGAAGAAATTCCGCCGCCCAATCTGCGATTCGCTATTAGAACAGGCATTACTTACGCTAGTGTACGAATACGGTCGTTAATGAGCACGTGGTGCATGGCATGCATCAGGCGGGCGGATAGCCCCGCGGACAGTCTCCTCGAAAATGACACCGCTGACATGGCCTCGGGATAAGGGCAGGCCCATGGAAAGCCACGTCACGACGTCATTCCTGTGGCTGCTGAGGATATATGAAATACTCGGATTTGGCACTTAAGAGGCGCTCATTGCCTCAGCATCCGGACTACTTCACGATTATGGGGATAAGTGCTATGACTGCGCTGCCCTGTGCGTTCGTTGCTCCATGAATCTTAACACCAGAACTGCCGGTTAGTAAAGATGCGCCTAGTGTAGCCTGCGCTCGGCCTGCTACATATGTGGCCAGAAAGGATGCGGCCCATTATTCTCCGAGCTTTTGACGTAAAGTCGACAACTTCACATTCGTCGCCGAGACTCCTGCGAGTAATACGGCCGATTAGTGCTCTTACACCACAGTCCACGCGCATTCGACTGACCCAATGGAAAACCTGTGCAAGATAGGCGACGACACGCAGTCTGGATGGATGGACTAACCCCACGCGTGCGGCTTCTTTTCTGATGAGAGAACGGAGTCTGCTAGTATTATATTCGGTACCAAACCCAACGACGTCCCCTGGCAGCGAGTTCAACCAGGGATCTTAAGATGCAATCGACCTTGAACAAGGAAAAGGTATCTCGTTTGTGCCGGATCAAGGGAACGGAATGAAAGTATGTGTGGGTTATATCGACTTGCATCTATAAGCGTTCCGTACCCGCAATCGTGCATCCACAAACCCACTCCTACAATTATCCGTGCTGGTATCACGATAACGATCATCCTGAGCCGCCTCGTGAAATTTTTCATTTCTGTGAGGAGCAGAATCATGGCCTACCACTTGCTATGATCAGTCAGAAAATAGTACAATATTCAGGCATCATAAACCAAAAGTTTTCCTACTCTGATAGTCCGTACCAACAGAACTATGAGTCGGTTTCGCTAAAGTGCTTCCAGATAAAATGTTTCTACCAGAAGGATCGCCATCCAGCACACACACAAGCTCTGCAACCTACTACAGCCCAAGGAAACTCTGCCCTCTACTTTACGACGGGACACCCCTCATGTGGTAACCGGCGTGACGTCGGCCATGGTAGCTCCCGACACACTATCCCCATCCCGATGTCTTTCTTCTCTCCATCCACTAAGCCCATGTCCTCTGCTCTTTGATCAGCGGCAGTAATAGGGCACAGTTTACGATAGGCGTATTGCAGAGAACCTCGAGGCTCGGTAAGGTAGGTACGCGAATGTTGAAGGCGGTCAAAGCCGTCAACGGGCCGAACCGCGCATGATGGTCGTATACAGCGTGCAAAGACTGGTGTCCTGCACGCTCACGCATGAAGGCGCTGTGGAATCATTGGCTATGGGAGAGAAAATGGTGGTCAAGAAGCGGTGACGATGAGGGTCTGAGTCGGCGTTGTCCTCGGCATGACGCAGATAGCTACAGAGCTAGAATGATCCTGGTGCAGTATCGTGTTTACAAAGGATCGGTGATGCGATCAACTATGCATAGATGGACAGTGAATCTCGGGCCGGGCGTTGTGTTTACTTAATATTGCTGGCTTGCTGCATTAGAACATGCAAATCATGGAAAGAAAAGTCTAGACCTAGATGTGGCTGCTCTCAACCACACAATCCAGTGAGCTTGGCAGATAGCAAGTCCGGTGATTTTCGTGATGCAGACTAGCAGGCACCCAGAGATAGGAGCTCCTATGTATCAATCACAGCACCCCGTGTCTCTCAAGGCGTGGTTTAGGTTTTTGCATGTCGGCCATGTTGCTGGTGGTGAGTATCCACCAGACAAACAGTCACTTGTACTGCAGCCTTTACATGTACTAAAGGGCCAAAAATCGACGGCGCACTTGCTGTTTTTCTATTGCACCCCAATGTGGCGATGGCCAGGACGCGTACAGTACGTGTTTCGGGCCTTGAGGCGGTGGTATTGGCAGCCCCACATCAGCTCAGCAACTGTTCATCCACCAACTCTCTACAGCCAGGGCTGAACGAGCAGGGCAACTGCGCATGCGGTCGAGCACACTCTTGTGACTGTCACATGATACCCCGGACTTTACCATGAGGAGGCGAGAATGGGGTGTTGAAGACATGTGAAAGCATGCGGTGCACGGTGCGCAGATCCCCACACATGACCAACTGCCGTCGGGGCCGAGGTAAATCGTCATTATCAACAGCTCGGCTGCTTTCATGAGACACGTCCGGGTCAGATCGAGAATGACCTTAGTTTGAACATCCGTCACGCTGCAAGCCACCTATCCTCTCATCTTCACTTTTCATATCCTGCACTTTACCAACGTGGGATCTTTGCTGATACCCATTTGACATTTGACACTCTTGTTGCTTGCTTGTATTGGACATTCCTCGAGCGCAACTTCTCTCCACCGACAAACAAAGAGGCAGCCTCGTCACAAAAGCGTACCAAACACATCATGGCTGCGCAGGAGCTGCGATACGATGGCCAGACCGTTGTGGTAACGGGTGCTGGTGGTGGTCTGGGTCGCGAATACGCTGTCTTCTTTGGCAGCCGCGGCGCGAACGTGGTTGTAAACGACCTGGGCGGAAGCTTCAAGGGCGAAGGACAGGGCTCGGCGGTACGAGCTTTATTCTATCAATTATGACTCCGTTGCTGACTCCATGACAGGCTGCAGACAAGGTCGTCGATGAGATCCGCTCCGCTGGCGGCAAGGCCGTCGCCAACTACGATTCGGTCGAGAATGGAGAGGCCATCATCAAGACGGCCGTCGACACATTCGGACGTATTGATATCCTCATCAACAACGCCGGTATCTTGCGAGATGTCAGCTTCAAGAACATGAAACAGGCGGACTGGGATCTGATCTACCGCGTCCATGTCTACGGAGCATACAAGTGCGCACATGCCGCATGGCCCTACTTCAGGAAACAGAAGTACGGAAGGTTGATCAGCACCGCGTCTGCTGCCGGTCTTTTCGGATCTTTCGGACAGACAAACTACTCCGGTATGCATGCATCTTCTATGAGAACACAAGCATTTGCTGACCCCGACAGCCGCCAAACTCGCTCTCGTTGGCTTCACCGAGACGCTCGCCAAGGAGGGCTTGAAGTACAACATCCTCTGCAATGTTGTCGCCCCAATCGCCGCTAGCCGAATGACTGAAACCGTCATGCCTCCCGATGTCCTCGAGAAAATGAAGCCCGAATGGATCGTTCCCCTTGTCGCCGTCCTCACACACAAATCCTCTACTGAGACGGGCGCCATCTTCGAGGCGGGTGCCGGCCACGTAGCTAAGCTGCGATGGGAACGAGCCTCTGGCGCTCTGCTCAAGGCCGACGAATCCCTTACACCCGAGGCTGTCGCTGCCAAGTGGAAGGACGTTGTCGACTTCTCCAAGCCTGAGCACCCACAAGGTCCAGCCAACGCCCTTGAACTGCTTGAGAAGGCCAACCAACTGCCTTCCAACCCCAAGGGCGAGCCGATTGACTTCAAGGGTAAGGTTGCTCTTGTCACTGGTGGAGGTGCCGGTCTGGGTCGCATCTACTGCTTGCAGCTGGCCAAGCGCGGTGCCAAGGTTGTTGTAAACGACCTCGTCAATCCTGACAACACTGTCCAGGAGATCCAAAAACTTGGTGGAGAGGCCGTTGGCAACAAGGGCGATGTCCAGGACGGCGAGTCTGTTATCAAGACCGCGATTGAGAAGTACGGTCGCATCGATATCCTGATTAACAACGCCGGAATTCTCCGCGACAAGGCATTCGCCAACATGACCGACGAGCAGTGGGACATCATTCACAAGGTTCACTTGTTCGGTACCTACTCCTGCACAAAGGCTGCATGGCCCTACATGCTCAAGCAAAAGTACGGCCGTATCCTCAACACCACCTCCACTAGCGGTATCTACGGTAACTTTGGCCAGGCCAACTACGCTTCAGCCAAGTGCGGTATCCTCGGTTTCTCAAAGTCCCTCGCCCTTGAGGGCAAGAAGAACAACATCTTCGTCAACACTGTTGCTCCCAATGCTGGCACTCAGATGACCCGCAGCATCATGCCCGAGGAGGTTGTTCAGGCACTCAAGCCTGACTACAACGCTCCTTTGGTCATTCTCCTAGTTTCTGACAAAGCCCCTGAGCCAACTGG